TTTTGTCCACTATACGGACTATAGATGTAGCCGTGCAATCTGTAAGGGAGTTACCATCCTACTTGATCCCACGTGAAATAAACAACAAAAATGTTTTCTTGTCCAGTTTGTAGTAAAGGATTAGTAGGTACCTATTACCATAGAGAAAATACAATGGTATTACCTACAAATGACGCGTCTTTTAACCCGATTTAGTTATATGTAGCACAAATTTGAATTAATCTACTGTTTAATTTCTCAAAAGCACTCGATCAAATTCACTCAGCGCAGTTTGGTCGCACTAGCTATACAGTAAATTTCATTCTCTTTATAATGGGCAAGGAATCAAAAAATCCCGCCCCTCAAAAACTAAGGAGTACCTAAGTGTGCTAGCGCATTTTAATTTATTTGCTAGGAAAGTTTCTCGATGGACCACCCAATCTTACATAAAGGTAAACAAAACTCACCCTTTTCAGGAATATAAACAAGTTTCATAGGAACGGAGTATGAAGTCTGTACATACGTAATCTTATTTAACTGCAATGTTGATAACGAGAAACAGATGCAGTCGCTTGACCACGTGTTTACAATACGTGTATTAATTTATACACGAACCATTGAATTTACGTACTACGCTCAAAGCAATTAATGCGGCCATTATTCATAACTGTTGAATGTGAATAATTAAGGGAACATTTTTTGAACAGCGCTCGGAATGATTTTTTTTAAATTCACTATCTTCATAAAAGGCAGGTTTCCCTTCTCCTAAAGTTTTGAAAGGAAACGTACCCCAAATTTATCTGATTTACGGGTGATTATGAATAATTGCCGCATTAATTATAATTTCACCGTAATATATGGAGACACACAAAAATGATTTGTCGTCATACGGTTTTCATTTAAACGAGGGGGACTTTTGATGCAAGTAGCCTAATCTCGAAAGTTCTTGATGTTTTGGGTTCTACCATTGTTTAAATCTGCAAAGCATAAAATGTATACGAAAAACCGGTTAAAGTCATTTCCTTAACAGAATTTATGGGCAAATGTGGTCTTGATATTTTAACGAAAATCGACAAGTTTTAGATCAACCGTAAAATGCACTTTCTCTTATAGATTGCGGTTTGTAGAATCCAAAACGACCTGACCAAAATATCGATTTCCCAAAAAAGCTATAGTGGTCCAACCGTAAAAGGTCAAAATCTATAAGACGCGGGGCTTTCACGATGGATATAAAATTAAAAAATTTGTTCATTTTCGATGAAATAGCCTACCTATAAGAAATTCAATATAGGCTAAACAATTGGCGTATCGGTTAACACCATAATTATACTAAACCTGACATAGTAAATGGTGAGCTGTGTGTATGTCGGCCGTACATCGCCAATAAAAGTAAACGTTGAGAACACCATACCAGAATGCAAGTTTTAGACCGCAGTCTACTGAATTCTCATCATAGTTTCCGCAAAAACACTAACAGTAAGTGTCTTATTTACTAATTTATATATGTAATTAATATGTACTTTCTGTTTTATAGATTACTGGTTATCAAAATTATTGCTGAAAATATTAGCACTACCTATCCCAGGTAGGGAATGGAAAAGGATACTATTCTCTAATTTTTATTATTTTTAAAAAAATTCGCTCCTACCTACGTTGCAGTACTCGATTGCGGGGGTTGTAAATTTTGTTGTGGGTCCAATATTTCTGTTTCCTTAATCGATTATATTAAAAGATTCAACAAGCAACCCTTCAGTTGCCAAGTATAAGTGTATTAGAAATTCGTAAGTTTTAAGAACATTTGCCCATACCTACGTAGCAATATACGATTGAGGGGGTTGTAAAATCTGTTGTAAGTCAAATATTTTTATTTATTTGATCGATTATATTAAGAGGATCTACAGACAACCCTTCACTTTCTAATTACAAGTAAAATCCCATCTCGCTTTAAAAAGTCGCAATTTGCAAGAAATTTCGCTCCTACCTAAGTTGCAGTATTCGATTGCGGGGGTTGTAAATTTTGTTGTAAGTCAAATATTTTTATTTCCTCGATCGATTATAATAAGAGTATCTGCAGACAGTTTCCAATTATAAGTAAAATTCGTAATTTGAAGGAAATTCGCTTTTAGCTACGTGTCAGTATTCGATTGAGAGGGTTTTAAATTTTGTTGTGAGTAAAATTTGCAGCCACATACGGACTTAATTGCAAAGGAAGAGGTCTCAGTGCTGAGGTCTAAAACCCTCACAAAGCGAATGACTTTTCAGAACTTTTTCTTATAGATTTTGTGCTGTGTAGAATCCAAAACATCGACAATGTTGGAGATTGGACCACTACATCAAAAGCGATTTCGGCCAATGGCCTACAAATGTGGCCAAATCGCGTTCTGTCACCATTATTAAACGTTCGATAACCCGGTTTCCGTCAGTAATGTTACCCAATAGGGGTAACATTGTATATAAAGTAGTTTATTCCAAAAATGTTATTGTCCAATCCAAAACGAACAGAATTTTCAAAATAGGACCACTACATCCAAACTTACATCCCTTTCCTTGCTGTTTGTAAAATCGTTTTTTGTCCACTATACGGCCACTATGGATGTAGCCGTGCAATCTGGAAGGGAGTTACCATCCCACTTGATCCCATGTGAAATAAACAACAAAAATGTTTTCTTGTCCAGTTTGTAGTAAAGGATTGGTAGGTATCTATTACCATAGAGGAAATACAATGGTATTACCTACAAATGACGCGTCTTTTAACCCGATTTAGTTATATGTAGCACAAATTTGAATTAATCTACTGTTTAATTTCTCAAAAGCACTCGATCAAATTCACTCAGCGCAGTTATGTCGAACTAGCTAGACAGTAAATTTCATTCTCTTTAAAATGGACAAGGAATCAAAAAATTCCGCCCCTTAAAAACTAAGGAGTGTCTAAGTGTCCTAGCGCATTTTAATTTATTTGCTAGAAAAGTTTCTCGATGGACCACCCAATCTTACATAAAAGTAAACAAAACTCACCCTTTTTAGGAAATAAACAGGTTTCATAGGAACGGAGTACATACAACCGCACTTACTGACGATTCATTCGCAAATGAATTAGGTATAGGTATACGTAATCTTATAACTGCAATATTGATAAAGAGAAACAGATGCAGTCACTTGACCACGTGTTTACGTTACCTTTATACACGCTACGGTCAAAGCAATGATTAATAACTGATGATTAATGTGAATAATTGAAGGAAGAAACATTTTTTGAACAGATTGATCCAGTAGGTACCAGCATAAAAAGTTATACTACTTTCCTTTTTCTTTTGAAAATCGGTTTTTTGTCCACTTTTTATGTAGTGGTATTGTATTACCTACAGATGACGAGTCTTTATTAATTCGATTTAGTTAAATGTAAGCACAAATTTGAATTAATCTACTACCGATTTAATTTCTCAAAAGCACTCGATCAAATTCACTCGGCGGAGTCTGGTCGCAGTAAATTTCATTCCCGAATCAAAAAAGCTCATTCTTCAAAAACTAAGGAGTACCTAGTGTCCGAGCGTATTTTGATTTATTTATTTGCAAGGAAAGTTTCTCGATGGACCACTCAATCTTTAATAAAATAAAGGTAGACAAAACTCACCCTTTTCACGTGGAATATAAACAAGTTTCATAGGAACGGAGTACATACTACCCTACCGCACTTACTGGCGATTCATTCGCAAATGAATTACGTACACACGCAATCATATTTAACTGCACTGTTGATAACGAGAAATAGATGATGCAGTCGCTTGACCACGTTCCTCCTACCTACGTAGCAGTATTCGATTGAAGGGGTTGATAATTTTGTGGTAAGTCATATATTTTTATTTCCTTAATGAATTAAATTAAAAAGATCTACAAACAACCCTTCAGTTGCCAAGTATAAGTAAAATCTCGTCCCGTATTAGAAATTCGTAAGTTTTATGAAAATCCTACCTACAGATATATAATGTTTGTTGCGAGAGTCATATTCATGGATATCCAATTATATACACTTACCCACCTTGATACAAAAGCTACTATTGCTCGATAGTAAAGTGGGATGCCGAAAAATTTGGAAAAATTTAAAACATTTTTGTTTTTCCGTTACAGTACAAAGAAAAACAATTGTCATACAAAAATCTGCATGAATTCATTTGCTCTATGACACCACAGAACATAAGATTAAGTTGCAACCCTGATCTTCATATTTGCAATTCAGTTGATGTAAATGCAGGAGAATGTTTAATCGCACTTTATTGCACTGCCTGTTGAGGGCCCAGAACAAGAGAGGGACAATAACTAAATAAATAAATTCGTGCCACATCTCCATATCGTGAATTAAAACCACAAAACTAAATGTCATGCCGATTACCTGTATCTCCTCGATACAAATCGATAATAAATAGTATGAATTGCATTTAATAAAAGCGCGTTACTACTGTTTTCTAGAAATTTTTATTGCAACATAAAATTAATTTACTAATTATTTTATTTACTTAATTTTAAATATAAGTAATAAATCATAAGCCAACGTACTGTAGATGCTCAAAACAAATGATAAAGAATGATTTTAGCGTATTTTCGTAAATAATTTCCTATTAGTTCTTCATTTTCGTTATTCCATCAATTTTGCAAATTTCAAGATGCGGTTTTTTGCAATTTAATTCCTTACTTTGTGAATGTTTGCAACTAGAAGGAAACCGGCGGAAGCGAATTGAAACAAAGAATATAAGCTCGTAATTCGTACGGATGTCACTTACTCATTGATTTTCTTCTTTACGTATGATGAATGTTTTCTTTGGTTCTACTGTTTGTACAAACTGCCTACATTCCTTAAGTTTTAAAAGAAAATAACGCCACAAAATTATTCCCATAACTCCTTCATTTTCAATAATGCTTGGAAATTAATATTTGTAAAGGATTTTTACAGCAACTAAAAGAATATGAATAGAAAACAAGATAAGCTGGATCGTTTGAGAAACGTGTTTTGATAACCCTACATCGAACGAAAATCGACGTTTCCGTGTCTTGATAGGCATGGATTGGACGTATAAGGACGTGTTAAGTTCATAGTGTAATGTTGAAAAATTATGGTAAGTTAATTAGTACAGATATTTGCAAACACCCTCGCTGTCCAAAAGGAAACGTTTCATACAAACTGTAAATCCATTTCCAAACGTTCGATTCAAAGAAATCGATCAAATAAAACACAAAATCCGAAGTACATGAGATCTCTTATACCAGTTTCTTATTAGTTTATACTGTATATACAAATACAAAAAATTTGTTCTATACAGAAAGTATATGACTTGAAATTGCGGTTAAAACCGGGTGTTTTGGTCATTCAAATTAAAAAGATCGTATTTCTTACAAAGCTTATTTAATCAAAAATCCGGAGTTTATATTGAAACAATTTGCTTTCCAGGGTTATAAGTTGGAAACCACTGATTCCGTACATAAAAACTTCGTCATATTTTGACAAATTGGCAGTACAAAAAAGGCCCTCGGTTACATAATAAATAACATATTTTTGTTTCGATAAGGAGAGCAGTATGGGTATTAAATAAATGCCAAATTGTAACAGTGTTAGGACCGGTGAATGGGTACATTGGCAGAATGGTATAGTAACTAGAGATACCTATATAATTCTTCAGGGTATTGAACCTTTTTTGACATTGACATACTCTGTAGTGGCTTATGGTAATTTTTTTAACAGTGGTTTTCTATAGAACTAAATACTATTTTACAATTCGGAGTGTGGATGGACTCCCTTGTTTCAGTATAAGCACAAAGTGAATCCAGCTTATGATTAATGCCATCTAAGAGAGACGTGAATTTCTTAAGAAAACTCTATAGACTTCACTAGCAGATGTGTGATAGACTAAAAGAGGAGTTCATACACCATCTTTTTACACCGTGATAGTATCTTAATCGATCCCTGCGTATATTATAGTTATATTAACAGTTTTTTATATTGCTTAGTTTCTTAAAAAAAAACATAAAATAGATAGAATTAAAACTGCCACTAATTAACAATCGAGATCAAGTCTAAAAATTTATCACTCAACTGGTCTCCCATATAACAATTTGGTAGGTGTGTCAGTACGTTATTTATTATTAAATTTAACTTACCTTATTTTTCGCTATCTTATCAATTTCCGGCATCAAACGATTAAGTATCTGTATAAATGTCAACGTGAGTGATGCAGAGAAACTGCGACGTCATCAAGTACTAGCTTGGCCTCCAAAATTAGTCCACTCTATTAGTAGTTAAAAACACACCTTCTATTTTGTATGCGTTGGAATTATCAACAGATATTAATCCGCCGGGATTTCTCAATGCAATATATCCATTTATTTCAAGTAGAATATTTTTAATTTTTTCAATTGTTTTATTGATGCGCTCCCCACGTGGGTTCAAGCCGGGACTAATCATTTGGATGCTCATACATATGCTCAGAAAACCTTTTTTTCTAATTTATCGTATTGATTTCGAAACTCTTACTTATGTGGACAGTAGACATATACTTCTCAAAATAAGTTAAAGCCATTACAAGGAAAAGGATTTTCTACTATCAATTCCTCCCTTCCACCTGTAGTGACAAGTAACTACATCTAATCACTATATAAGTACAACAGGATGGGCGCATTTTGGTTACAGTACTGGTTTTGTCTATGTGTCTAGAGAATGTTTTTTTGTGAAACCTTCAGTAGACGGGTTGGTATATTCAAAATTTTATTTGTTGTTCGGAAACTATTTTGTTATTGGGAAAGTTTTGTGAAACTCAAACATCTATATTTTGTGTTTGAACCTAGGTTTGAACTTTTCACTTATCTATATTAGTACTCCACTGCCATATTAAAATTTTTCAGAAGGGCCGTTTTGCATAGATTTTTTTATTTGTTAGCAAATTTTAAAGGGTTTCAGGGTGTACGACTTTCGTTATATTCTATTACGATCAGCTTTCGTGAAAAGGTTTATTTAATTTTTTTAATTTTGTGGTTTAGTTTTGATTATATTTACAATTCGAGTTCTTCCTCAAGGATTTTTGGGTTTCGGGTCAGATGTCTCTGAGACAAGTGTCCATGAGAACTATATAATTAATAATAAAATAAGAAAGTAGTAATCTAAAAGATTGAAAATGGACATTTTTCCTATTTCCCTGAAGACGTAAAATTCCCATTCGTATATAGAACTTCGTTCCCTATTTAGGCAAATGTATCTAAAAAGAATAAAGACAAAGCGCACAACGAGTCCATTTTCATATGGGTCAATTCAATATGCCAACCTTTCACACGTCGGAATCTCTGTCCCCTTAAGAGCAACAGTGGCGGGTAGATTTATTGCACATTCAAATACTTCTTATAAATGCCCTATTGATGCGTTAGTTTAAACCATTCATATTTTTTTTATAGTTAGGAATTGGAACTTAATATTTAGTCACATGTTACGAAAAGAAAAGGGTTACTTTCCGTAGACTTAAAATGAACAACTTTGCAACATCTTTCCTGAAGCCTGTATTGAAGTACAAAAAGAGAACATTCGCAATATGTGTTTCCCTTACCCTTTACCAGCGACCATAATACGCAGAAAAGAATGTAACTATCAGAATTTATTTTTTTTCGATTTCGAGTATGCCCTTTTATAGGGTAAAATTTATTCGAAATTTCTACTCTAGGATGTTGCACTCATAAATGAAGGTGTGAAAAAATACTTTGATCCACTAGAAATTGTAAAGATACATCTAGTGGACACTTGATCTAAGATTTCTCACTATACCTCTGCCTAATGCAGTCGTAAATTTTATGTTTATAACATTCCTTCAAATTTCTTTACTTACATCGATACAGCATAAACCAAGACCAATTTGTATTATACGCTGTGTGGGACCAAGCGATAAGGGATGTAGAGATTAAATTAGTAAAGCTGACGTGCCCGAGTGGTTTCCGAAAATTATCTTTAGGTACTCGAAAATAGATCTTTTTCGTTTTAAATGCCATACCGTAATAAGTAATAGCTGTACAGTCCGTCTATTCGTCTATTAGCTCGGTTCTCTGGATGTTTGAGCTTAGTAATAGATCTTCGAGGTGCATTCGCCGATTTGGCCGCTAAAACAATTAAATTTTTCCCACTCGAAGTTCCGATCAAAATTTATGGTGTTAAGTTTATTGTGTGGTAGTATTATTGGACGAAGTAGGGGTAAGCGTAAAATACTTCTGTACCTACTCTAAGAAAAGTTCTCGGCGAAGGGAATGATTTTTCATACCATCATCCCCTAGCGTCTTATTAGTTTTAAGTAGTGATTTACTTTTATGAACCTTTTTCTAAGTCTAAGCAACTACTTACCTTATTTATTATTATAAGTATGGATCGATGGCACATGCATGATGGTTTCAATAAATTAACAAAAGTTGCTCTTGTTTTTCAAAACCTTGTGTAGTTAGTCAAGTATGTAATTCTCTACTTGTATTGTATAGAAGTCACGCTCTACAAAAAAATCTGTAACTCTCGTAATGCTAACACGAAATATCAACAGTAACGGCATCGTTAGCCATTACTAAAAACAAATCTGTTTTTAGACTAAACACCACTCGTTGCCAACGAATGAAAGTACCTCCGTATCAACCTCAACTACTGTTACCGACTTTGGATCATCTCCATCACAGTTTTCGCCCAATAACAGGTGCACCTTACAAGAAAATTTAAAAATGGTTCAATCCGAAACTCTACCTTTACAATCAACTAAGGCCGATGAGACATATGAAACTACCACTAATTGTAACACCCTCGATATGTACAATCGTGTTGTTTCTTCAAAACCATCTGCTTTTAATCAGGTTTGCATGTATTTGCCCTGTGTAACATAACTAAACCATTTTCTACTTCAGGTTTTGGCAGCGATGTCGGTATCGTTAGTTTCACTAGTAGGAGGCTTCGTCACTGCATATACTTCACCAGCATCAGATTCTCTCCAGCGGGATCTTCTCATATCGGACGATGAGGTAGGTAAATAAACAATCAATCACCTTTTAACTATTGTTTGCACGTTTGTAGCTTTCTTGGATAGGAGGATTAATGCCATTGGGTGCTCTCATCGGTGGGTTAAGCGGTGGAAAAATGATTGAATATTTGGGAAGAAAGTGCACTTTACTTGTTACAAATGCAACGCTGACATTCTCGTGGATATGCGTCGCTGTAGCTGCAAATCAATGGTATTTATATTTTGGAAGAACTATCGCAGGAGTTGCTGTTGGAATCGCTACCTTGGCAATGCCTGTATACCTAGGGGAAGCAATCCAACCAAATATACGAGGAACGTTAGGGCTCTTGCCGACAATGTTTGGCAATAGTGGAGTACTTCTTTGTTATATCGCGGGAAGTTATCTGCAATGGAATCATCTCGCATGGCTAGGAGTAGGTCTCCCAATTCCATTCATGATACTGGGGTTTGTCATTCCGGAAAGTCCAAAATGGTATGTGTCAACAAGCAAATATGAAAACGCGAAGAGATCTCTACAATGGCTACGAGGAAAGGAGGCCGATGTTCAACAAGAATTAGACAGATTATTGGTCACATTGGAACGATCTACTGTAACATCACAATCTTTATTTCAATCTAAGAACATCAAACCTGTGCTAATATCATTAGGTTTAATGTTTTTTCAACAAATGAGCGGTATCAATGCAGTTATATTTTATACATCTGACATCTTCGAAATGGCAGGATCAAGAATGATTCATAAAGATACTTCCACAATTATTGTAGGGGGAGTAAATTTTATCTCAACTTTTGTAGCTACAGTACTGATCGACAAATTGGGTCGCAAAATACTTCTTTATATTTCTAGCACATTGATGATAGTTACATTAGGATTTCTTGGTACCTATTTTTATTTGTTGAAAACTGGAATGGATGTCTCCTTTATCGGCTGGTTGCCTTTACTTAGCTTTATGGTGTACGTGTTAGGATTTTCTTTTGGTTTTGGCGCAATCCCTTGGTTGATGATGGGTGAAATATTACCTGCACATATTAGGGGAAGTGGAGCGTCCTTGGCAACGGCATTTAATTGGGCATGTACATTCGTTGTAACCAAAACATTTGTTGATATGATTCAAACTATTGGACCACATGGAACATTCTGGATGTTTTGTCTTGTTGGTGTAATTTCGGTAGTATTTATATTCTTTTGGGTGCCGGAAACACAAGGGCTCAGTCTAGAAGAAATAGAACTAAAGATCTTATCTTCGGAAATTCGGCGGGAGGAAGCTTGCTAACATGTTTATTTTGTATAGGTAGTAGTTTTATGTAGTAGACGTGTATGTGCACAATGCCAAATACGTAATTCATCAAGACTGATAGATAATTAAATTATATACGTGAAGTCCTTTTAATACATTGTAAGAAATACCTTTTATTTTTTAGTAAACACGTATGTACAATTTTTAAGAACTTGTTTATTAACCTTTGGGATGCGTCTTGATTCTTGATGGGGGATGATTACCACCCATGTTTTGTTTATACATTATATTGCTAATCTATGGTGAACTTTTCGTTATTATCCACAATTATAACATTAAAAATTCAAATTTTCAAGACACTAACACCACATACGGTATTTCATTGATTCGAAATGCAACTTAAAACTCCGAAAACGCTTATATTGTAGGATTTTTCGCAAGTTAGGCGCGTAAACAAAAATCAATCTTTAAAATGCAAAATTCGCAATACGAAACGCTGGTAACCGGTTGTATTTGTCGTATGAATGAGAAAGTATACGAGTATAAAGGAAAAATGAGAGTAAAGAAGGAGTATCGAATGTAAAATTAGATCTTGGCGTTTAATTTCAGCCGATTTTAGATCAATGCATGGGATGGCAGAACCTTGAATAGTGTTTTAGGTAATAGTGTTTTTATTCAATGGTAATAGTCTAGGCGATAAAGACATCTAACTAGACATTTTGAGATGGGAAAGAAAAAAATGGTAGAATATGTTCAGTTAGGTGTCAGAAACAACATATTAAAAATCCCACCCCTCAGACCCTGTGCTAAAGGCTCCAGCCACTCCACCACCCCCCAAAAACCGTGTCTTCGCTCTTTTTAGCTGATATCTCGCGATCTATGAGGTCTATATGAAATATTTTTAGCTGAAAATATTTCTCGTGAAATTTCATACAAGGTAGACACTCAGTAGTTAGCCTAGGGGTACCTCGTAGCCTAGGAAATTCATAACAGAGGCGAAAATCATCAATTTTCGTGGCTTTTTGCTAATAAATCGCGACCTTTAGAGCTAGATGAAATATGTTTAGCTGAAAATGCTCTTCGTGCAATTTCATACGAGGTAGGTAACTGAAGAGTTGGCGTAAAGTCACCTTTCACCTTCAACTTTCATGTGTGAGGAAATATTCGTTGTAAAATAAAGTATTACTTATGCGCCATTTATTCACGTAAAACCGAGCGTAAAACAGTATTTTCATATCAAAATATTCACACATTCATTTATACCTCAACGTAATCATTATCCTCTGCAGATTCCACTTCTTCAGGCTCTTCGACGCAGTGGCGTATTTACGGGGGGGATGAAGGGGATATATCCCCCCCCCCCCCAGAAGAATTGAGTTATCATCATAGCTATTAGGTATTTAGGTAATACTCCGCTATCCGCTCCGCCCACTTTAAAATGAAGGCATATATATAAGGTATATATAGAGAGCAATTTTGGTTTTGGTTAAAGTCTAAAGTCACTAAAATCTAAATATTCTGTAGTATTCAGTATTCACTATTCAGTGAGTGATCAGTGTTGGCAGTCAACGATTTGGCTATTCGGCATCGATCGGCAATTCGCTACATTGATGCCCAAAATAACAAATAGGTATCAGGTACTTAGTACTGCTACTGAGGTGAGGTACCTGCGTCCTGCCTTTCACGAAATGACGAAAATAAGAATTTTAAATTTTAAAAACAGGAATTTTTTTGCCCATAACTTTTGATGGAGACGTCTAATCGAAAAAGTACGAATCGTTTTGGATTCTACGCACCCAAATTAATAAGAAAAAGTTTTTTCCCGAGAAATTTTGGTGCAGTCGATTTTTGGTAAAAAAGGAAGGTAATAACTGCCTTTTTTTTGCCCAGAAAAAAAAATTGTCCCAGATCGACCGGAAAAAAATATTTTCTTATAGAATGTGGCCTGTAGAATCCATAATTTCAAACAGTTCCAAGATTGGGCTACTACTTCAAAAGTTACAGTCCTTTGAATTTTTTGTCGAAATTGGTTTTTTGCACATAACTTTTGATGGTGACGTCTAATCGAAAAAGTACGAATCGTTTTGGATTCTACGCACCCAAATTAATAAGAAAAAGTTTTTTCCCGAGAAATTTTGGTGCAGTCGATTTTTGGTAAAAAAGGAAGGTTATACACTGCCTTTTTTTTGCCCAGAAAAAAAATTGTCTCAGATCAACCGGAAAAAAATATTTTCTTATAGAATGTGGCCTGTAGAATCCATAATTTCAAACAGTTCCAAGATCGGACTACTAGATTAAAAGTTACAGCCCTTTGAATTTTTTGTCGAATTTGGTTTTTTGCCCATAAATACACCTATTATTGAAAGTTTTCGTTGACTAATTAAAGCAAAAGCAATAAAGGGGCCTGTCAGCAGTAAGAAATAAAATACCGTTCTAATCTAATCTTTTTCGCCTGACTGTATGTGCCACGAACTTGTCCCCCCCCCCCAGAAACATTTCCTACGTAACGCCCACTTGCTTCGACGTCCTCTTAAGTGGTAGTGGTTCGTAGTTCTCGTCTTCCGCTTTACCTGCATGGGCACCCTGAAGAGACGACGTGGCATTTAGGCACGATGTTCCATGACACTGGACGCAGAATTCGTTCTTCAGACCCACAACAAGAAGCATTATGTCAAAAAATTTTTATAATTAAGTATACGAATATAACATTCTCTCGTGTGTCCTAACTCCTAAGTGTCCGGTGGAGAATTTACCTGATTTTCTGAAACTGCAAGCAGTCATTGCAACCACGTTCATCAGCCACATAAAATAAGTTTGAGGAGGCTTTCCTGACGCCTATCACAACGACTTCGGATCCAGCCCAGGAAAGTCTCCTCAAATTTCAGTTTCAGAAAATCAGGTAAACCTTTTCCACCGGACACTTAGGAGGACACACTAGAGAATATTATATTCGTATAGGTAGGTACTTAATTATAATTTCTTTTTTGACATAATGCTTCTTTTTGTAGGTCTGAAGAACTAATTCTGCGTCCAGTGTCATGGAACATCGTGCCTAAATGCCACGTCGGGTCGTCTCTTCAGGGTGCCCATGCAGGTAAAGCGGAAGACGAGAACTACGAGTCGGTCGAAGAGCCTGAAGAAGTGAAATCTGCAGAGGATAATGATTACGTTGAGGTATAAATGACTGTGTGAATATTTTGATATGAAAATACTGTTTTACGCTCGGTTTTACGTGAATAAATGGTACATAGAAATACTTTGTTTTACAATGAATATTTCCTCACACATGAAAGTTGAAGGTGAAAGGTGACTTTACGCCAACTCTTCAGTTACCTACCTCGTATGAAATTGCACGAAGAGCATTTTCAACTAAACATATTTCATCTAGCCCTGAAGGTCGCGATATATTTGCAAAAAACCGCAAAAAAAACACGAAAATTGATGATTTTCGCCCCCTTTTATGAATTTCCTAGGCTAAGAGGTACACCTAGGCTACCTTCTGAGTATCTACCTTGTAAGAAATTTCACGAGGAGTATTTTCAGCTAAAAATATTTCATATAGACCTCATAGATCGCGAGATATCAGCCAAAAAGCGGGAAAACACGGTTTTTGGGGGGTGGTGGGGTGGCTGGAGCCTTTAACACAGGGTCTTTTCCACCTCAAAATGTCCAGTTTGCCAATTTTACAGTCTCTATCGCCTAGACTATAAAGCAATATAGTAACAAAAAACCACCTGTAAATGTTTTTTACATGTGTTTTTGTGACTACAAATTTCTCAGCATGATCCTGGCAACGATTTACTCCTTTATTTCGATCATCTTGGCAGTGTAAGCCCTGGTGGAGTAGGTAAAATACATATAAAAACACATTTAGAATATAAAATTGTAATTAAAATTTCGAATACAAATGGTCAAACCATTTATTTATTTGCGATAAAGTCTACATTTTTATAAGCAATTTTTCAAATGTATCGTTTCTTAGATTCGACTGCATAAATTGCATTTCCTCATATACAAGAAGGTATTTGGGTGTTTAGAGGCGTCACTCAAGCCACCCCACGTTTGAAGTACAGTTGGGAACATCTGCAGCGAAAGCGGCTCTAATCTTGACTATGTTCAGTTAGGAATTTCGCAACGTGGGCTCTCATTTGCAGTGGGGGACACTCACAAAGAAAGTGGTGAGCCGCCACTTGCTTGTATTGCATCCTCTACAGGAGGGTGATTGACTAAGCCCATGTAGGTCTCCCTGTCGTTCTTAGTTAGTTTGGAGCGGTGTGGGACAGTTTACCCAACCAGGGTTTCTGCTTGGCGATTGCCTTAGACTACACCACCAGGAGTGTTTTCAAAGTTGCTTGTTGCTCCTTATGCCTCTACGGCATGCCCCATCCTCCGTTCATAGAACTTCACCATTATGTCGGTAAGAATATCAAGTGCATCCTGAATCCAAAAGGTAAGCCTAAAGTGTTTTGCACCGAAATGAAGGCGCCGCAGTGTCCTAGATTTCAATTTCGAAAACGACGGAAATCCCTCACTTTGCGCTTTGAAAATAGGTAGGGCCATCTAGCACCATTAAATACTAACTAAAGTCTTTTGTTTTAAATTAAACAACTGCCTTACGACATCGTGCGCCATCTATGATAACCAACGCAACCTGCGGATGTGTCATTTGCTTGATCAGCTGGTGGGTTTGGCACATGAATTTTTAAGTGGTTTGTGCGCAGAATCGACAGTTTTCATTGAGTTCTTCGTCCTCTACTTGGAATTACATTCCATTTCGTGGTCGCTTGTCTGTATTTTGGTGTTAGAAATTTTATAACTATTTTTTTCTTCGTAGTGTACATAAGTGGTAAATTTTAACAAGTATTTATTAATGCATGAACGACTGCATTGCGCGGTTTTCAAAACATAAACCCCCTGCCCAGCATTAAGACATGAATAACGAAAATATACTTCAAGTGGGATCAAGTATTAACATCAAACGAACCGATGGTGAGTTTTTCACATTTTTAATTATGTGTTGTATCGGCTTTTATACCTACGGCGCTATTTTGTCACTGTTAGCGTTCATCTTGTTTATTCTTTGTTGCTAACATCGATTTATCAATATCAATTTATCCAACCGCCGTTTGTTATTGGCCCATCGTCATTTATTATCCTTACTGCTTTTATTTTAACGGCTTAAGTTGGATTATTACGATTATTAAAGCAATATCAACATAGAGCACTTATCAAACGATATGCAGCACATTGCAAATAATGTGCCTGTCAAAAATTGCAATGATCGTTCGAACTCACATTTTCAGATGCCTTGGAATCTAAATTAAGCTTATTGATTTTAAATTAAATTTCTTACTCATAAGGTTCACAGTTTAAAATATACGAGAAAGTGTACAACCTCTGACTCATTGATCAAATTATCTACCGGTTTGAATCGTTTTACATGACAATTTTAAGATCAATTTGAATAAATAGGTATCCGAAAAACGCAAAACGGGATCCTGTATTGAAAATTGAACGTCATTATTAAGAACAAAATGACGCAAACATGTGGGTTTGAAACCGTGGATTCCTTATAAGGCCACTATATGCACAAGGCCAAACTTTAACAATTTTCGAACTTAAGTTTACAATTTTTAATTAGCCAGGCTGCTCCTCGCCGTTTTTTCCCGTGTGATAATTTTGAGGTGTTACTTCCTGTCTTTTAAAAATCACCATTTAAAACGAAAACTCGTCCAGCTTGCACATCATGTGTAATTTATTCATAAAAATCATGCGCGCCTACTTTTGTTAAGCTTCAAATTCGTGCATGATTTTGCTTCCGTGAAGTTGGCGGCTGGAAAATGAAGCAATGTAAGTACAAAAACTCGTTCCCATTGTACCTCCACCGTTTTCGGAGAATACCGTGATTAAAACCACGGAACACATTTTGTATAGGTATATCTAAATCTCCCCAACTATAATAATAATAGTCATTTATTGGAATAACGGAAGCAAATAAAAAAAAGTCACACGCCGTTAATCCAAAAGGGCATAGTTCAGACACTTAGATACTGTTCTACCACCACTTTATTGCATTTTCGAAATTTGCATGATGATCTACGTCATTTGATACCACATTTCCTTATACCTAGCATCAAAGGTTTTCGAGTTATTCAAGATTTTTCCAAATTTTTGACCTTTGACTGCTCTTCTTTTGAACCCTGTACCTATGACTCCGTTAACTTGAATTGTCTTTCAAAATCAACAATACTGACTTGGTCAATTAATAACTTCAAACCTTAAAAGCCGTTATTTTTTGTACTTTCAAATGTTGAAAAAAATGCTCATGTAGCACCAAGTCAGTATTGCAGACTTTGGAAGATTTTTCGAAATTCAATTCAAAGGAGTTCACTAGAAAAGCATTCATATGTTGAAAAAGCTTGCATTGAAAACCTTTGCTGCTGAGTATAGGGCAGTGTGATATCAAACGACGTTGATTTGGTAACAAATGGCGCTGTAATCACTGAAAGTAATTTTTGCTGCGGTTTTCGTCATTTCACTGGCAAAGAATTATGTTTACAGTGTAATATCACAACGTTGCTAATGTCGTAAATTTAATTTAAAAAAAAAACATAAAACACATAGACAAAAATATTCTTAATCCTAATCTACTCAGTACGGCCTCTTTCGTAAATGCAGAAAAAAACCTGTTACCACGAGAAAAAAATTCTTCATACTTTTTTTGAGTATTCGAGATTTTGTCTAGTAAAAAATTAGGCTTCTCATTTGAAATTATAAAGTTTCTTCCAAAAGTGGGGATTGGTGGGATCCAAGTTTCAGGTCATTCAATCGAGAAGAATAATATGTATTAGTAAGTTTCCTGGGCTATTTGGTAAAATCGAGGGTAAAAGTGTTAATCCCCTGAGTTATAAAACGGGTGAGAAAATTGAGGGGCGAAGTCAGGGGCATGAAAAACGCAAATGATAACTAATTGCATCCGGGAGGTGCCAATTGAACGATGTCACAAGATTTTGATTTTCCTTAATCGAAAAAATCCTGTTCACAGACAAAAACATATTTAGTGTTGATCCTGTGTAGAATTCCGTAAACTGATGGTTACATAATCCACTGATCTTCAAAATGAGTCGCGTAGGAAAGTTACAGTTTGTACAAACCAATTCATTTCGGTGAGACCTTTCATTAGAATACCATAAAGGGCAGAACGTGTGTTCACCCCCGCCCCCCATTTTCAAAAATTTTACTTGGCACGACTAAATGCAAAATCTGAAACCAGTTGGTTGTCGCATATAAATGTTATGCATACGTTTTACTTTCAAAAACAGCATCTAGGGAAATAATTCATGGGGCTGGCCCCCCTTGAGACAGCAAAATTTGACACACCTTCAAGATAGGCTACTTATTGCAAAACACTCCAGGACTTTAGGACCATTCCCCTACAAAAAGTTTAAATCCGCAGAAGTGGGTCGAGACGGACAAAACGCAAGCCGTCTGTCTGGACCCACTTCTGCAGTTTGACTACTACTGGGATAAAGACTAATTGGTGCTTTAAAAATTTTCTTTGTCAAACTGAAAGTATGTCGAACTCGCCTTTAGCATCTTTATTTTATAGGATTATTACATGAACTTGGAATTTTCTCTTGTGACAATTACATTTTAAACTGACGTTAAATTTACCTTGGAAATGTAACATTGTTAAAATATTAACAAATTCTATAGTAGTAGGTAGTTATTTTTCTAACATGTAGGTATGATAGGAAAGTTATTGATTTTGCCTTCGGTAACGTATAAATAATAAATGACGGCAACACTGTTTCTTTTTCATGTAAAAGTAAGAATTCATTTTTTACAGGACGAATCCATACGGCTTATGTGGCTCGTATTAACTATGATCTCAAAAGCGCAACAGTGGAGTGGTTCGAGAATGGCGAAACGAAAGGAAAAGAAGTTGACATGGATTCGATAGAATCTCTAAATCCTGAAATGACACTACTTCGACCTAGTGATCCGGAGCCCAGCTCGTCTCATTCTCAAGTGGAAATGAACCAGCTGCAAAGGGTAGATATACGTTCACACATAATTAACTTTCGAAGCCTTTTGTGTTTGTTGTATCTATTTAGTACCTGGTACGGATTAGATACGATTAATTGTGCTTTACCAATAGGGGAGGTCATCAACTCCTCATAATGCGTGACACACTCTAAATTAACTAGTGCAATTTTTCAATTTGTGCTGCTAAATATCAGGATTCATCTGCTTCTTCAGAAGAAGAAACTAGTGCTGCAATGGCGCGATCAGGTCGTTATAGTCATAAACTTGACGAGAGTGACGATGATTTTAATAGTAACCAGCTTTCACCAGACACTGCAACTTTATCGGTATTTTTATAATTTCATTCGTAACACTATTTCATCTAATGTTCCCTATTTTTTCACAATGCATTAATACATTCTTTTCCCTTAGAATCCAACTAAAGCTTCTTTGGCCACTATTACTAATAAAAATACCAACGGTGCAATAAGTGCTGCTCACTCCAACCACAGACAAACCCTCTCTGTTCATACAAACGGCCACACACAGACGGTAGCTGCAACTGCGAATGATACATCTCGACAATCTCAGGTACCAAATTACAATTTTTAAAATATGGAATTCAATGTTTGTTATGTGCAGAATCCAAAATGTAGTAGTGTAGTAAAACAGATAGAGAAATTGAAAAAAAATCGTGAGGAGAGGAGGCAACGGCAAGCAGAGGAAAAGGCAGAGAAGGAAGCTTTTTTACAAATGGCCCCTGGAAATCCCCACTGGGAGTTGCTGAATATGATTTTGTGAGTATAAACATAGTATCCCCCTTTCGGGAAACAACAGACCGAAAGATCAATTGTACAGGGTGGCCAACTAAGAATGCGAGGTACTGTATCTGAGAATTTATCCATCGCAGAGGCTTGCGGTAAAAAAATTTATTACTAAAACGGCCACGAGCAAAACCTGGAAAATATTTTTAAGCTTCTGAAATGACCGCTAGGGGGCGTAACTGCAATTTGGAATCTAAAAAAGGGATGTTTTTGTGAATTCCGCTATATTAACCTAACAAAAAAATGTCCAGTCTTTGAAGTTGAGGATAATCGGAACAATTTTTGTTGGACAATTTTTCCTGTATCTCTAAAAATGAAGTGGTGGGGAGTATTCAAACGTTTCCGTAAAGAACACCCTGTGACTTCGAAACGGCTGAGCCGATTTAAACAAACTCAGGTTAGTTCAAAAGAGCTATTCTTAAGCTACAAATATTATACTATTTGAAGTTTTGTTAGTTTCACATATCACCGCTTGAGGGCTTTTTTCGACATTCCGGCAGAAATGGTTAATTTGTTCAAAAAAATTAAATGCATTGGTTCGATTTTTTTTTCATTAAAAGGAGCTAAATGATACCTAAACATGCTCGCGAAAACAGCATTTCGATATCTTGAGATAAATATATATATATATATATATATATATATATAAATCGACCCACCTTAGGGCCACAAATTATATAATAAAAATAATTCCGGAAAAATTAGCTTAAAAAAATTAAATTTTGTGGGTATAAAATTTTCTTTGGCCTAAATTTTAGGTTAGGAACAAGATATCGAGATGCGGTTTTCGCGAGCTTGTTTAGGCATCATTTAGCTACTTTTTCATGAAAAAAAATCAAACCAACGCATTTAATTTTTTTGAGAAAATTAACCATTTCTGTCGGAATGTCGAAAAAAGCCCTCAAGCGGCGAGATGTGAAACTAACAAAACTTCAAATATTATAATATTTGTTGCCGAAGAATAACTCTTTTCAATTAATCCGAGTTTGTTAAAATCGGTTGAGTTGTTTCGAAGATACAGGGTGTTGTTTACGGAAACCTTTGAATACCCCCCACCACTTCACTTTTAGAGATACAGGAAAAATTGTCAAACAAAAAAGGTTCAGATTATCGTCGTCTTCAAAGACCGGACATTTTTTTGTTAGGTTAATATAGCGGAATTCACAGAAAAATCACTTTTTAGATTCCAGATTGCAGTTACGCCCCCTAGCGGTCATTTCAGAAACTTAAAAATATTTTCCAGGTTTTTCTCGTGGCCGTTTTAGTAATAACTTTTTTTACCGCAAGCCTCTACGATGGACAGGTTCCCAGATACAGTACCTCGCATTCTTAGTTGGCCACCCTGTACAAATACAGGTACATACTGAAATTTGTTCAGCATTTTTTCCAAATAACTGGAAGGTTCCCTAAATGGGAGTGCAAAAGAAAACTGATCTTGATGAAAGCCGGCTTTCTTTAACATGAAAATAAAAAATCTAAACTTGGTTTTGGGCAAGAAAAAAATTTTAGATTTCACTTTATACTCAAAAAACTAATAAACTATAAATGCGATTTTTTGCAGAGATTATCGCCGTGGTCTTGATATAAGACCATTAACGGAAAATGATGCCATTGAAGATCACCTAATCACAGTGTGTGTTCGAAAAAGGCCTTTAAATAAAAGAGAATCGGTCCGGAAGGAGGTTGACGTAATCACGATACCCTCAAAAAATCAACTTATTGTGCACGAACCGAGAAACAAAGTTGATCTCACAAAGTATTTGGAAAACCAATTGTTTAGATTTGATTACGCCTTCGATGAAACGTGTTCTAACGACATTGTTTATAAGTAAGTTTTTTTGCAATGTACAGAATTGCATGGTAATGTGAAACTTGCCATTTCACAACAGATACACTGCTCAACCGTTAATCAAGACAATTTTTGAGGGCGGTTTTGCCACATGTTTTGCTTATGGGCAGACCGGCTCCGGAAAGACGCACACCATGGGAGGGAATTTTAATGGTAGAAATCAAGACTGTCAAAAGGGGATTTACGCGATGGCGGCGGCCGACGTATTTCAACTGGCGAAATCGCCTAAATATAGGCATTTAGATATGATCGTGTCATCGAGCTTTTTCGAAATTTACTCCGGAAAAGTCTTTGACCTTTTAGCCAACAAAGCAAAACTTCGAATATTGGAAGACGGAAAGCAACAGGTGCAAGTGGTTGGTCTTACCGAAAAAGTTGTCACATCCGTACAAGAAGTGTTGAAATTAATTCAAAAGGGAAATTTGGCCAGGACCTCTGGACAAACTTCAGCGAACGTCAACTCTTCTCGGTCGCATGCCATCTTTCAAATACTTCTACGAATAAGTAACACTATTCATAAAGTGTACGGAAAGTTTTCTCTCATCGATTTGGCCGGTAATGAGAGGGGTGCTGATACATCGTCTGCCGATAGACAAACCAGTAAGTACAATTTAATTAGTATGAAGTTAGCAAGACTAACCAATATTGTTCATCTTTAGCTTTGTTTATTCATTAATAGTTGTTTCACCTGAAGTGATTGGTACTGTATGAATATTGAACAATCAATTAGTTTTAATGTAAAGAGATATATTTTCTAGTTCTTATACAAAATTTGTGCCATGCTTGTAGATTGTAATCATCACACTTTTGTTACCAAAACACATTCAGTTTAATGCACTTTTTTGTTTTTTGTCACGCCCACAATGGTTTTACTGTCTGACTGATATTGCTTGAAGGGCCCATTGTACTCTCTCCTGTGTGAAGATTTTTGAGGATTCGATTTTAACTCTGGAGTGAGGCCTTCTGCCTCTGTCTGTTGAAAAGAACCCTTTACTTCTTGGTGAACCTGGAAAGTGAGTGCCCATGAGGAGCTCTTATGTTTCCCTGGCACCCACTGTGTATTTCCCATCAGGTTTACAGAATTTGCGCCAAGTCCTTCTTTCGGACCTTCTTATCGCGGAATTGTACTCTTCTCTATTGTGGTGCGCATTAGCATCACTGCCCGTGACTAGGTATTCCACCAGAGCTTTTACTTCTTCTGCGGATATGCCACCGAGGCCCCTTTCCCACTACCGAAGGTGACTCTGGGGATTTGTACTGCAACCAGGTCTGGGTCAGGACTGTAACTTTTGAACTAGTAGTCCAATCTTGGAACTGTTTGAAATTATGGATTCTACAGGCCACATTCTATAAGAAAAATTTTTTCCGGATCGATCTAAAACAATATTTATTTCGGGGTTCAAAAAAAGGCAGTGTTTAAACCTTCCTTTTTTACCAAAAATCGACTGCACCAAAATTTCTCGGGAAAACACTTTTTCTTATTAATTTGGGTGCGTAGAATCCAAATCAATTTGTACTTTTTCGATCAGACTTCTCAATCAAAAGTTATAGACTAGAAACCAATTTCGAAAAAAAATTCAAAGGGCTGTAACTTTTGAACTAGTAGCGCAATCTTGGAACTGTTTGAAATTATGGATTCTACAGGCCACATTCTATAAGAAAATTTTTTTTCCGGGTCGATCTGAGACAATTTTTTTTTCGGGGCTCAAAAAAAGGCAGTGTATAACCTTCCTTTTTTACCAAAAATCGACTGCACCAAAATTTCTCGGGAAAACACTTTTTCTTATTAATTTTGGTGCGTAGAATCCAAAACAATTCGTACTTTTTCGATTAGACTTCTCAGTCAAAAGTTATAGACTAGAAACCAATTTCGAAAGAAAATTCAAAGGGCTGTAACTTTTGAACTAGTAGCCCAATCTTGGAACTGTTTGAAATTATGGATTCTACAGGCCACATTATAAGAAATTCCGGGTCGATCTGAGACAATTTTTTTTCGGGCCTCAAAAAAAGGCAGTGTTAACCTTCCTTTTTTACCAAAAATCGACTGCAACCAAAATTTCTCGGGAAAAAAACAGAATGGCACGGGGGGGGGGTGACGATTGCCACCTAGCCTGTAGATCATAATGGCCCGTTGGAAATTTATAAGTATGTGCTGTATTTAGTTTCTTGCACTATTAATAAATTATTAACACGTTTCTCTAATTGGGGTTGATGTTAGGTTGTTAAAAAATTCTGTTTTAATTGAAGTGTTTTACAATGAATTTATCATTTTTTGTCGTAGCATGAAAGTGCTGAAATACAATGATAGGCGACGCACCTCGTGTGGATTGTATATTTTGTTACTTTTAATTATCAGCTGCAATTTTAAAAAAAACTGTATGGTAATTTATTTTCGAGAAAGGAGTACTTTAAAACCTACACGAGTTTGCCCTTTTGGATGTCTATACATTAGCCAATAAATCTTTCCATTGGCTTTGCACTCTCAAATATGCAAACGTTGACAAGTCTGTTCTTTTATAGGAATGGAAGGAGCAGAAATAAATAAATCACTCCTCGCCTTAAAAGAGTGCATAAGAGCTTTGGGTCGTAAAGGATCTCATTTACCATTCCGAGTTAGTAAATTAACTCAAGTACTGAGAGATTCCTTTGTCGGTCCAAATTCGAAAACGTGCATGATTGCCATGATCTCGCCAGGTGTGTCCTCTTGCGAACATTCGTTAAATACGCTACGATACGCGGATAGAGTGAAAGAATTGGGCGGCGGTGACCTACAGACTACCCCTTGTGAAGAGGAATTTGATAACGAAGAACCTGATGACGGAGCATTGATACAACTTAGATCGTTAAACGTAATTTAAATTTGGTATTTTTAACTGAAGTGGTGTGACAATTTTTTTTAGGAAAATGACATGAGTCCTGAAATGTTAAACTTCCATCAAATGATATCGGAAATACAAATCGCCGAAGACACTATGTTAGATGTTCATAAACAAACGTTAGAAAATTTTCTTCCTGTTATAATTGAGAAAGGGAATAAATATCTCAAAATGGCCGATGACGTTGCGTTTGATCAAGAAGGTACTATTCACATCCAAGCTTTAATAAATGAAATGTTTTTTAGCATACTGTGCTGCGTGGGAAGAACTAATTATAAATTCTATGCATGGACTGACAAGAGCGCGAGAGGTTATCACCAATCTTAGAAGTAAAATGGCAGACGAAGAACAGCTTAGTCGCAAAACCAAAAGAAAATAATGTAATTTGCTACCTTTAAAATTTTTTTATGAACCAATGTGTAATAACACAGTATTATTGTAAAAGTTGTGAATTGTGCCATGATCTGGTAGTAAGTGTTTTAATTTTATTTACTAATGTATAGGCGATTGGCTATTATGCTTACAAAATAAGTGCCTTGCTGCCGTTTTAATAACTTTTATTTTATAATTGTATGTAGCGCGTAAAAAATTTTAATTTCTCCCATTATGTGAGCGGTACTTAATACCATATCATGGTACAGACAAATCTTTGTTCTGTAAGATCTTCAAATTTTAATTATTAATTATTTATTGTATTTTATATGGCCAATTTTTGGAGTTAACATTCCTAATTAATATACTGTAAAAATGATGTTCCATTTTAGCTGGCATTGAGCCTTACACCAGTCATACCCTACTTAGTTTTGTAGTAATAATTAGGCTGTGCTAATTGTTTTACGATAAATGCTGGCTCGTTTGTTTAATTATGCTTAGATATTTAAGGAAATTAACTGTTTCATTTCTGTAACAGATTTTCCAATGAGCAACTTATGCTTAATTTTATATGAAAATAAAAGTTGTTTATTGTAAAATGTCATATCCGCACGAGGCCTTTCTGTTTAACAAAACGGCAATTTGAAATTATGTTTCTCAAATTTAGTTCATAATAAATGTATTTAAAAAGTCTGTCGCATTAATTGCTAAATTATATTCTTCAAACTGTACATTTATCATGAACTAATAAATTTCATACAAATCTTTAATGTATGCTAAGGATATTTCTTTCATTCATATACACTGATTCCCATTACTACAGTGATGTGGTTCAAGGTAAAACACACTACCTCGAGCTACAGTCTATATATATATGTATATACACAGTAACGCCATGCTCAGTTTTGTAGTGCAGAAATTTTATCAATTACATAACTTGTACACATGAATAAGTCCCATTTCTTGTGTCTATTTCGACATTGTAATGCTAAACATTGAACAAAATTGACTATGAATTTTTCATATCGGTGCAAGGCACTTTGTGAATGTATGAAGCATACCTTTCTAATTAGGGTTGTAGAGAAAAGCCAAAGTTGGGTCCTATGTATGGTTTTGCGTTTGCCTCTTTTGCAAGTTCGTCTGGTTACCTGCGATTCCTGCATGACCAGGTGCCCCCCACACTAGTGTGACTGTTTTACATCAACTTAGTGCGTTTATCACTTGTGTGCATTAAAGGACGTCCTGAATTTATTACATACCAGTCCAATGCTGCAACTGCCACTTAATGTTTATAGCGGAGCCACATTTCATGTAGGTGTTGCAAAGGTACACATATTACACAAGGTAACATCACAACTTTTGTGTGTGGGGGGTGCACAATATATGTTGGACCTTTCTTTAGGTCCCCTCTAGATTTTTAGAGTATGCTTAAAACGCTCTTAAGTAATTTCCAAGGATTCTTGACGCACTTTCTAGACCTTAGAAAAGGTCCAAGCTGAAAATTGATGAAGAGGGTTTTAAAAAGCGTGATCTGGGTCGAGATTGCTTTCAAAGGTGATATAAAAATAAGCCTTGTAAAGTGTGTAGAAGTTTGTAAAAAGCATTTAGAAAATATTCTAGAGCCCTTAGTGACACTTTCAAGCAAAGCAATCAAAATTGTGTACAATAAAGCTCTGCAAAGTAAAAGGTACCAGAAACGCACTTATATAACTCCTGAGCTCCTATAATGCCTTCCGACAACTCCAAATGCAGATTAAGGAAAATGCTTAAAAGCGTTACAATGCTTTACATTTACTGTAGTCCATTGGTGTTTTCCACAGAGCTTTTCTATTGTTATGGTAACCAATCAAAGCAATAAAAATACTGTGTAAAAAGCATTAGTGTTTTACGAACACTTCTGTACGTGTTCCGGAACCTTCCAGCTTACAACTCCTTCTACAGTTAACAGAAGGCCTAGAATAGAAGCGCTATGCATGCTAACATTTAATAATAATAACATGGAATCCCATGGTACAACTGATTCAGCAAAAACACTGCTCATCGTATACACATAAATAGGTGGAGTAATCACAAAAAAAGAAACACTTTCAGCTAAAAATAAAACGTGTAGGTACATCATTGTGACACAAAAATTAAAAAAATAAATAAATAGTTGGTACAGAGATTAGAATGGAACATATATTTCAGGTCATAGATATAAAGTCATCTTTAAAACTTTAAAAGTTATGGGCAAAAAACCAATTTCGACAAAAAATTCAAAGGGCTGTAACTTTTGATCTAGTAGTCCGATCTTGGAACTGTTTGAAATTATGGATTCTACAGGCCACATTCTATAAGAAAATATTTTTTTCCGGTCGATCTGAGACAATTTTTTTTCTGGGCAAAAAAAGGCAGTTATTACCTTCCTTTTTTACCAAAAATCGACTGCACCAAAATTTCTCGGGAAAAAACTTTTTCTTATTAATTTGGGTGCGTAGAATCCAAAACGATTCGTACTTTTTCGATTAGACGTCTCATCAAAAGTTATGGGCAAAAAAAATTCCTGTTTTTAAAATTTAAAATTCTTATTTTCGTCATTTCGTGAAAGGCAGGACGCAGGTACCTCACCTCAGTAGCAGTACTAAGTACCTGATACCTATTTGTTATTTTGGGCATCAATGTAGCGAATTGCCGATCGATGCCGAATAGCCAAATCGTTGACTGCCAACACTGATCACTCACTGAATAGTGAATACTGAATACTACAGAATATTTAGATTTTAGTGACTTTAGACTTTAACCAAAACCAAAATTGCTCTCTATATATACCTATATATTATTGCCTTTATTTTAAAGTGGGCGGAGCGGATAGCGGAGTATTACCTAAATACCTAATAGCTTGATAACTCAATTCTTCTGGGGGGGGGGGGGGGTATATCCCCTTCTTCCCCCCCCCCTATAGCCCCTTCTTCCCCCCCCCCCTCGGAAATACGCCACTGGAGTAATGTCCCATAGCACACACGTGTGCTTTGCAACGTACGTCGATGCTAGATGCTGAAAGTGCTCTTGACATTGTTACGTAATTCGTCGTGGTGCCATTTGATTGGTTGAAACTCAAAACCCTAACCTACCTAAATGTTTATATGTTACTGGTATGGAGTTTTATTTACGTGTTAACTTATAATGAAAATTGTGATAATGTCTTATTATAAATCAAATTATTTAATTAGTCTAAGTTTAATAGTGTCATGAAAATTGTTTCAATAATAATTTCTATTTTAATTGCTGTGATATGTGTTCTTCTAGCTTTATTGCAACATTACTACATTAGCTTTATTAATATTAAGAAAAATGATGTTAAACCATATGTTCCTGTTTTCGAAGATATGCTTGCTAGGGAAGACAAAAGTATTATAGATCTAAACTATGAAGAAATAAAAATTTTGGACCCGTTAGATGATATTCCAATAGTTACAACCGAAGCTCCTGTGATAACTCCGCAAAACGATAATTACTTAGCAACGGATGCTGAAGTACAACACCTATTGCAAGCTGCTCTAGCTTTCAAACTGTCAGGTAAAATGGAGAAGGCTATGAAACTTTTTGAACACGCTGCTGCGATTGCTCCTCAAAATCCTGATGTATTAAATGGTTATGGGGAATTTATTGAACATAGGCATAATGACATTATTGCAGCCGACGAATTGTATCATAAGGTACGCTCTCTTTTGAAATATCTTTAATCAACATTGTGTTTTATAGGCTTTGACAAATTCACCAGAGCATAAAGGTGCGCTAATGAACAGGAAACGAACTGCACATATTGTGGATAAACTTGACTTGCTACTGTTTAAATTAATCGATGAAAAACGTGACCTTTTACAGAAGAAACAAGAAACAAGTCCTATTTACGACATTATGAAGAAAAGAGCTTATTATTTACATATTTACCATACAGTAAGTGATGCCACAGATGTAAATATATCTACTATAGGTGGCTCATGACAATCAAGTTGCATACCTTACGTTGCAATTTATAGTCATCTTTAATTACACCATTTAAACCTACATTATGAAGGTAAAGGAGATTTTAACAAAGATGGGAATTTGAAATCGTGGGCGTTAAACGTATTTTGTTTTTGCATTATAGGCGGATTTCATCTCTTTTGGCAGTCGCTAATTAGAAGAATTGGTAGAACGCAGATTTGGTTAGCATCCCATAATTTTGTTTAATTTTAATTGGGGTTCTAGCTGCTAACTTCACAAAGGTGTCACTGTTTTAAAAGGACTTAAAGTGGAAAGGATTTAAAGTCATTCCATAAAATTTAAAATATTTCCAAGAAAAATCTAAAAGAAATTTCAACATTTTGAATTGTTAAGGTACAGGGTGAGCAACATAAAACCGAACCCATAACCGTGGTGACCGTCAAGTGGAGTCTTTTTATTGATTGGTAGCCCCCAATTCAAAACTTGTGATGAGCTATCTGTAATATATTATATTTGTGGTAACGCTTTGAGAATGCAAAATCTGAATTTGCATTTTTTTAGGTTGGTATCGAAGGCAACACCTTAACTTTAGATCAATTGATTAGCGTAATAGAAACTGGAACTGCTGTCCAAGGGAAGAGCGTACTAGAACATAATGAAATTTTAGGACTGGAGTTAGCTATGAAATATGTTAAATTATTAACACGGTTTCCTATAATCGGTGTTAATGAAATCTTGGGAATACATCGGCGGATTCTTGGACATGTAGATCCAATTAACAGTGGTACATTTCGAAATCAGCAGGTAATTTCCGCCCATTGCCCTAACAGGTGTAGAAAGGTTCCTAGCTTGGGAAACTGTAACGTTGGGAATGAACAACTCCATCTACGGTCAACAGACCGGCCCGCTCTGGGTGAACAAATTCACATTTGGTGTTGGTACCTCTATTGGTCCCATCTTTTACCTTTTTATAGTCACTTAGACCTTAAGTAGTTACCTGGGCAGTTTGGTGCCGCTAACTGCGCCGATAACTGTCCTAGATTCTCCGGTTCTCTGGGCCCTTAAGCGGTTTCGATAATGTCAAATGTCTACTGCTAACTTGATGTATGTGAAAGGAACAGGATTTGATTTCATATCTCGTTGCAGGTTTTTGTAGGAAGTCACGTTCCTCCGCCGCCCGAAGACTTAGCAGGACTGGTCGACAGTTATGTGGAATGGTTAAATTCCGAAGAAGCACAAAGCATGCATCCCGTCAGGTGAATTTGTGAAATTATTCGCTCTCGTTCTTAGTTCGTTTGTTTAGGTACGCCGCATTGGCACACTATAAGTTAGTCGATATACATCCGTTTGCGGATGGTAACGGACGCACAAGTAGATTAATGATGAATTTAATACTATTACGGGCCGGCTATCCGCCAGTTTTGATACTTAAGCATCATCGAGAGAAATATTATGAGACTTTAAATCTTGCAAATAAGGGAGATGTTAGACCTTTTGTGCGTTTCATTGCGCATTGCACCGAGAACAGTTTGCAAGTTTATTTAAGTGAGACAGAATCTAGTCACAGTATTACTCACATTGAACAAAAAACGATCGAAATTGAAGAGGACAACAGGAGCATCTGAACATATCTATACTAGTCACTATCAGATGGCAGCGCATCATACCGAGCCTCATTAACAGTATTTGTGGCACTATTGATTTTAAAAAGAAAAGGATTCTGTTTTATCGTTTCGTGTCGAGGGATTTATCATTTGTACCTGGTTTATACTTAATTAATAACGCAAGGAAAACTAAACAACCATAATGATTTATTATAACAAACTGTCGAATTTTTATGAATTTAGTAGTAAATTTATTTATTCTACCTCAGTTTGTGTGATTGATTTAGTTGTTTCCACCCACTGTTTCTTGTTCAGGCCGCACATTGTTAAACTGAATTCGGAAAATATGTTCTATGTATTTAATTTATGTATCCTTATTTAAACCAAAAGCAACAATTTTAACTTTTGCAAAGCCCATTGTGCATTGTGTGTGAGAGTAAGGCAGTGTAACATTTAAGCATCTAATCCTCTAAGGATTTTTGTGCTGGCCCTACTAATTGTAGAGTAATTTTAGCCGATTGAAGGAGCTAGAAACCTATTTATCCTCACATCCGCATTGAATGTGTTTAGCCGTATCATCTGCATATAGCCTACGCCACTGCGCCAATCTTACGTAGATGATATGTAACCTGTATATGGCCTGTGAACAACCCTGTAATCCACCTAGCTTTCCTATTGAGTGAATGAAGGGGATATATCCCCCCCAGAAGAATTGAGTTATCATCATAGCTATTAGGTATTTAGGTAATACTCCGCTCCGCCCACTTTAAAATAAAGGCAATAATATATAGGTATATATAGAGAGCAATTTTGGTTTTGGTTAAAGTCTAAAGTCACTAAAATCGAAATATTCTGTAGTATTCAGTGAGTGATCAGTGTTGGCAGGGTGCAGTCGATTTTTGGTAAAAAAGGAAGGTGATAACTGCCTTTTTTTTTGGCCAGAAAAAAAAATTGTCTCAGATCGACCGGAAAAAAATATTTTCTTATAGAATGTGGACTGTAGAATCCATAATTCCAAACAGTTCCAAGATCAGACTACTAGATCAAAAGTTACAGCCCTTTGAATTTTTTGTCGAAATTGGTTTTTTGCCCATAAATATACCCATTATTCAAAGTTTTCTACATACGCCACTGAATCTGACTTATTTATAAAATCAGGGATATTGGAAGGAAACATCTTTAAACGTGAACTTAGATCTCTATTTTATGTAGTAAGTTAACAAGATTTCATAATTCAAACCACAAAACATAAATAAACATTTAACACTTTTAAACAACAAAAGGATGGCCATATGTCAAGTATCATATAAAATACCTATATTAAATCCATCAATAAGATCTTCAGTCCGGTTTTTAGTTGAAGACTAGTGCGGCCATCAATTCGCTAACTTAACACAATTGCTCTAATTTACTTTATCCTTTTTCTTCTCTTGTGTCATGGTCGCGCGTATTTTACTAGGTACCTCGGTAAATATGAGCGTGCCGCCAAATACTAAAATTGTACCGAACCAGTGCGCCCAAGTAAACGGATTTTTGAAGTAAAGGATGGAGAACATTAGAGAGAAAAACTTGCGCAAAGTAATCACTAAAGTTAATGTCAGCGAAGAGCATTCCGTGGTTAATACATATACCGAACTAATGCACAAATATTGCGTTAGGACGTTGCCAACTAAATATATCCAAAATAACGGAATAGCAATGTTGATTAGCGGAACATTGAACGGCTCACTTTGTGTAGCGATATTTGCATGTTCCACAATACTGTTGTAATATACTAAGAACGCAGGAAGTGACAGTAAATGCTAAAAGGAAAAAATTAAATCGTTAATTAGCCGTAGCGTATTAATACTTACAGTGTAATAAAGTGCTTCTTCTGGATTTTTCCCATAACGTCCAGTAAGGTACTCTTGATAAATACCCATTCTGGCAGACAACAAAAGCGCTCCAGTAAGAAGCAGTACTCCAATAAACCACCAAAAGAAATGATCTTTATCTGCATGGCTATCTTCTACATCTACGTTATCAGGGCAGTCTGAACAAGTCTACAAATAATTATACATAAATAAGAAATTCGAACAATATGGCGAACCTTTGGTATTTGCTTGGAACTTGATAGAAGTGTACATATAATAATTCCTAGAGTAATCATAGCCACTGACAAATATTTGGAAAGTGCATATTTCTTTTTTAATATCCATATACCCATAATCATATTGGCGATTAAAGATCCCTAGAAAGAATTTCAGTTTAAAGCTTTTTACAGGTGGATGCTCACCGCTCTAAAAATCATGTGCAGAGGTACAGGTATATTGAAATTAAAAGCCCAATTATTCACAATATTCGTCACAAAAAACATAAACACAAGAACGAAGTAGTCATAGAGACGGATCTTCCGTTTCACTCTTCCAAACTTTGAAGTGAAGATGAATCCGTGGCATGCAATGAAGAGGAACTGAAGAAAAGTGATAAGATGTCCGCATCCTGGATCTTCTCTACGATTACAACATGTACACACTAAGACGTAAGTATGAAAATATACTTAATTAGGTATTCCAAAAAAACGTTGTTTAGACCACATCCTACATACACCATCAAAATTGCAAAGATACCCTTTGAATTCATTGCGATATTCAAATCCGACAACTAAATTGGAAGGTCCAGAGTTTTATTTCGTAGGAAATAAAACGTGTATTGTCAATGCCAATTGGTAATAACCCTATAGTTAAATGTTATCTGGCTATCTACGTCATAATCACTATAAATCTACAATGATCATAAAAATTTAAATTAAATTCATGGTTAAGTAAAAATTTGACATTAAATTTTCTGTTTGACATTTCGATTGAGTGTCCAGTGGCGGAACCACCGATTGGATGCGCCTATGTTTTTCCTGTTGTGTGCTCGATTATGCCACGATTGGTTGAACTGTGAGATTTGAGAAATTTAAATAATTTTTGAAGTCTGAAGTTTAACCAAAAATCATACTACATTAGTTATTAGTCATTAATATATGTGTATGTATAGTTATAACAATTCCATGACAGTTCTGAACCACCATCACCTAACATTATGGCGATGACCTAGTTTTGGGTGTACTTGGACGTTTAGTTAAGTGTATACAGTTAAATGGAGGTTGTATAAGTAAATAAGATGAATTATTTGTACTACGTAAGTGGATTGTACCTTTTTACGGTCTGGTCTCTCAGTAGTGGCCTCTCCAAACGGCTGGTTCAGCCCCACTGCGTCCTACGCTCGCGTTTGCAAGTCCTCTTTCCCTCTAAAATGGACCTATCAAAAATGAGAAGCTTATTTCCACCCCCGCTCCAAAACATTTAGATTATTACCCCGCCATAATCCTTTATATCTACAAACTTTGATAAGGGGAATGATTTTCGTGTTTAAGTGTTTTTGTTACGAACATTCATGAAAATCGTTTATTGCTTGTTACGTAATACGTTTGTTTATTAAAAACAAAGGTAATAACCCCATATGTTTTTTTTTCGGTTGTGTTTACAGATTTGAAAATCGGGCAACTTCGTGGTAAATCGGCGCTGTGCGTTTCCCGGCAAAACGTTGTAACGGTTGGGGTGGACATTCAACTACGAGGGTTTGAGGCTTTTTCCCTGTGTTCACTTTTCGACAGGATTTGATCGCGTTCAAAACGTTTTTAGTGTGTTTAGTGTAGTTTAAAATTGTTAATATGTATGTGAAAATACGAAATATATCAGCCAAACCGGGTGACAAGGACGATATGGTCGATTTATCGAAAAAGAACCTCATAAGGGAAGTTAAAAGCCTGATTTGTGACGAAACTGGGATTGCAGTCCATAAGCAAAGGCTTTATTATAAAGGAAAGCAAGTACGTATTGTGCATTTTTTGTGAATTATCTAAAATGTTATGTGACCTTGATAGTATACGTTAAACTTAAAAGTTAAAAACTCCTAATGGCATGTCACGTGATCCCATGATTTATAAACATTTTCATTGTCTTCTCTATTTGTTTTGGCAAAACAATTTGATGGAAATCTGTTACAGCTTCATGATGATTGTTCCGTAATGGATTACAACATTCAACTGAATGACGTTATACAAATAATGGAGCTCAATAGCCCGTTGATACCCAACACTCCCAGTGATGAGAACTCCCACGATGACGATTCCGACAAGGAGAATAGATCTTCCAAACCCGAACAGACAAACAAGAGCCCGGCAAAGTCGGCTAGCGACGTACTCTCTGAGGTAGTGGACAATAGTCCGCCAGAATCCGCAGAAAGCAAATATTACAGAGTTGGCGATGCCATAGATTTTCTTCTCGAAGAGTATGGCGCGTGGTTTGAAGGCGAGATTTGCGAAATACTTAAGGCTGAATCAATGGACCCTTCCGATAAAAATTTAGAGCCAGATATAGTATTTAAAGTTAAGCATGTTAGGTTAGTATCGTAAATTAGATTCAAACAAGAATCCGAATAGAAAGGCAAGGGGGGAAGCGGCGAGTAGCAAAAGTACTAATTGAGAATTACAGGGAATGTTCATAATTCTCTAGTTCAGGTTTATAGTCATTAAAACGTTGACATGTCGATTAAAAAATAATTTTATAGTTGTCCCGATGTGTTGCTGTACAGTCAATTTCAAACCATATGCTTATAAAAACTAGTACAATATGTTTAATGTGTCTGTGAAGTGGGCACATCACTATTGAAAATTGAGAAAGTTCTCATTGACATTTTTAACACTTCTCACATTTTTATTTATTTATTTAAATGATTCTCAAAACAACTGAACGAAATCTAACAACAGTTGTGAGGACATACTTAACATATCTCATTACTCTTTAATCGCATAATGTATTTTTCTTCTGAATAGGCCAAATAATTAGGTAATTTACACAGAGCTGGCATAGAACACGTCTTACCCAACGACACCCATATCATGACATCAATAAATGCTTCAATTCCCGAGTCAATTCCCAACAAACATACGATTTTTTATTTGCGACTATCAATTATTTTGTCTCCTTCCAAAAACCTATAGTCACTTCTTGTTCGTAATACTGTGTGTTAACAAAATGTGTGTAATATATTTAACTAACATGAGCGGCATGAATTACCTCAAAATGTTTAAATGTTACTTATACATATACTTGTGAGGATATGTTGGAACTTGTCACTTAATTGTCGTCACTGAGAACTATATTGTGGGGTAGTTTGTGATTGAGTCATACATGGATACCTCGTTGATCCAATGTCTAGTGGACTGCAATTGTTGAGATTGGCGGGAAATTTTGCGTAAGTTTCGCTATGTGCTGCTCAGTTGTGGAGATACTTAGTTTTTGATGAACCAGGGGGAGTTGAGTGCAATTCTGAGAATTTTATTCTGGAGTACTTGAATTCTATGGAGCTTTGTTTTGGCTGTGTTGCCCTATACCACACAGCCGTAGAGGATTAGCGGAAGTATCAGGGCTTTGTACAGGAGAATAGTGCATTGTGTGTTTTTTGAGAACACAATACTTCCATGTCGGCTTATTGTCGAGGTATTTAACAGGCTCCTCGTGGGCGTTCTAATGAATGATGTGACCGTTAATTATACATTTTTTTAATGTGATGGGGTTTTGATAATTAGTTCAAGGTCCTTGGGTGTGGTCTGTTTAAAGTTTAATTCTGGGGTTGGTTGGTGTCCATTAATAACCAAATACATATTCCTATTATAATTTATACAATGTAAGCCTAAAATCGAAGACAATGGTGTGTTCCATCTTTTCTGGTTTTCAGTTCCAGAGGTAGAAAAATTGAAAAAAAAAAAATTAAAAAAGCAAATATTTGAACATAGAACTATAAAGTCATTAGATTTACATTCGATGCTACTAGGTGCAAGTGCAGCAGCAGACTTAAGTTATGCATATATTCGGATTCTTATTCTGACCTGTAGTGTATCGTTTTAATTTTTTTTTGTTACAGTGATCAAGGAACAACTGAGGAGTATCACGTAATGTGTTTTGATGAAATTAAGCCTCGAGCGTATCACAACTTAAATGTACCTGAGATAGAAACGGGCAAAATAGTTTTAGTGAATTATAATGTAGAGAATCCCACAACGAGAGGATATTGGTATGATAATTTCATCATTGTAGTTCTATGGTAATTAGATTGCTAACATTGCAGGTATTATTTTAAGGTAAAACGTGTGAATCGTAAGGATTTGCAAGGCACCATTTTAGTAGGGAGGGACGCTGCTCCGTTAGATAAGTGTACAGTTAGATTCGTAGATGAAGTTTTACGAATTGAAGAACCAGTATTATTAGAAAATCGTAGCGATGATAGGAAAGAGCTACCGCCTATACGTACGTTGATATTGGTTACCTTTATAACTGTATTGAATGGGATTGAATTTTAGGGAAAACTGTTTATTATTGCGAAAAATGTAAGGACGTCGACGCAAAACCGTGCAGAGACTGTGGTTGCAAGGTTTGTGCAGGAAAAGACGAGGTTGATACTATACTTTTGTGTGATGAGTGTAATTTGGGGTATCATATTCGTTGCCTTACACCACCCCTTTCTGAAGTGCCATCAGATCCTGAATGGTAATATGATCCCAAAATCATACTACACTAGACAGACAATGCATATACTGATAACGTTTTCTACCATAATTGTGATACCTACTATATTTACAGACTGTACTACACCCCGTTAGATTTTCGTAAATGTGTTTAATTGCTTTTATCAGAAGGATAAAATGTCAAAATTATTACTTTTTCATTTCACCTACCCTACATGTTAAAACATATTCAATAAAAACACTGCAGCCTTCTATGAGGTCCCAGTGCTGAGATTTCAACCCTGATGGAACTCCCGCAGATATAAGCTGTATTTATTTATATGTGATGAAGTTCTACATTTTTTCTGGTTCGTTGAGATTTTTGAAATATTTGAAGTATTAAAAAGACCCACGAATGTTTTTATTGTTTTTCTATAAAGCGATCGATTTCGGGTTAATCACCCATCATCAGGCTATGCTAAAAATTACAGAAATTCATGTAATTAGTGGACTAGATTAGCATTGTTTGTTATAACATTTTTTAATTACCCCTTTATTTCTTGTGATTTGTTCTAATCATTTTTACTCATTGATAGATTTTTATAGTTATTAGGTACATGTGCATGAATGAATTCACTTAGGTATGGTAGATCCTAAAAAAACCGGCACTTCGAACACCTAAAATAAATCTTTCTTTACTTATATACAAGGGTGAACAACAACAAAAATTGTATATTTTTCATAAAAATGGTAACATTTAACATTCTGTTACAATGATCAAAAGTATAACATTTATTCTGATCTTTTCAAAAATTAATAACAATTGTACATTTAGCGTATTACTTATTTATATCTATGCACGACCCATGGAGAATTTTTCCGAACATCTTTTGTGCGGTAAGATTACTTCACTTTCTTGTCCCTGAATTCAATGGTAAAAATAAAATTTACTTGATCCTCCTATTTTTTGAGGGACAAATATTCCTACTGATAAAGTTGATATCAGTCCATATTGCAGGGTTCGCAAATGGCCTCTTTTTTAGACATTGGTCTCTTTTTTCAATGCTGATCTCTAAAAGTCTCTATTTTTCATATTTGGTCTCTAAAGTCTCTAAATTTTGCATGTTAAAAAAGTATAATTCATAATTGATAAACCGCAGAAATTTGACTGTACATTTTTAGCGCATTTTTTTAGAATGCGTTTTATCCGTCCGGGCCCACTTTTGCCGTTTCGAACTACTTCTAGGAGAATGGTCTTAGAGTCCTGGAATTCTTAAAGATAAATAGTCGAATTTTTTTAAAAGTGCCAAGAATTTTTTTATATCCACCACTTTCACTAACTTGACTTTACATGAGCAAAACAGTAACACTTTGTTTTAAATAAAATTGTCAGTGTTGGCCTTTAGTTATCGTATCCCGCTTAGGAATTTAAAGGGGAATTGTATTTATATCGGTAGCGTTTCTTTTATATAACATACCACGACGTTTCTTATGTTTATGTTCCGCTAATAAGAGAAAAAATGCCTATGTGTCATATTGCAGATAATTTTGACCTGCAAAAGGTGGTGTAAAAGATTTTATTGTTTTAAATTTTGGCAGCCAAAAAACCTCAAAATTTTTGGCATTTTTTTAGTTTTTCGTTTAAAACTCGAAAACGGTCTATATTTTATGAATAACACTTCTTTAGTAAATTAAAGTAAACAAAATTATGCGTCGATTAAAAAAAAACAAACAAGATCGGTCCAATAGAAAAATTTGTACAAGCGATCAAAAAACGCCCATTTTTTTCAACGAATATCAAAAATTGGTCCAATTTTAAATTGTTGGTACTTTTTGAACTCTCTGATTGATGTTCTACAATCTTTAGGGAGGGGGGGTAGTGGATTTTATCATTCCTTTAGGAGCCACAACGCATTAAAAAAAGGTTAACTCAGTTCTTTAGAACAGTTGGAAAAAATGGGCGTTTTTTGATCGCTTGTAAAAATTTTTCTATTGGCCCGATTTTGGTTTGTTTTTTTTTATCGACGCAGAATTTTGTTTTCTTTAATTTACTAAAGAAGTGTTATACATAAAATATGGACCGTTTTCGAGTTTTGAGCGAAAAACTGAAAAAAGTCCGAAGGTTTTGAGGTTTTTTGCTGGCAAAAGTTGTGCGGGGAAAAAATTGATGTGCACTCTTCAAATACATGTTATTTGGACCCAAATGGACCATTTAAAACATTAGAAAACGTTTACACCACATTTTGCAGGAGTCGGCCCTTCTGACTGCTCCGCATACTGGACTATCTGAGGAAACTGATAATTTTAGATGGGAAATATACACAAACGTGTAATTTAGTCATATTTGATTTGATCTAACTAAACAAAGTGCTACGCTTCTGGTAGTTTGAAAGCATTGTTATAAAACAGAGTTCATATTCAGCACTACTTATGATATAATATGTGAAGTGTCTAGTATTGTACGTACCCCCGGCCCCGTCAAAGGGAAATATTATTACAGCCTCATTATAGGGTTTTTTTTTATTTCTTGAAGCATCCTGATAGGACGCAAAAGGTTTTAGAAATAAAAAATTATTTCCAATGTACCTATAATAGGATATCCATTTTTCGTCTTGGGAATATGTGACATTATGATTTACAAATCAACATCATTCAAATAAATAAATAATAAATAGTAATTTATCTAATCTACATCATTAGGAACGGCGTAACAATGTGTAGGGTAATGCCAGGTAGTTTCTTTTGTTTTCCCTTTCAAGTAATGAGTTGTCGCCTCAGGCGTTATAAGAGCAATTTGAGTTGCCTATCCTTACGTTAGCGTTTCGATTTTTTTCTGAAAATCGCGAAACATATTTTTTAAAATATATGCCTTATCATAATGGAAATAATATCTTTAAGTACCGCCGTAAGAAATACTGTCGGATTTCCAAATTGGTGCTGTACGTTTTTCTACCCTCATTACAACGGCGGTTATTTACGAAAAACGATTTTTCTATTCATCGATCTTCCTAAAAAACTAAGACCGATATTTCAATTTTTTTTAAGTACCGCCGGTCTTTTCATCATTGCAAAGAATATCCACTATCGAGAATTTGTTAGACTTCAATTACAAAAGCAGCATTTCATAAGAAAGTTTAGCTATTTTTCCAATATGGCGGATTGACTACAGAGGAGCCTTAAAAATTGTAGCTTCACACAAACATGCGGTTATCTCACCCACGTGGAGTTAACAACAGCTTTGTATATTTATTTGATTTGTAAAAAACAAAAACCAAATATGGGCCCTTAATCTACCCTACCTGAACTCTTGACAACGATTCTAAACCGTAGGTAATTCACTTCAACCCCATATGTACCAATTTTACCTTTGAGCGGTTTGGTCCATTTTTGTGTCCGAGATCCACTGTCTTTTGACTGTATTGTAAATTCGTGGATTTTTAAATATTCAGAATTTAGGGTAGTTTATCTGTCTTCTGTGTTGAATATGTATGACTATGAGTTCATAATAAAAGTCTTATCTAAATGAGAACTGTACGTATATTGGTCATCTAGTGTAGTATGATCTTTGCATCATCTTTGGTCAAATGATCTTCAAATCAGAGATTTTCAGGTTTTGTCCGGATTGTAGAGTTGATGTGGATGAGATTGTTAAGGCTGGCGAAAAAACTAAATTTAGTAAGAAAAAGACTAGAATGGCGAGTGCTAAGGCCGGTGCTACTAAACGTGATTGGGGTCGTGGTATGGCGTGCGCCGGTCGTACAAAGCAGTGCACTATAGTCCCTATAAATCATTTTGGCGCAATCCCTGGAGTCGAAGTGGGTACTTGTTGGCTGTACAGGATGCAGGCATCGGAAGTTGGTGTGCATCGTTCTTTAGTAGCCGGTATACATGGCCGTGACTCTGAGGGGGCATTTAGTTTGGTTTTGAGCGGAGGTTACGAAGACGATGTTGATTATGGGAACGAGTTCTTGTACACTGGATCGGGTGGACGCGACTTGTCAAACAACAAGCGTGTTAGTGTTCAAAGTTCTGATCAGAAGCTGACATTGAATAATAAGTGAGTCTTTAATAGTAAACATTAGAAAATAACGTGGTCATTTTTAGAGCGTTAGCACGTAACTGTAACACTCCAATAAGCCTGTCGGGTGGAGAAGCTACAGATTGGAAAAATGGAAAGCCGGTCCGTGTACTACGGACCTGGAAGTTTGCCAAGCACTCATCCTATGCACCAACAGTAGGCTGTCGTTATGATGGCCTATACAAAGTAGTTAAATATTATGAAGAAACTGGAAAGTCGGGATTTAAAGTATGGAGATATTTATTAAGACGAGATGATCCAGCCCCTGCCCCTTGGGAACCGGATGCACCACAATACCCAATTGTAGTGAGTATTTATTTTCTTCCTCCAACCTTTCCACACTATCTTTACTATTCTTTAAGCTGTTAACTTTTGTTGTAATAAATAATAAGCGGGCCAGTTTCTGCCTGAATTTATCTTCCCCTGGGTCTCATGCTGTAATCGTTTCTTTGCTTACTACTGCTATCGTGATCATGTCGTGCTACCTAAATGACCCACAAAACATCAGTTCTACTGTCCAAACTTACCTTGTTTCTTTTTTGTGTTGAATGGAAGTTATTATAAAGCATTTGCGACAACTGTCAATCTTTCAAATGTATAATTTTTATTTTTGATGGTTAGCTACCTGAAGGACATCTCGAGAATATGGAACGGAAAAAGCGCGCACTAGAAGAGAAAAAGAAGAAGCAAAACAAAAGGCCTTCCAAATCGAGAAATCGATCTAAATCTCAAAGCACACCGTCCACATCGAAAGGTAGAGGGCGTTCTGGACGTAGTGGTAATCGATCGAGCAGTTCGGCAGAAGACTCCAATGAGTCTGACGGAAGTCCATCAGCAACTGAAAACCGAAAAAGAAAAAATGAATCTTCGGATGATGATTCCACTCCACTTTCTAGAAAGCGCAGTCGCAATAAGCCTGCTAACATTGAGGAAGATCTGACCTCCTCATCTGCTTTACTACAACAGAAGGTTAAAATACAGCCGTTCGTTTTACCCGAAGAACTTGCAGCTTTAGTTGATAATGACACACTCAACCAAAAGGAATGGGAGGAATGTAAGGAGCATTTGGAAGAAGGCAAACCTGCGTTTTTGGAGAAAGTCGCCGAAATGTTTACATGTGTGTGTTGCCAGGAGCTCATTTACCTACCAATAACAACAGAATGTAAACACAATGTTTGCAAGGTAAGGGAGTTAATCACAAATTACAAATTTACATTTACTTGTTTTAGACATGTCTGAAACGATCCTTCAAAGCAGACATTTATTCTTGTCCCTACTGTCGTCATGACTTAGGAGCCGATTTTGAAATGGTAATCAACGATACTCTTTCTATTATTTTGTTGAAGCTTTTCCCCGGTTACAACGCTGGACGCTAATTTGAGTGTATTCCTGTCAATACTGTCGCCATGATATAGGGACGGATGTTGAAATCATAGTCGGCGACATTCTTTCTATTAATTTGTTGTAGCTGTTCACCGGGTACAAGACCTTACGTTTATTTGAGTTTTGTTCGGTTCTACTAAATGTTCTTTCATATATATAAGTGTTATGCTGTGTTGAGATATATTTAACCTTCGACGGTTATACCTAGTTTGTAGTTGTTTTGTTACTTAAATTGTTACAATAATATCTCTTATTCCATTACATGGAATGCGACCTGTATTTATCTTCAGAGTTGGAATACTTTAAGAAAGTTTATTTTTTCACTTCAAATGTATTTATTGTCTCCAAGGAAACCTTTCCCTTACCTAGATGATACAATCCTAAATATTCAACTCCAACTGATGATAAATTTGCATGGTAGCAAATTCACAGAAAAGGTGTCTGATAGGCAGGGGCGACTAGAAGCCCAATCTTGGAACTGTTTGAAATTATGGATTCTACAGGTCACATTCTAGTTCTTCCGGGTCGATCTGCGATAATTTTTTTTTAGGGCCTCAAAAAAAGGCAGAGTTTTACCTTCCTTTTTAACCAAAAATAGACTGCACCAAAATTTTTTGGAAAAACACTTTTTCTTATTAATTTTGGTGCGTAGAATCCAAAACAATTCATACTTTTGCGATTAGACTTCTCAATCAAAAGTTATAGACTAGAAACCAATTTCGAAAAAAAATTGGAAGGGCTGTAACTTTTGAACTAGTAGCCCAATCTTGGAACTGTTTGAAATTATGGATTCTACAGGCCATATTCTATAAGAAAATTTTTTCCGGGTCGATCTGAGAATTTTTATTTCTTATTAATTTGGGCGCGTAGAATCCAAATCAATTCGTACTTTTTCGATCAGACTTCTCAATCAAAAGTTATAAAAAATTAATATGAAATTTTTATGATCTGTGCGGCAAAGGAATAAAATACATGAAAAATGAGCAAAATTGTCTGGTAAAAATAAGTAGTCTCGCCAAATATCCTAAAATAGAAACTTCAAAAGTTGATTAGACTAAGTATAAAACTCCTGATTGGTAACTACATATATTCTAGTAACAGAATCAAGAAAAATTACTTTGATTATGTTAAGGGGTATAGTGGACAAAAAACTACCAAAAATATAGTAAAATCGACTAAAATTCATAGAGAATCAACATGACTTAGTAGGATTGCCATAGATATTCCTCTCTTCAGCCTGACCGCGAGGCTGTGAAGAGCCGTCTCTGTGGACATACATGTTCGAATGAATGTAGGGGCCAGTGCCCCGTTTCTTATGTATGCATCCACTTGCCACCAGCTTTTCCAACATTTTTAGAAGAAACGATGATATGCTGATGGGCCTGTAATCCTTCGCCATGTCATATTTGGCACGACCCGCTTTAGGTAGTTACAAGCAAAGCCTTGCTTCTAAAATTAATAGAAAGTCGATTTGTCTTGGATCCATTGGTAAATGAAGTAGTTTGATTATATTAAATGGTACAGTGGGCAAACTATCAAAATATATAGCAAGGGCTGTTATAGTGTACGAAAATCCACTGAAGACCGTGCTACTAATTAATGGCGTACATTAGTGTTAAATGTGTTGCCTAACGACAGGGCTATTTTTTTCTTTGCCATAACAAAATTTGTGATTCAAAGCAGTTAATTATAATACAATTATTTATAAAAACGTGTGAGTCCGATTGAAAACCCCAAAATTGTCCTTCTGGCAACATTGCGTTTGATTGTTATGCAAGTTTTTGACATTTGAATCGATGCATGTACGTACTAAGGTACATACCTATATGAGATAAGACAAGCATGTAATAAATAGGAACCGTTGAGGTGTGGCTTGATCAGATTAATAAGAAAATAGTTTTTTTTGTTTGCTATGGATTTAAATCTGTCTGTTTTTCAAGAGCCCAGGGGGGTGATGCGATTACTGCAATTTGTGAGTACCATTTTTAATGTGACCCTTTGGCCTGTATAGGTTAGAAAATTTTATTTTCATTTTTAGATATTCACAATTTCGGCATTCGCTGCAATATCTGGTTATAGCGGAAGTGTAAATTTCAACTGTGAATCGCAGGCGCTTAATGCAAGTTTCACCTTTAATTTCGACTACCCGTTCAAACTATTTTTGAATGAACATCCTTTAAACTCCAACTCTTCTTCGCCATGTAAACCTATTGTAACGATCAATGGAGATTTTTCCTCGGATGCGCAGTTTTTCGTAACAACAGGAGTTTTGGCGATGCTGTATACTATTGCTATTATAATTGTTTACATAAAGTTGGACAATTTGTATAAAACTAACAGCCAAGTACCATTAATGGTGAGTACCAATTTGGAGTATGCATTAACTCTCGGTGGTCTTTAAGCCACCCTTATTTTACCACAGCAGGTGGCATATATCGCCAAGTCAAGTACCTATCGAAGAAGATGGAATATATACAAATCCTTTTGATATTAGGAGTAAGTTAAATTGTGATAGTTAGTAGGCTCTGGATCAATCCAATGAACGCCTACTTAATTTTATACTTTAGGTATACTGTTTTTCTAGTTTGGTGCCTTGATTTAATTAACAAATAACTATCAAAAAGTACAGGAAGCATTAGAATTAACAGGTTTCACTGCTGGTAGTACATGTACAAATTTTAGGCAGTACAGACGCAGGACCTGGCAGTACACTGGCAGTACCAGGTAGTACATTTACAGAACCGCCCATGTCCTAAGTACACTACTAGGGTTGTATTCTGTGATAGTGCCAACATTATAAAAAAGAAAGCGCGCATCTCGTCACACGTGTTTTAATTGTTCAGATTCTGTCTTAGTTTGTGCTGTGATAGTGTTTGGTGTTATATGAAAATTTGAAACGAAATTTTGAGACGAATTTGGAGGTAAGTGTTCAGTCCTGTAATGTATTAGAAAGGTCAAACTTAACGTGCAGGGTATCTGCCAAAAAAACGTTATTATATAGTATAGGCAAAATGTTGTTTTTGACAGATAATTTGCCTGTTAAGTTTAACGTTAGTGATACATCCCGGGGCTGATTATTTACTAGGTATAGGAAATTGGTAAAAACCACAATATAAACAGTGACATGAAACATGTGGATGGGAATGAAATGCGTGATTTTTTTTCTTTCCCCTAAAGTCGTGTAAGCTTAGATACACGTTGTCACTTTCCATTTGCATTCTAGAATAACGTATTTTTGCATTGTGTCAGCGATTTTATTATTATTTTTGTAAGCGACACGAAGCGACAGTTCCAGTAGATTCCCTCGAACCCAGCAATCATCTCATTTGGCTGACGCGTCCTATTTTCATCCTTTTTTTTAAATAAAGAGGCGAGCAAAGCGTTTATTAGAATGCCCCCCAAAATACAAGGCAATTGGATGTTCCTTTAATTAGGCGGTCTTAGCTTTTAGCGTTGTAAATAAAGTACTGATCATGGCAAAAATTTTTTAAGGCAATAATTTAAAAAAAATGTCGATAAGATTGTTCTTGGTTTCGTGGGTTACGGCAGTATACAAACAGGACCTGGTAGTACTTGGAAGCGTGACATCATAGAAACAGAAAAAAAAATTACCAAAAGTAGAAGAAAAGAAAAAAAAACACAACAAAGACTTACTGTTCAATTTACTAAGAGGATTAACTAATTCTGTTCTGAAATTAACTTAATTTTGAGTGGTTAGAAGTAAGTGTTTTAACCTGTTTCTTAAACGAGTGATACTGTAAGTCTTTCAAAGAAAGTGGAATGGCATTATAGACCTTTGTGATATTGTAGCTGAAAGATCTTTTAGCTAAAGATATCTAAATCTTTCAAGAATACACATGATGTTGAAAGTCATCTTAAGTATTAGAGACAAATAACAAAAGCTAACCTGAGGTGACTATCGCTGCAACAAAAGTACTGTCGTTGCCTCAGGAATCGATTCCAGGGGTGGCTATTCTCGCAAATGATAATGCAACGGTGTCTATAAGTATTCCTGATTAAACCATGCCAAAACAAGCGTAATCCTTAACTTAGTTGCTTGTCTTGGTTAGAACTAACTGGATTTGTGGTCCGTACTATTGAAATTCATTTTTCCTTAACGTACCATTACTTTAATATTGATTACGCGAAGTTCAGATTCGTACTGCATTCATACCAGCTGCTCTACCACTTTACCCTTTTAAAATAAATTGTTAAATCATTTATGGCAGCTATATATTGGAGAAACAAGCAGAAGATTGCTTCAGTAAAGATTTATAAAGGAGCTAAAAGACAGTGTGTCACAAGATTTTAAAGCCGGACTGTTCTATTCGATTCTATTCATAAGGGGGAGCCCAGCCAGGCAGTACTTAGGCACACCAAAGACCCATTGTGCCTACCCAAAGGTACATTCAGGTGTATAATTTTAGCGAGATAAGCAATGGGTTTATAAGATACTTTGCTATGCAAAGATTATGAGTGCACACACCCACGAAATAGAAAAATATCGGATTACAGAGTATTGTAACTATCTGCTCAGCAATTTCGTGTTCTGACAATTGGCTGACTGATCTTATGTCAATTTTTAATTAAATAATAAAAATAAACCCATTACATGGGACTGTTGAATGACTTGACTCCAAAACAACATCAAAGTCTAATAACATGCACATAACGTGCACACAGACAGATGATTTCAAGGATGGGGGGTCCTTAACTAAATATCTAATTATTTTACTAGTCAGCATTTATTGATTAAATTTTTTTTCTTTTAGGATTTTGTATTGACTGTCGTATTTGCCGTTCTCTGGTTATCGAGCAGTGCGGCATGGGCAAACGGACTGAGCGGTCTTAAGCACGTTACCAGCGACGAAGCAATCGAATGGAAGGGAGATGGGCCTAATTGCCCCAAATGCCCAACGTACACAACCAGCTTCTCTACTTTAAACATATCTGTGGTGAGCTATACATGAATTCTACTTCTCTGTTTGTTAAACCAAAAATTTCAGGTGCTAGGATTTCTGAACTTTTTCTTATGGGGTTCGGATCTATGGTTCGTCTATAAAGAGACCGCTTGGTTCCAGGGTAATCAAGGTTTAAGCACGTCCGGTGTTTAATTGTACAAGTAGAGATTTTTAAAAACATTTTTTTATGTTGATGTTGACACAAGTTGATTTTTTAAGTATTGATACTGTTTTTCTTAGTATTTATAAACCATTACTTAATTCAATCATTTTTGCACTTATTATTTACTAGAGGCTATTTAGAAAATGTGCACATAGGTAATTGAGAGGGTGAAATTGTGATCACATCCCAATTATATTAATGATTGTTCACGGATATTGTGACAATGTTTATTTTTCACTAGAGAGAGGAGGGAAGGTCAGTTTAGATCAAGAAAACTAACTTCGTTCATCGACAGGCGCATAAATGCATTCTTTCCCAAAAAAGGACCCAGTACTATATTTCACATTTTTTTTGGAGGATCTTTACATTTATTTGTTTTTTGTAGTGTGTCCTTTATAGTATATTATTATTTGATATGAACTGTCTGGAGGGATCTAAAATTGTTGTAAATGCTGTGCCAAACCTATTGATTCTTTTATACTGAATACCCTGTTGTGAAATATGTTTAGCCTAAGAGTCTGTGTAAGGGTTGAACTCTTTATCTGCGGTTGTGTACTGCCTTTTTCGCGAAAAAAAGTTGCAGTGACTGAATTTGTCTCAACTTCCTATATTTAATTCTCTGGTTATTGGCCGACATTATGGCAAAATGGCGCTTACACATCATGTTCTTATTGGTTTCTAAGTGCTTAAAATCCCATCTCTCTTCCTTTATCAAGCCCCATGCTAAAAACATGTCTTGAGATTTGTATTTGTCCACACTGGATGAACAAATTTTGGATTATTTGCGAAACAAGACAATAATGGCGACCAATAGGCCATAATTCGTTGAACAACAACTGTAATTTTAAGACTGAAATCGGCTACCTTTTTATTTACCAATGTGCACATTTTCACTTATAACTTAACTAATTTTATGGCCTGATTTAATTACTGTTACACTTGCCACAAGCTTAACTGCTAACAAATGTTGCTTTTGTATGGCAGGAATGACAATAACATTAGTTTCGGGTTTCATTCGATAATTTAAACTAGTCACAGTGACTTTGTAGCCCCTGCAATTGTTTTGCAGTTCTGATGTTGTACCTGACACATAACAATTGCGTTATACTTAGTTTCAATTGTTTATAATTGCACACTGTAGTACCTCCATCTCATGGTAGGACCAAGGTGTTGTGGGTAGTGTTTCAAATATGAGTAGGTGAACTCTCAATAGCTGAGAGTTGAAAGTGTTTGCATTGTTTCTTTAGGCTATCGCCCATATTAGGCCATTGCGAATACAAAAATTTTTAGCTCAACTATTGACTTCGCCTTCACATGTATACAAAAGTTAAATCGGAAGATGGATGCATTCATAAAGAAAAGTTAATATTGACATACTGGAATCTCTGCGTTAGTGCATTTTTGCTTATAAATATGGATTGCTTAGATGTGTTCGGATAAACAGATTGCTCCAAATTTGTCTATTGCAACATCCAAGACATAGAGCAACTTTATACTCTGTTTGATGTAGGTGTATAGTCGAAGGTAGACCGTTTTAGAATTGTCGAAGTTAGGTACTTTTCTTAAATTTTTGTAAAAATATGGAAGTGAGGTATAATGTCTAGTAAAAACATTAATTACTTTTCTTGATTTACTGTATTATTTTGTAATATGTATGCTTACATGTAATTAAGTTTCGCACAAAGGTTTTATTCTGGGAGGTTTATGGCTCTCACCACTTAACCCATAAGTGATCTTTGAATAATATTTTACTTTTGTTTTGTATTATATATTAAAGAATAAAACGTTTTTTTGTTCCTTGTTGGTTTTGTAATGGAGCAGTGGTTTCCAAAGTTGACTGGGCTCTGACCTATCTAAAAACTTCCAATCTTGGAATCCTCCTCTTAGTTGTCTTACAGTAGAGAGGGTATAAATATGGGGAATGCTCAGATTTCTATGCAGAAGATACATGTCGACTAGATATATCCCTTCATAGATGGAAACCACAAAAAAACTGAACTTCCAAATCGCGCAACCGCACTAGGAAAGTTCTGAATCGTATCCCAAATGGAATTATGGAACGAATCATTTTCAGTGCTAGTAAAATTCTCTATATTCACAGACAGCCGAGTTGCCTTTCAAGCACACAGTCACTGCAAAACCACCTCTTAGGCTGGTACTCGAATGTCACCATTTACTAGAACAAGTATCATCCAGCAACTATCTCTTGATGAAATGGGTCTTGATGTCAGACTGTCACTACGCGAGGGAGACCATCATAGGGCCAGCTCGCCATTTGGCTATTTAGTGTAGGGTATCGAGGAAATACCTGCGCTTGCAGCGTAAGTTAAACAAAGCACATGCATCGCATGACATTTACAGATGAGGGCTCATCAGGACACTGCTCGCCACATTCACTGTCCCGCACTCGTTTAAACTGAGAGAGTCAATGTTGGAGTTGGAATCAAACATGACGAAGATAGAGCCGCTTCCCTTGCAGGTTTCCTCAAAAATGGTGTGGCTTTAGTGACGTTGGGGGCGGATAGCCAGAACAAGGAATAAAGGAAAATGGATGGAGATCCGAAGAGGAACACAAAATAGAAAGTTACTGCAGGAATTATCAGAAAAGGGGAGATAGGTAGGTATAACGTGGCAATTGAAGGGGAGACAATAAAATACATGGTGTTGCATATAGTATTTACAGGAGAGAGAAACAGATACAGAATAACGACGATAAAGAGGAGAAGGAGGTGGAGAAAACAGTAAAAAATTTCAAACGAAAACGCAAGGAAAAAAAGATGGAGAAACAGAAAGAATATGAAGAACAAATATAAGGGGAATAAAGCAGAAAAGGGAAGATGATAAATATACGAAAAGGGAAGAACATACGAAATTGGGTAGAAACGAATAGAGTACTGAAAGGAGAAACAGGAGGTGTGATCGTCTTTATTTATTCTCATATGTTTATGCTTTATATATGCACTACACAGACTGGTGGAAAAAGAATTTGAGAAAAGGGCGGAAAAGTGAGCGTCTTTCGTGGATTTAAGAGGCAGCCTTTGACAGAGTAGAGGGGGAAAAAAGTATGGAAAATGATGGACAGTGGAAAAATAGACATAGCGTCGGGAAAGGTTCGAGGAAAGGAGAGACAGAGAAAGTGAATTTTGGTAAAGGAATGTTCGTCAATAAGGATAAAAACAATGGATACGGTTGGACTGATCTCGAAAGGAGAGGAGGTGAATTACAAAAACGAGTACAGCAACAGAGAGAGGAAATTGAGAGTGCATGAGGAAACAGCAGATGTCTTACCTGTGGAGGGGACGGAAAAACATCAAAAGGAAGACCTCGGAAACGAGGAGAGAGGGAAGAAAGACTGAAGAGGAAGATATTGAGCACATGTTGTGGTGGTGGAAAAAATACAAAGAACGAGGGAAAGCAAGAGAGGGAAGAGAAGAAAAATGGATGAAGATGATAGTAGAAAAAAGGGAACAAATACATAAGTTATGCTGAATTTTTTGTAAAAAGTGTTTGCCAAATGGCGTTAATTATTGTTAATACAGAATTGATTGATTGACATTTAGCCCTTATAGTAGAATAGAAATTTTCCATATTAGGTGCATTTTACCCTAGACTGTGCTAGAACCGTAAAGAACAATCTAGATTGTGCTAGAAGGGTAAATAGCATTGGAGATACGAATACCGTTTATATTTCGCGGGTGAATGCTCCGTCATGGGCGTTTCGTTTACAACATTTAAACTGTATAATATAGTTATTATTATATAAAATGTAAATATAACGTGTATACATTTTTGAGTGGTAAACCAGAATTTCGCAACGTATTCAAATTGGCATGTAAGGTATGTTGGACAAATTGACTAGATATTGTTGTAAATTATCTCTACGCCACTGCGTCACGGATCTTCTAGAATATACTTAACTTTTCTAGAATGCCGAAGTTATATAAATATCGATGTCGTGCGAATGCGCATTCAGTGTTGTGTCATCACAAGAGAAGTAAACTTGTGGAACGATTCGCGTGCAACTCCTTTCTCTATTGATTAAAAACTGTGATCGAGTTAATAGTGCATAGTGTTAAATATGGGAAAAGATTATTACAAAATTTTGGGCATCTCCAACAACGCCACAGATGATGATATCAAAAAGGCGTACAGAAAGCTTGCTTTGAAGTATCATCCTGACAAGAATAAAACGCCAGGTGCTGAAGACAAATTTAAAGAGGTCGCGGAGGCTTACGAAGTGTTATCAGATAAGAAGAAGCGTGATATTTATGATAAGTATGGAGAAGAAGGGTTGAAGGGTGGAATTCCTGGAGGAGCAGGAGGTGGCGGCGGTGTCGGTGCAGACGGGTTCCACTACACTTTCCATGGCGATCCGAGAGCTACTTTTGCTCAGTTCTTCGGCAGTGCGAGCCCTTTTCAAGCATTCTTCGATATGGGTACCGGTCCGAACCGCATGGGAATGTTTGGCTTTCAAGATGACGAGATGGATGTGGATCCATTTGCTAGCTTAGGAGGAGTGGGTAACCGTGGCGGCCCAGGTGGTGCTTTTCGCAGTCATTCCTTTAATTTCCACAATAGCCCTAGTCGCAATAAGGATAAATCGCAAGATCCGCCTATTGAACACGACCTTTATGTGTCTTTGGAAGACATTACTAAGGGTTGCACTAAGAAGATGAAAATTTCGCGTAGAGTGTTACAAGCCGATGGATCAACCCGAAAGGAAGATAAGGTGTTGACGATTAATGTAAAACCTGGATGGAAAGCGGGTACAAAAATCACTTTCCAACGCGAAGGGGATCAAGGCCGGAATAAGATTCCCGCTGATATTGTATTTATCATTCGTGACAAACCTCACCCTCATTTCAAAAGAGAAGGCAGTGATATTCGTTATACTGTGAAGCTGACTCTTAAACAGGTAAGCACTTTGAAAACTTAATATCTAGGCATCGAAACTGATTTTTTTATTGATATAGGCTCTCTGTGGGTGCTCGGTTACTATACCTACAATGTCTGGAGAAAGCTTCCCTTTGCATTTTACGGACGAAATTATCAAGCCAAATATGGTGAAACGTATACAGGGACATGGATTACCGTTACCCAAGGAACCATCGCGTCGAGGCGATTTGATCGTGAATTTTGAAATACGTTTTCCAGAACATTTATCTCAATCAGCTAGGGATATTCTCTATGATACTCTTCCTAATTAAGTATTGTATTTTATAGTGCATTTAGAGTATGTGAGGGGCTGTGATTCTTGTTTGTACGTTTTAGTACAGCTGACTGTGTGCATCAAAAGTTTTGTATTTTAGTTTATGGGTGGTTCTTTTTTTAACTTTAACTCTCAGGTACCTAAAAAGTATTGCATATTTTTTATACACCAAATAAACATGTGTAAATAAAGTTGTAAATAAGAAAGTTGTAAATATGCACATGGTAGGTACCACCACCTCACATCTGTTAGGTAGTTGTAAGCTCTGTATTATGCTGGGAATTAAAAAATATACTATTAACTGCTAAAAGTAACTTATTTATAATGAAACCACTGTATATCATAAGCCTTTACTTTAAAAACAGTTTTCATAAAATGGAAATTAAAATATACAAGTTTTTGCAATGGGTCTTTTATTTAAATGTCTCCTTTCTTATTTTTTTAATTTACAGAAACAGCTGTGATCGCTAATGTCTCTTCCCCTATTCAATGTCGGCCTCCAATGCTTCCTAAAATAGAGCGCCAAGACGGTACGCTTACGTCATATACTAAAGTTGGACGCCTTCATGAATCGCGGCCATTTACTTTTAGTTAAAGGATTTTATCGTTTATCCCACATTATTTGGCTCTAGTGAAACATTTTTTGTTTTTTTCAGTGAAATAAAAATACCAAACCTTATACAATTTAATGCCTTTGACAAATTACGTAGGTATTACGAAAATTTGTCAAAATGCCAGTTTATACAAAAATGTTCGCGAGTTTATTGAAATTCACCACAACCTGATTAGGTATTTAGCGCCGCCGACATCTCTTTAATAATCCACTTCGTGGAAATGATTTACGCTAATGTAGGCAGTAGGCTTACCTTGTACCTACCTTTTTTGGAGATTTCCTAAAATTTTCACATAGAAACATTTTCCATTGGCGTACTCTCAAACATTTATTCAAGGATGCCGAGGGCTGCAAAGTTTGGGCAAATATTCACCCCCAGTAAAATCTACCTGTGTGCAATAACCGCCGGTGGCGATAGATTCTGATGCATATACTTCTTATAAAGTTAGCAATAACGACACGGTCAAAAATATGCATATGAACGATACACACATCATCCCTTAAATGTATAGACACAGGCTTAAATTTTATTGTAGTTAAGCCTTAAGTGTGGACCTAAGATTACTGGGTGTCGAATTAATATCAATCCTGACTTGAAAAAATACCCCTGATCTGATATTAATATATTCCTTCTCAGTGCGTTAACTTAAAAAAACGGTCAAGTTGGAAAATTATTTCTAAAAAAATAAAAACCTTATATGTATGTATATAAAATTTATTAGCGTTATTTAAGGGATAATGTGTGTAGATTTAATATCAATTACATTATTTGATATAATTGACGTCTAGTCGTCTACCCCCAATTCATTGCCACTATCTTTACCTAAGAAAATCCACCAAGATCAAAATTATTAATTAATTAATCATTCATCTATATGTGTATGAAATGCGTATAAAATTATTAACAGTCGCAATGTTTGATATACATAGTGTTGGTGTCCAAACTTATCCATTAATGTGCAAAATGTATGACTGTCCGGTAAATTTCGGCCATGGGAAATATTTGCTCACACCAATTTGGTTAGATGTGGTAATAATAGTGACAGCAATCGATACAATGAATTTTGTGCAATTTCAATTTTCCCTTTGGTAACAAATGTGTTAAAATATATGCGGTAAAACATTTACACCATTTTTGAATCTTAATTTTTAAAAAACATGACGGACATGCGGAAATCCAAGATATGGCGGTAGTTTATTGACGTTACTTGATTTGATACGAAGTGGCATGTAATGGGATTACGTAATGGCATTACATTTTTCAAAAAATTGTAATGGATAATGAGTAATTGGTCTTATTTTGTAAAGTAATGGAAAGACCTGTAATCCTATTACAATGTTAAGGTAATCCAATTAATTTATTACTTCAAGCCATTACCCATTACTTTTCAATTCGCAAGGATGCAACTGTAGATAGGAGATGTAAAAAAAAGGATAATAATTGTTATTTATTTTGCTGCGTCCTGACTCCTGCAGTTTTGCGTGGGTATTCATCAGCGACGCGGCGTAAGCAAAATACAAAAAAATGTCTACTTATTCATTCATTTATGATGAAATAATTAGTCTTCGCCGTGAAGTGTCAGTTGTATTTTTATTCATATTTATTATTCACGTTTCGCCGTTTCGATATCTTTCGTAACCCTTATGCCGTATCACATCTTTTTTTTGCATTTGCTATTTGATAGGTATTGGAGAGTGAGCCCCATTAACCCAGGGCTTTGAATATAAAGCCCAGGGAAAAATGTGTATCCAATCCTGCGCTGGTGTCCCACCCTGAGGTGGCGGGTGCTTTTATAAAATACAATACGTACGCCCTTATGTTCTAGTGCGGCTGTTGAGAGAATTTTCTCAACAGCCTCACTTATTCTAACTGCCAGGCGGGGACGCCTTGCAGACAGCTATTTTGAACAATTATGTATTATACTATACTATTATAGTATATTGATAAAATATAACGATTGAATACACTGATTTTTCTTTCATCTAAAATGCTATAAAGTAATGGGTAAGTAATTGTAATGGATAATTGTAATAGAATCGATAAAATTGAGTAATAGGTAATGGGTAATCTGGGATTACAAAATTTCTTAGTGTGTAATTGGTAATGGGTAATTCCATTACTCTATCCTTGTAATTTGCCCATCACTGGCAGTCACGCATAGCAGTGGCGTACGTAGAAATGTATTCTGGGGGGGATTGAACAAGTTCGTGGCACATACAGTCACCCAGTGCGTACTAGAAGGGGGAGGGGGGGGGGGGGAAGAAATAGAAATTGGGTTGCAGGTTGCTGATGCTGGTAGTCATTTATCTATTTATTATTGTACAGGCGAAAAAGATTAGATTAGAACGGTATTTTATTTCTTACTGCTGACAGGCCCCTTTATTGTTTTTGCTTTAATTAGTCAACGAAAGCTTTGAATAATAGGTATATTTATGGGCAAAAAACCAATTTCGACAAAAATTCAAAGGGCTGTAACTTTTGATCTAATAGTTCGATCTTGGAACTGTTTGAAATTATGGATTCTACAGGCCACATTGTATAAGAAAATTTTTTTTCCGGTCGATCTGAGACAATTTTTTTTTCTGGGCAAAAAAAGGCAGTTATTACCTTCCTTTTTTACCAAAAATCGACTGCACCAAAATTTCTCGAGAAAACACTCTTTCTTATTAATTTGGGTGCGTAGAATCCAAATCAATTTGTACTTTTTCGATCAGACTTCTCAATCAAAAGATATAGACTAGAAAAAAATTCAAAGGGCTGTAACTTTTGAACTAGTAGTCCAATCTTGGAACTGTTTGAAATTATGGATTCTACAGGCCACATTCTATAAGAAAATTTTTTTTCCGGTCGATCTGAGACAATTTTTTTTTGGGGCAAAAAAAAAGGCAGTTATTACCTTCCTTTTTTACCAAAAATCGACTGCACCAAAATTTCTCGGGTAAAAACTTTTTCTTATTAATTTTGGTGCGTAGAATCCAAAACGATTCGTACTTTTTCGATTAGACGTCTCAATCAAAAGTTATGGGCAAAAAAAATTCCTGTTTTTAAAATTTAAAATTCTTATTTTCGTCATTTCGTGAAAGGCAGGACGCAGGTACCTCACTTCAGTAGCAGTACTAAGTACCTGATACCTATTTGTTATTTTGGGCATCAATGTAGCGAATTGCCGATCGATGCCGAATAGCCGAATCGTTGCGACTGCCAACACTGATCACTCACTGAATAGTGAATACTGAATACTACAGAATATTTAGATTTTAGTGACTTTAGACTTTAACCAAAACCACTCAATTCTTTCGGGGGTGGGGGGCCGATATATTCCCCTTCACCCCCCCCCCCCCCGTAAATACGCCACTGACGCATAGAATTTATTGACATTTTACTTTTCAAAATAAGTAGTTTTTCATAAAAAATTATTGTCATCCCAACTTTTTGCCAATGATATGGGCGAGGGATGGATTAGTTAATTATTAATGCTGCATTACACTTCATAGGAAAACTGGCGTGGCATCGATGGTAGTGGATGTTTCGCAACTATAAGATGGTGAAGTGAAGAAAAAATCGTCTTCCGCGAGGTGAATATTCTGGAAACGAATTTTCCGGTGGCGGATTTTCCCAAGTTTGAATACGTTAGGCCTGAGCTTTCGTGGGCGAATTTACCGCGCAGGCCTTTAGAACCCACATGGAAATTATATACAAAGTCACACTTTTTGGGGGAGTTATGAAAGAAATCTGCGTATTGGAAAATGTAGGTAAGTTCTGGCAAGAATTTGGCACCTGGTCTTTTGCTATACTTTTGTTCAATATCTGGGAAATGTGACGAAACGCAAATTTGGAATTGTTAGAGGAGTTTGTCAAATAGGTCATTTTTAAAATTGGAAAGATCACTTGGCATTTCAGTGTATGGTTTCTTCATTATCGCCAAAATGTCAATTCGTCAATCGTCAAAAGATAAAGGCAAAAATTTGTCGTTTGGGTTTTAATTTTGAATAAAAAGAATTGGAGATGCAGGAAGAGCTGCCACTTCTATGACTGGAAGATAAATGATTCATTTGAATGTTTCAACTTTAGAGACAATTTCTGACATACTAATTCTAAGCAATGGTTATTTAGACAGGCGACATTATTATTATTATCTTTCAATAAAAATTTACGAAAATGAACTTTGAAATGCGCAACAGGTAACTAAAATTAATAATATTGTAAAAGATTTGCAAAGTAATGAAATTAGACATTTTTGGCGACCTATATGTAACATTCATAGATTCGTGATTCGTGGGTGTACTATTGCCCACATATCTACTTATGGTAATGATAGGGAATAGGATAGGTATGTGTGTTATTTTCTGTTTAAAAAACTATTTATTGCATAAAATAAATAACGCGTTTAAATACTTAATTTTAAAATAATTACCAGCGCCAATCTTACACATTTTAGATTTTGCTTAGGCACTTTTCGTTTGCGAACGAATTATTCCTATTTTTATAATTATTTAGGTACTGAGCTATTATCTGTATGAGGATGACAATATTCCTGAGCAACATTAATTATTTATGTATGAAAATAGCTCTGTACGAGAATTTGTGAGCTATTTATATTTTAAATTGGGTCAGTGAGTAAAATGTATTTTTATTGGAATCATATTCGGTTATTATTTTCAATTACATACTAAATATACTATGTAGGTGAACATAAATTTGGTACACACTGGTAGACAATACCTTATGTAATATTTCAACAAATTCTTTTATTTTACAGATATGGGTTTGCTGTAAATGTGGGTACGTGTGAGGTCAGCATCCTTCCATTTAGTCAGGTCCGGCCTCGGTATTTCTATACACGGTGTGTATTCATTGCCTTCATAAATACGTTGCATAACATATGGTTGCACTTGATCAACATTATCCGAATTATCGCATATTATTCTTGCTAAAGTTGTCAGTCTTATTTGACCAAGTTGTTCTAATGTAAATCCTTGAGGTTTGTAAGGATTTTCGTACCACATTCGGTCCCCTTTTTTCATTCGTATGAATTGATCCGTTATTAGACACGTTAATGTTGGTCCTAAGATGCCACCTTCCAATGGGCGCTCGCTTAAAGCTCCTGTATACAGATCGATGTCATCGACGTCTCTGCAAAAACAATTTTGATTTTTGTTAACTAATCTACTACGACAATTAAAATACATCACGTTTTTGAGTCCCCTTCCATAACGCACAATAAGCTACAATTTAGAGGCGCAAAGAGTTGGAGGTACCTACTACTATTTTAAAAAATGGATTTCTTTATTTTACATTAATGAAGAAGATAACCAGAAAAAATCCGTTAAGCCGCTTGCGAGCAAGAGGGGAAGAGTGCACTTTCAAATTTGTTTTTTCGATTTTAATAGCCCTTATGGACATTTCATGCCTTAACGAGAACACAAACATCAAATAATTTTTAATTTCTGATCGAATGACACCAATACCACGAGTCGGTAAGTGGTGTAGTTCCGAGGCCTTTGTGACTCAGACAGACAGACAGACATAAAAGGAGCGCAAAAGTGCACTTTTTATAACTTTAAAATGGTGAGCTCAACGCACAATATTTTAAATTATTAAAATACGACCTAAATTAGAATTTTGCATTCTGCCAGTAGGTTGTATTAAAAATCTGTCGAAGGTCTTTTTAGAAGTTTTCCTAGAAAGTCGACGGAAGTTCAAGTAATCTCTTTAGTAAATTATTTGGACAGCTATTTTTTGGCATTTCTTCCAAAAAAATTCGAAAAATTCTTAGGGACCGCATAAATCTCAAAAAATAACTCACGAAGTTTTTTAGAACATTATTTGAACCACAGCAATATTTTTAAAACCGTTTTGGGTCTCATTTTTATTATCTTATGTACCTACTGCTGGCGCCAGTAGGTGGATAAGATTAGGTACAGTACTAATTTTGTTGGCAAGTACAGGTACCCACTGTTATATAGTGCTAACTTAGTTTGATGCTCTTTGCTTGAACAAATAACCCTCTACAAAAGTACAAGATGAGCAATATGCATACAATAGTTTTTTTTTAATCGATGATTTAAATGCACAAATTAGGATCAGGGTTGTATTCAAGGTATGTACAATGGACTGTGCAAAAGAAATTTATATAAAGATCTTTGACGTAATTGTATGACATAGAGAATGTCAAGGTTGCATTTATTAACATACATCTTGCAATTTTAATAGTGCTCGCAAGGTATATTTAGAGTTAAATTATTTGACAGTATATACGTATATATACGGTAGGTGTAGCAAAAATTATGTTACACTCGTAATTTGTTCTACTTTTTTTTCATTGTAATTAATAAGTTATGTATGTATTTTTTGTCAGGCGCCTTCTGCAAAAATGGAACAAGGAAATTTATTGCTTATTGCACCAAATGGTTCAATTAAGGGGAGCTCTCAATTACTCAGCTTACAAGGATGGATATAGCCATACATTATGTTGGCAAATTCACATAAAAGTCAACAAATAATTCAATTAATTGATTTGACGAGCATAAATACCTACAATCTACTGTAAATGCAATACAAAAAACCAATTACCTATATATTTGCTGGATGTTTGCCAATGCATCTTGGTCAATATCATCCGCAAGATCACTGAAATGTTTTGGCCGTTCCAAACCACAATGTTGGCGCCAGTTCGTATAACCCGGTAATCCGTGGTCTCGCCCTCTTTGAATATTTAGACTAACCAAATCCAGTCCAAAAGTGTAATGCGGTTTTGATATCGGATTTTGTGAATCTTCGAACAAATGACTCTTCACCTAGAAAGATCATAGTAGCTACTCATTTCACTCGATAAAACATCGCTACTTCGTCGTTGAAATATGTATCACTCGCTTCAATAGATGTGTTTAGGGCACCCCGTAAAGTTCTATCGAGTCCATTCGGTTCATAAAGACTATATGGATTAAACAGCATCTTGTGGAAGCGTATATCTTCTTCATTTAAGGAATCGTTTTTCAAAACTTTTATTAGTGCGGGTATTAAGGTATGTCCAAACCGAAAGGAAGCTGCTGCAAAATTATTTGCAATCGATGAGTCGATATTGTCATCATAACCAGCGAAATATCCCTGCTTGAGAGGATTAAGATCTAATTTTTTTCGTAGGGTTGGCCCTAAAACAGTAAACTAAAATAGTTTCTAAAGTAGTAACGACACAAATCACGATCCAAGTTAAACCAAATTAAAAGACTCGCATACAAAACACTCCCAATTTTCAAAAGCAGGATATTCTTCATTATCAAATGGAACCTAAGATCTCTAATCAGTTATATTCGTCCATAAGATTCAAATAGAAAGGCACTAAGTATACATATAGAACCGATTTTAATTTCTTATTACTATATAGGAAAAGTACATTAGGAGGATAAGTATAAGAACCCTTTTAAGTGACCCTGCAGTTTTCCGGAAAAAAAACAAAAGTCAATCCTAAAAGTTCATTATTTACGTATGGGTATAGGTACTTTCAAAGCCTTTTGATCCCTTCCACTAAGAACGAACTGTGATATTTTGTCAAAGAAATTGTAATACATTATTAATACCCAAATTAAAGATTTGTTACTTTTAATATGGTTTAAACACCCATGAACTTTCCTAACTAACCAAATTGCAAATGCAAATTCAATTCCTGCATTTGGAACAGTAATTTTTTTAGGAGGCTAGAAAGCTCATTTACTTATCACCATGTTATTGATTTCCTTCTTCACTGCATTTATTAGATCGTTATTAGGTTTGAGAGCCTTGGGTGGGCCCATACAGGATGTAAGGCCCCACGCATTTGGGTCGAGAATAGCACACGCCATGTGATCCAGTGTTCCTATAATTGGGCCAAGATCGTTTAACCAACCCCACTCACTTTACACGTACAAAAGACCATTCTTGAACCCGGATTCGAACCATGGGCTCTCTGCGGCTAGTCAGCCAGAAATACAACATTAGCTAGGGTAAGGGATCATTTTATTTTAAATTGGGAAGCAAAATGAGTGTCCCATCTACCTAGGTACCTATGTGTATTCCAAACTAATGGATCACTGGTGGACGTTGAAGTAAAAAGAATCCCAAGCAAACATCAAAAGACAAAAACCCGAACGCGTTTCGACAGAAAAGCTGTCATCAGCGAAAATGTGGTGGGAATTTGCCATTGAATTGATTTTTTCCCTTAGGAAATTGTATATCGTGCAGTAAATCCTTAATTCCTTACCAATTATTACGCTTAAAAATTCGTTGTAAGTGATATGTTGTAGTTGGGCAATAACGATTTTACGCACTTCCTGAAATATTCTTTCGTCACTCCACTCTGAATTTAATTCCTTCAGATTTGACGCCAACAGGTTATGCTGACGAACCCAAATAAGATGCATTGATGCGAGATGTAAATTTTCGTTTGCGCGACCGTCACCTACAATCATCACTTATTAAAATATAACATTTCTTCATGCGGTAACTTACCGGTTAAAAAACAGTATCTGTTTAACTTGTTTTGTTCTTCACGGTTGCAGCCGTCTTCTTCATCATAGGAGGGTGGTAATAGGGTCCTGTTATCGGTGGTAACAAGCACATTTAATTTTCCATCTTGAAATTGCCGTAGTGCTTCAACTGTGTCAGAAGAAGTACTGTAAATTACAGATCCATCAAGATACGATGACACTTGATTAAGTTGTTGCCGTGGTTCAAAATGGTCACTTGAAGCAGCAGCCGAACGGACAAATTCCATACATGTTATCCCATGTTGTACATAATAGGGGTCGTTCGTCGAAATTTGAACTGGAAAACAGTCGGGGTGTTCGTTTTCTAAACAGCAAGCGATTTGTTTGCCCTCACTGGTTTGGGTTAATGCGGTTGCAGTAATGTCATGATCTATGAATTGGCCCCATACCGCTAGCATTACTGTAAATTTGTTATCATGTCTGTAAATCGGACGATGGACCAACACGCTAACGTCTCTAGCAGACGGAAGAGCTCCACCATCTTTAGCAATTCTCGGTTCACTAAATCCTGGAAGCAGAATTAAGACTATTTTGCGCTGCGACAATAAAATTACCATCTCCGTAGTCGGGCGGAAGAGCTCGTCTAAATGGCGTAAAAGCAACTCCATATTTGAAAGGATTTTTCAAATTGTTACACGTGCCATCGTAAGTTCTATATCTTTGACTCTCATTGCATCTTGTCATATTGCTAGGTTGATTTTTTGTACAAAGTGAAAACGTCACATTATTTGTCCTAAAATGACTGTGTAAAAGACAGGAAGTAGTAGAAGTCACTAATCAACCTTCGAAGATATCTACGAGCATTTTCGTTGACAAATCCCTCACGGGCTAGTAACCTACTGGTATTGGAAGAAATGAACACCTTTTGGTGCCTATAGCTGGGGCTATCCACGGGTAGAGTTGGTGCCAATTTTTCGAACGAATCACGACTTCGGAGTGCATTTGACGCGAAATCCAGCGCGTCTTTCCAGTCGCTATCATGATCAAAGCAAATGTTTTTCTGGGCGCTGTCGGTTATGGGCCACGACAATTTTAAGAGCAAATTTGTGTTATTTCTGGGTTTTGCTTTCGTGTCGTCATCATCAGTCAATTCAGGGTCGGTTTTAATGCTAAAAGCTACCGCAAACACTATCAAAACAGCGAGCAAAATTCTAAAATTTGACAATACGTGCATGGAAATCGATTTAAACTTGCTACTTACATTAAAATAGAACACACGCAACACTGAAAAGTTCTTAAACGTCGATATCTTTGCTGCATTAACGATGGCCTATACGTGACATATCGCGGTTGATTATCGACGGATAATAAATGGGTAGTTTCGGTATTTTCAGTAGACATGCTCATGTTTTCAAGACGTTGGCACCTACGATTATTGAACTTAACTAAAGTTCTGGTAATTTGATCAGAAGCCAATCAACTCTCTAGAAACCGTATACCTTATTCATGAAACCAGTCAGGGGTATTATTCGCGTATAGATTGCAAAAAATGTGGTTTTACTATTTCCATTTCATATAATTTATGTGCCAATAGAATTCAAAATACTTCCTGTAAAAATATTGTTAAAGGACATGGGGGACTGGGTCATAAAACGTTTGGGGTCTAGCATGCCCCGCATCTATTAAATTAAGCACAATTTGGCGTACATTTGGTACATGCCACCTAATAAAAAGTCAAGTGTCAATCTAAAAACTTATAAATAACTTATAATAATAATAAATAATATAAATGCGGCATGAACCGTTTATATCCGAGCCCATTTGGGAAGAGTAACGTTTCGTTAGGGGGTGTTATTTCATTCACCTATGAAATGGACTAGTACCATTTTTTCTTCATCTATTTACTGAGAATAAGTACAAATTTTTCCAATAGTTCACCTTTGCCGCAATTTTTACGTAGTGGGGCCCACGTACGCCAGGTCTTCAGACTTGATACTTTGATGACTATGTAAGACTAGAAAAGCTCTCTGAAGGGCAGCATTTTATAATTTACTAGAACTGTGGTAGGTCACGACGCAGTTTGAAGAGTAGATCTTTCAATTCCTTCCTGCAATAACGTCAACCAGTCTGTGAACTTGGTTGATCCCAGAGTACTCTGTGCCCAAGCTAGGTGATTCGGTACTAAGTCTCGGTCTTCAATGATTGGCTCTAAGTGCTATAAAAATAAGAGCCCTCACAATAAATGAAATTATGTAAAAGTAAACAATTTATAATTTTAAAACGGATAGGGGCTATACCTTTATGTGCATTTAAAAGCTGGCTTGTAAAGAAAATCAAACAATAAGGAAAAGGATCATTATGTAACAGTGTAGATCATTTACCGATCTTGTTAATTAAACAATAACCAAACATCTTCAAAAGTACAAAAATAATACAGAACACTAAAAAATTATTTGTTGATCAATAATTTTATAAATAAGTTTCAGTTACAGTAATAATCTGATGATCTTCGTTTTTCTCAAGCTCCATCTTGAAAAATAAATACCCTTGCTACTTCGTGGTTGTACGGACCTGAAGGGTTGACATATGGCATAAAATCTATCGCAATATTTGATATGGGTACTTACTTTCATTTGGATTTATTCATTCTCACTACATTCACTTAAGAAAAACGCCCAAGTTCGAAAACTGTTACTAAAAAAATACGGTGTGCTTTGTAAGGGTTGTTTAGCAACTGAAAATAATAACAAGAATTTTTAATTTTCATGAATTTGTCAAATTTACAATTAAATAAATATTGTTTAGTAAGTTACAATCAAATAACCTATGTAGACATTTTATGGCGTTTTTTAAGGGATGATATGTCCATTCATATGCATATTTTTTGCTCTATCGTTATTGCACTTCACAAGAAATATGCAAAATCTTCTTCACACGGAAGCGGAAAACCTCCAAATAGAAGATATGTATCACACCCCGAATTCCAAGCTTATCCATTTCTCAGTGCAGCTCACAGCTTATTCAATCTTATATTGTACATATTTCCAGACAGTGCCGGTTAGGTACGGTAGGCACGTGCCTAGGGGCGCCGACCATTTAGGGGCGCCAGCCGCCCCCGCCAGTGCCGCCACCAGGTATCGTATGCCATGAGCAGTACGCACACTGAATGGAAATTCCCATAACGATGTGCTTACGACTTTTTAAATTTAATTCTTGCTGTTGTATCATTTTTTACGACAAAGATTAACAGTAATTACACATTCATCTTGAAATGTGTACATTTACCTACTATATATAACAGGATATGAAAACTGAGAAGCTGCAATTTTTGTATCAAATTGATATACGTATAAACGCAGAGCGAGACTACTATGAACTTTTTAAGAAATTCTGTCGGCAGAGTGAGACTTAATGAATTGGCACTTTTACACATGAATAGTGATATATTAGACCGCATAAATGTTGAGGAAATTTTGGATAAATTTGCTTCACAAAAGGCTAGAAAAAAAATGTTTTGGAGAACTATGACTTTTTTATTATTTAAAAATACCTACCTTTTTCGATTCAGTTTTAGAAAATTATTATTTTTTGTTATCTAAAAACGCAAATGATTTATTTTTCGTGAAATTATACTATTCCATTTATTTTCTATTAAAGACTAATTTTTTAATAAAGGATTTTTTTAGGTGCCGGGTGGGCGCTTAAAGCGCTGTGCCGAGGGGAGAAAATGTTCCTAAACCGGCACTGTTTCCAGATAGATCTACAAATGTCCAGAAAGATTGGAAAATTCCTGGGAAGGCTTGTAAATTAATTAAGAACAGTTCGCATGGCATGTCTTGGCGTCTGTAAAATATGCTTGGTATTAATTTTTGGATGTGAGCATTGAATAATATATTATTCAATGATGTGAGTAAGGTTGTTCAGTTGGTTGCCTAAAAAAAGGGTGCCTTGGGTTGTCTGGTTTTTAAATTTGAATTCAGATATTATACCCTTTTGTTATACATTCATGTAACGCTTGTAGCATAAGTTACAGCAATTGAAAGTCTCACAGGGAAGGACAAAGGTATTCACAACTCAATCTTCTTCAGTCTAAGATGAGATATCTTTCTCTCCTTTCAAAGTACATATGTCAGATGTCATTCACTACTCCCATACTTTTTTGTCTCTTTTGATAGCAATTTTTCTTTAGCCTCCGTAATTGAAGCTCTAGGATCATTAATGGCCCCAAAAAATTGCGTAACTCAACAAAAGATCGCATGTATTCATTCCCTAATCGTTTTGCTGCATCATAACGTAAAGTAATTAAAGGTGGGGTGTATTGTGAGTAACTGACTACCTGAACCTGTTCGTTAAATAACCGGTGACCAGCGAAATAATGCGACCGTTTTTACCTGGAAGTTGAGTATTCCACCAAAATGTATTTTTAGACATGGCTTATTTTCGAGTTTTGATGCATTTACTGCAACCGGAAGTAGTCAAATCCTAAAATTACTGTTTCCCGCGCGTTGCCCTGTCCGCGGCGCGGAATCGTTCAATTCAAATTGTTCGTTGCCGATAAATGCAATATTGCTGATAACGTTGTTATCGTGAGATTTTTTTGTGTCGCGGAAACAGTTTAAACGCGATTTGTGGTGGAATTGACTGGCGTGGTTTCCAGTTTACGGTTCGCTTTTCAAACTTTGCTTACATTTTAATTACAACACAATAGAACTGCGCTACTCTTATGTTACTGTAGGTTAGTTTGCTTTTAGTATTACGCTCGTTCGTTTACTTTCACTTTTCTATCGCTCGGTGGGCGCGAACAATTGTTCAGATAATGTGTTTTCAGATAAGTGAAGTAATGATAGCGTTTCGCGCAATTTAAATTGTTACACTTACAATGAGAAGTGCACCAAAGTGCATTTAGAATTGTAACAAGCAAATGCAGGTGTGTTAAACGCGTGGGACCTACATGAATATTGTGCTACAGATGTCTAATTGTTAATGTGAAGTGCAGGTGAATCTTCAATCATGGATGAAGACGATGGTGCGGTTCGAGTGGCTGTCAGGTAAACCATTTTTCATCTAGTTTTTTCGCAAAGTTCTCAAAATTCGTCATTTTTCGCGCCCGAGTGGTTTATCCTTTCAAGGATATGGTGTACCTCTCCGTCGTGTGGGATGAAAGTATACTTTCCAAATTTGTAAACACAAAAAGCGCGCGGTTATTTACTCTGTCGGTCGTGAAGCTTTATTTAATTATAGCCCAAATGACTCCGATTTTTGAATTAACTTAACCGCCGGGATGAACACTCTCGGCTATACTTACCTAAAAATACTCTCCGCACTTTATTTATATCTAGAACTACCATTTCGTCTTAAGAACATTATTTTTTACTGATCATTAGATGGCCAGAAAAGGTGTCGCATCGTTTTCGCTATGGAGATATTAAAATCCAATATTGGATACCTTCAAAATGCATTACTAGCTCTATTCTGGCCTTGGATTGGGAATACAAAAAATCTGAAATACGGGTTTTTTTTAAATCGATTGAGAATCTTTGCACTAACTTTTTTTATTAGAAATTGAAATTATGAGAAAATATACAGATGTTCAACGTTGGTCGATACCGGACCCTTAAAATCAAAGTCCTGTCGAAGGATTACAATAAGTAATATTTAATAAACGTTAAGACCTCGGTTAAGACTGGACACTCATTTTTGCATAATTTAATTATAATTTTAATATTGTACAAATATCACTGGATCCGAGACTGGATCTCAATTCCCTGTTTGTTTTATAGTAATAGATCTGACTTCTGAGCTGACTAAATTAAATTAAATCTCACCATCATTCACATCCAAAGACATGGTTAAATTTCATGCTCTTATCTAAATATTTAACATGGAATTCATGTAGAACAACAAAATTAAAAATGTGGACCTTAGTAAAGATAAACTGACAAAATTATACCACTAATGCACGTAGCTAGAGACCTTATGAAGGGAAGAGAATTGAGGCAGCAGAGCGGGTAGCCCCAAAAGGGTTGACGGTTCTTCAACATGAAAGTTACGGATCTAAAATTGTTTTTTGAATAGAGTTTGCAAAATCGGAAAAATTGCATGTATCTTAAATTGAAAGTATTTATTAAAGAATCGACCAATGGAAAAGAAATAGTGCCGCATTTATTTTTTATAGTACATATTTCTGTACAGATAGCTCAGATGAAAAGTAACCTTCTTTCCAGCTAATTACAAAGAGTACCAATTACCAATCGAGACTATAGCTATTCATTAATACAATAGTTAATAGTAGGACATCAAAATGGTCTGAACTAATCCAGTAGCCCAGGTATGGACAGATTCCTTTTTAAGTCACTATACACACAAGGTAACGTCTAGGTTGGGGATAATTTTATCATTGAGACAAATTTGCAAGACAGAGTGTACCTTTGTTTTTGAATAAGCATGTTTACGTTATAAACTTGTCATAAATATATGCATGAACTTGATGTCATTCTGAGCAGGAATTTGAAATTCTTAACGTCACGAGGACGACCGGTTGTTTGACAAAATAGTTTTGAATTCTTGTAGGTATCCTAAAGGGCAAAACGCATTTTGCATTATTTAGACAAGACTAGGTCTGACCTAGATCTAATTATAAACGTATGGCTTGGGTTCATAGTAATTATTACACTATATAACAGAGTAGAAATTCGTACCTGCAATATAATTAAACATATCGCTAAGCTAATTATAATTAATTTGATAATCGTGCTTCTATAATGGACCGATGAGTAAACACGAAATAATAAGATATAAATATGCATTATGTAATGTGTAAAGATGGGAAGCGACACCGCAATTTTTACCTTGTTTAATTACTACGTCAGTGAGAAATTAATGACGCAATTTATATTTGAACAAAATGTCAGTGTGTACTTTCCTAATCTGTATATTGATTTATTTTTATGACCTACAAAGATTGGCTAATGCTAATTAATTATAATCGCCTATTTGTTTATCCGAGAAGCAAACTTAATCTGTTTCTGGTATAAATAAATTTTAAATAGAAAAACTGTTTCTTGATGGCAAATTGTGTTCCTGAAGTTCAAAAGTGTCTATATGCTTTTTTTTTCGATATTACAAAAAACCAAGACATTCCAAAAGGACACCACCGGATATAAGATATTTTTGGTTCAAATAAATTTTAATTTTCATGGTAGGTAGGTGTACTTATATTTAGTCTCGTATTTAGTTAATTTGTACTTTTTTCATTTATTTCTTTTATATTTCCGGTTGAATTTCCTGTCATTAGTAGCGAAAGCAGTGCCTGTTTGTGTTCACGGCGGGCCTTAAGCCCTTCAATAAACTTGGGCCCCGCTTACTACCCTTCCTCAAAGTTCCTCAAATTTTTTATTCAATGAAAGTCCCTATCAACTATTACAACAGAAAAAGGTAATTGCCCTCGTAATTGCCCTACCAACATTATGGGGATGTCGACATTCATGCAAACTTTGCATTTATGTAATTCCTTAGGGAAAACGCAATGCCTTGATGTATAACTAAATTTGTATGCAAGGTAGACATTAAGCCCCGTTAAGCGCTTTAAAGATTTGGGCTCCTCACTACCTTTCCTCAAAGTCGGCCATTACTGCAGAAATTCCTTAAAATAATTAGTGTGATGCCCACATTTAAGCAAAATTTGCATTAATCTCGGTAAGGAAAACGCATTGCCTTGATTATAATATATAAACAGGAATAAATTAGTCTCGAAAATACTGTTTTTATTCAAAGATATAGTAACTAAATTTCGCGCCTATTTTTGTTCACGGTGATCCCCAAGCCCTTCAAGAAACTTGCTCACTCAGAACCAGTGTTTCGATCACTTGTGTCCACATTATTTATTTCGTATCATCGATCCTTGCTAACTTTATTAGGGGGGTCCGTTATGGTTATACGCATACCGGAAATGGTCGTTACTAACTTGGTGGACCTACTTTTGCTACTACCCTTCCTTAATGTGTGGGAACTAAATTTTTCGATCTTCCTGTCTTGGTCACTTTTCGGGAAGCAAAATGCACTGCACTGTTTACCTGGGGAGCTTGTCTTGGTTGTGTCTGTGGTAATACGTATGGGATAGTGATCACTGGAATCCAATCCAATTTATAGTATACCATTGAAGGATTGTGCTTAGTTGAGGCGAACGTTTTGCTATTTATTTCTTTGAAAATACAGGGAAAACCAAACCCAAGTAGGGTTGCTATAAGGCCCTTCACTTAAATCGAGTGCTTTGTGTAAGAAAGCGGGAAAACAGGCATTTCCATTACGTAAAGTCGGGACAAAATAAAATAAAAAAGTACATACCTATGTATATGTTTGTATATTTTGATTGCTGTTATTTTTTAACAATTTTTTTATTAATTTAATAAAAATTATATAATGTATTTGTATTTAATTTGTACCAATCGTATTTTTTCGATGAGCGAATGTTTTTCGAAAGTGTGCTTTTGGATTTTATATAGACACTTCAGCAAATCGGGACTTTTTTTCTATAATTCTGGCGGCATGTATAATTTTGCTCGAAAAGCGGGACAAATGGCAATCCTACCCCCTAGATATTTGCAGAAAATAATTTACTGACTGCTAGCAATCGATTTTTTAACGCCATCCCAAAAGGTACTCGTTCTCAAAAAGTATTAACGTTACTCGATTTTGCGGCGTAATCTTTTGTAATTTTTTCTTACACTATCTTTAAAACGTGCAATATTAATGAGTGAAAGAGTAGAAACCGTAAACAAATGCTTGGTTGAACTAAACAGCATCGGGCATGGTATTTTAAGAGACAATGCATGAAACGGAAGTGAGTTTTTATGTTCATTACGAAATAACAGGCAAGTGTAACATCCGTTAGCATTTAAAAAAAAAGTTTATAATAACTATCCCAAAATTTAAAATTTACTTGCGCATCAATTAACATTTAAATTACTTTTACTTATTACTGGACAATATGCGAAAACGTTAAAAGAATTAAGTAGATTCGAATTTAGCTTAGCTAGTAAAGTATCATATTTGATTCCTAACATCAAATAAACTATTACTTTTACAAGAAATGTCAATTTTTATATGTTTGAAAATGTAACTACCGCTCGAACTACCGTTTTTGTCGAGGTTTTTGTATTCACTTTCAAAAAATAAAAAGTGCACTGTTGCGCACCTTTTATGTCTGTCTGTCTGTCTCAGTCACAAAGGCTTCGGAACTACATCACTTACAAACTTGGTGTTGGTGTAATTCGATCAGAAATTAAAAATTATTTCATGTTTGTATTCTCTTTAAGGCATGAAATGTCCATAAGGGCTATTAAAATCGAAAAAACAAATTTGCAAGTGCACTCTTCGCTTCTTGCTCACAAGAGGCTTAACGAATTTTTTGAAATATCTTGCACTTGCACAGACACCATTTTTATTTGTCAAAATTCTTTCTATTCTTTCCATCTTACTTGCTAAAGTAATATCTATTAAATAAAAAAATTGCAACGTTCTAAAACGGAGAAGACAAAAGAAAGCAAAGAGGCCGAGAAAATCCGCCCCGAAAGCATATGAAAATGCTACAACAGTCAAAGTAGTCCAGTAAACCGAGGCCTGTTCCAAGGGAACCGAGAAAGCTGGGAAATTAAGCAACCCACCTGGCAAAAATTATCTTCTTCTTAACGTTCTACAAAGACTTTTAATTCAGTTTCAATTAAAAACTCCTATGTAACACACATTTCGAGACCCCTACGGAAGGGGAGGTTCAGCGAGTTTATGAGTTTTTCGAGCTTTCCAATACGCTAATTCTAAATCTGTAAGCTCTTTTGGTATAATTTATGTCTTCTGCAAACTTGACGTTGGTTTGACATATAAAAGCTCAAAAATTGAGCTTTTGAACGCACCAATTCCCAATTGTTGAATTCTGGTGAGCCGATGGAAGATCTCAGGTACATCTACAAATTTAAGACTTTCTTTATATTGACATTGACCGTGAGTTTCAATTATCCCTCAAAGACCTTTACAAATGAAGATAAATTTGTGGTTAATTTTCTTATTTTATAATACCAGATTTAACTCCATTATCCACTTAGGAGTATAAAACATGCAATCATCACCTATTAATAGTTATAATGATGCTGTATTTTAATCGCTTTTGAAGAACGATGAAAATGCACGTCAACAAGAATTACCTTCAACCATTGAATAAAAAATTAAAAGAACTCAAATGTGGCACAATTTTGCTTTCTATTGATGTTAAGTTCGCGAAAATAGCTTTCGGGTTTATATATCAATGAGCGAAATTTTATTTTTGCTCTGGGAGTGGATACTTTCAATGGCAAATTCTCGGGCTATTTTAACGTGTTGAGGTAGTGAATATTTATGGCTCGGTCACTCGTCGTTACTTTTCTATTGACTTGATGAGCTTAATTAATATTTAAACTGTCCACTACTTTGTGTTAATTTGTACTGTAAACCTTTGATTATTGTTATATTCAATGCTGTAAACCTTGAAAGTTTGTACCTAATTAATTAAGCGCGTGCAAATGCTATGCTACGACAGTAGCCGAAGGAACCATTATTGGGAAAAGACGGGAAATAGGACATTTTGTAGGAGTGTTCAGTACTTGGGGAAATATTTTTCGGAAATAACGAGGAAATGCTCAGGTTGTATAAGGAAAGGCGAATTTGGGAAAGAATTAATGAAAATTAGACAGAATATGCTGTGATCAATGGCTATGGGAGGCGCCGAGTTCAATCCTATCTAAACTATGATCTCGCAGTTTCCATTTAAAAGAATTTTTTTTACCACTTTTACTGTTCAGGGGTTCGGATTGTCCCTAGAGCCGACATGGAGAGAGGCGGAGCGGACAGGCTTCACGCGGTCGATATCCACCAACTGGTCCATAGAGGTGCAAGTCAAGTCACCTGAAACTTTAAATGTCTATAAGGGCCTTACACACTGTTGTGGTTTTTTAAAGTGAGTAAGAAATACTTGACGGTCTTTGGGAGATGAGAATGCAATTGCAGTGAAAAGGATTAAGAGGAAAGTCGGTGGAAATCTTGTAGACACTCTTAATATTATACTGACGTTTAATTCTACCCTACTACCTTAAGAAAAAAGATGCAGCTTTTAACGTTTTAAGAGGGAGGCTGTATATTCCACCTCCAATACGCTAGTTACATATGTATGTTATACTGCAATTGTTATCCCTCAACACTCAACAGCCTTTAGGTACCACGCCAACAAGGTCTTATAAGATCGCTCTATCTAGGTCTATTGAGCCTGGCGACTGTGTGACGTTTTGCAGGAAAGAATACATTTCCTTTTGGCCAAGAGATCACTGTCGATGGGAAAAATGTCATTTATGTATAGTTTCCCTACAAAATAGTTTTGTTTTATTAATTAACCATTGAATCATGTTTTTACTCAATGATTTAACTGTATTTGCAGTCACGAAAATACTGTTATGTATGGTTCAATCGCAGTTTAATTTATTTCCACGATTCGGTACATCCCACTGCAGTAGAGAAATCGTGGAATAGTGCTATGACCAGTAATGGGCTAATGGCCACGGTCGCCGGTAAATGAACTCGTACACCTTGTTGCACAGTTTTTATAGTTGTTGACATTTTTTTAATTGCAGTTTCCGTTTCACGCGCCAATAACGTTTTTAACATAGTAGACATGTTTATTTATATCTAGGTACAATGTAATTACTGTTGTGACCCAGTTGCTGAATTGCCACAATATTTTTGTGTTTCATCGTTTTTGATCACCCTCAATGAAATTAAACCAAAAGTTTAGTGTTCAGTTTGCTTTGTTGTTCGCGTGAGTTTCACTTCATTATAATTAAAATTCAGTTAAAGTATGGACGACCACGTTCGGAAACATGGCATATATTACACCTACAGAATTAATAATACGCTCATTTAAGAGATGTGGTTGCTTGTCAACATATAATTCATTTTTTGTAACCCGTTTTACAAATACTTCTAATCAGAATATGAGGCATTATCGAAGATGAAGATGAAATTTTTGTCCAAAATCTCTTCCTCCACCTCAGTTGATTGATAGATTTGTGTATTGCATTATTGTTTCTGCACTATTCATGGAGCATTTGCATGAGAAAAACTAAGCAATTAAATACAACAAGGCTAAGTGTTAATGGTCAAGCAAGGAGTTTTATCTTTTAGCCTATTACGTCCACTTAATTTGCCACGGTGCCTCTTTGAAAGTTAGAAAGCTACGACAATTTTGCAAAATTTTCGCCTTGATGTTAAATTTATTACGTAACATTCAAAACCTTGCTAAATATTTGACTACTTGATTTGAATTCATTAACTCAGAGATTCGTGGTCTAATGTTTTACATTTTTATTCAAGTACCTACGTCGCATCAATTAAGTGGGAACACGTATAACCATCGTATATTACCTACTGATGGTGCTTCTAGCCCAGCCCACTCGCCAGCCCATGACATACTTCGATCTCGATTTCTTAAATATCAACTTCAATAATCGAAATGCAATACCTAGGTTCTTTCAAGAAACAAATTTGATACCTAAATAGCAGTCATAGTAGTCTGCCTGAGAATATCGAAATATAAATTACAAAAAATTTTATTGCAAACATCTTCCCCAAGGGCAAGTGGGACTAGCCCGTAAATTGTGTACCTACTGTTGCTTTTTGTTTGAGCAAAACTTTGTTGGAATAAACAAAACTGTTTATTTTAAATAAGGGATGAAACGTGGTTAAATTTGTAACAACATTTTCAAAAATCTTATGCTAGATTCTCATTCTATGCAACAGTATTAGTATCTAACCACCTTTCTGGGGGCTTATTTTTTAATACGCATTTTTGATCATATCTTGTATGTATTTATGATGTTGTATTTTGTAATATTAATTACTGTCTTTTTTTCAGGATTCGACCTCAAATACCACGTGAAATAATAGATATGTGCCATGTATGTACCGCAGTTACTCCCAATGAACCTCAAGTCACTCTGGGCTCAGATAGATCTTTCACCTATGACTATGTATTTGATACCCCCGATAATCAAGATAATGTTTATGATACCTGCGTGGCCTCATTAGTAGATTCTTCATTGGAAGGGTACGTATCTTTATTTTAGGAAATGCAGAGTGGGAGTGCTCTTTGTGTTTTATTTACGGATAGGAACACAACCAAGGCTCCAACAATATTTGCTCCTTAATGATATTGATTATTTTCGAAATGACGGCGCCGCGCCGAATTTTTAAAGAAAAAATGAATGTCACTCGACCGATTTTTTAAGGTTGTTGTGAGCAACGAACGGTGAATTTTTTACGTGCATGTCTTCGTACAAACTAAAGTTGACGTACCTATTTCACGAATTTTTATAGTGTTAATATCAAATGACCCAGTATTAAGGGTGGCTTATTTTAACTGAAATATTATGCGCTGTAAGTTTGACCATTTGAATTTGTAAGATATGGTCATCATTTTAAAAACAAAATTAGTTCTGTCGACAAGTTAGTAATGCGTGGAATAGTCCATTTTTCTCATTTATTTGCTAATTTTACATAACTATTTAGTAGTGTTTGCCGTGAAATTATTACAAATTACCTAGCTTAAGGGGCCACACCACAGTGCGGTCTAAAAATAAATTATTTTAATCTGTGGGTCTGGGTCATTTACATTAACAAAATGCTAATGGAACTGTTGATTGAATATCTGATTTCTCTCTTTTGAAACTTGAAACTTTGACATATGCCTGGCGTCGCCGCCTCTCCCAGGATTTAGTCAACTATCGTGAGGATGCGTCCCTGGTAGACACTATCAGGGACGTTTCTCCACTACTTTGTTGGCATCGCGCTGGGCCGCGACATATGCCAAACAATGTGGTGGATTTTGTGGATTGAGGGGGTTGTGGGGGGCGGCTAACTGGGTGTTATCCGACTCGAACGGGTACGGCCACAGCTTCGCCACTGGTCTTCTGCCATAGAAGGAACTCTGCTTTCTAGTGATAGCTTCTTATGCGGGCGTTCATTGGCTTCCGATGTTCCTATCCTTTGGTCTCGTTCCCTTCCCGGTTTTCCCTCGTGTTAGGCCCTTTTTATTGTTGTCCTCTCGCTGCGTTACTTTCTGTCTCCTTTTCCTCCACCCCTTGGCTTCTTCCTCCACCTCCAGTATTCTTCTGCTTTCTTTCTTCCTTGATGTGTGTCTTTGCTCTTTTCTTCCATCTTCCCATGGTAATCCCCGAGACCTCTACCGTTTGGTTTATGGTGGTGCTCCATGTGTGGCAGGGTCGGCGTACCTTCCATTCCGAGGCACACACAATCTTGGCAGCCCGTATGATATGGCCTTTGTTCCTCTTGTTGGTATGTCCAGTATCTCATCTGAATCATCTTCAGTCTCCTGGTAATCATCTTTCCTTCTAGTAGTTCTCTTCTCTGCTTTCTTGTGAGGTTGCTGTTTTCTTCAGTATCCTGAGTGCCTTCCACTCCGCCCTCCTCAATGTTCGTCTGTTGCTCCTTGTTAGCGCTGAAGTGTTAATTCCGTATAACATTGTCGGTGCTATGTTCGTGTTGTAAATCATCATTTTCCAGCTGCCCGGTATTTTCTTCTCTCGTAAGAAGTTCCAGATTCCGTGTGTGCTTCTGAATGCGTTGGTTATTCTGTCTTGCACTGCGTTGGGCCTGCTGAGGGTGCTGCTTATGTACGTTCCTAGATATTTGATCTTGTGCTTCATAGTTATCTCCTTCTCGGCTATTATGGTCTTCTCTCCTTCTTTGTACTGGGGGTGTGGCACTCTTATCATCATGTAGCTTTCGTTGTGTATTTGTAGGTCCACCATTTCCAGGTGTACCTGGTACCATGCTGGCCTGGACGAAGTCCTCAGTGTCTTATAAATTATCCGGGATTACAAATAGATCGTTCACGTACGCCAGTAATGTCGGTAGTAGTAATTGGCCGCCTGTGCTAAGGTTCGTCACCACCATCCTTGTTTGTTCTATAGCGTGGTCAAGTGCTATCGCGAAGAGTCTTGGGGAAGCGGACATGCTTGTTTGATCCCCCTGGTTTTCTTTTAGTGTTCGGGTTTCTTCCAAAACCATTGTATACTAGTATACTCCTTTTGCCACGCGTTTATGGTTTTGTTGATTAGGAATTTGGGTAGTCCCAGCATCGCCCACGCTGTCATTGGTATATTATTTTCTGTTTCCCCCTTGTTTCCTCCTTTTGTATTTTTTGATGTGCCTATACCATTACATTTGCATATTCCTCTACATTGGTCTGAGTTTGGCGATGTTCTCCGCGAACACGGGGAATTCCTTGATTTCGTGTTGCTCATAGGCTCCGTTTTCTTCTTCCTTGGCTTCCCTTAGCTCCTTCTTTGTTTCAGGTTAGTGTGGGTTTTGGCCCGCTTTCTGTTCGGTCACATGGGCGTTTCTGTTTCCCTAGTGTATTCTTTGTTGTTTCTTTGAGCGTTTCGCCGATCTTTTCCGATATGGTATCCCTTCCCCCTTTTTGCTTCTAATCTCTTACTGCTCCTTTCGGTGCTCCTTTCTTTTCTTCTCCCCTGACAGAAGTTTCACATCCCACCCTTCGGTTTCCCCGCTGTGCTCCTTGTCCTTTGTTCTCCCCCCTCCCTCTTGACTTTCCCCTTTACCGTTTTGTGGTCCGATCCTACTGTTTTTGCCCATATGTCTGCTGTGTTCCCTTCCTCCTCTTCACTTTCGTCCAGTCTGCCTAGTTGCGTACTGAAGCCGCCTAGTATGATACCTAGGTTCTTTCCGCACTTTTTTCTGTTGTTTCACTTCGATTTCTGAGTTCCGCCTGTCCTCTTTTGCCCGAGGGGATGTGGCATCCTGTGATTGTTAGTCTTCCTATTTTCATCTTGATTTGGGCCATGGATATACTCTTGCTTTTCCTTCAAATTTCTCCACCTCAATGCCTCGGTGCTTCTTGATTACGATTTCCGTAACTCTGCTGGTTCTCTCCACCTATTCGTCTACGTCTCCTACCAATTGTGGGTAGAAATCTTCCAGGTTTTCCCTGATGTATGCGTTGATTTCTTTTTTAATCCTTTGCTTAATTTCCTGAGAGGCTCTGATGTCCCTGGCAATCCCCTCCGTTGGAGCGCAATCGTTCCAAACAGGCAGTCCCCGTCCTTATTTATACTGATGATGCATTCTAGGATGTGTTCTTTGATCGCACTTCTATTTGATCGCTGATACTTGTCATTTAAGGTCTTAATTCTGATTTGGGTGGTGGGTGCTGTTTGTTAATCGCTAAAAGAGATATCTAGGAGAGATAATTTAGTTTAGTTGTTATGTCACTGAGACGCGTCCCTTCAGTCTATCTTTGGCCACCCCGTATATTCTATTCTGTGAGACTCTAAACTAAAGGTACTAGCGAGAGTAAAAAAGTGTAAAAAAACAGGAAAAAAAAACCGCTTAAATTTGGTAAGAAGTAGGTATATTCAATGTAGCCCCAGTGACTTGGGCCGCTCTATTCTATCTTTTCCCCTTTGTTCAATTTTAAATTTAATTTAGCCTTAATTCTAAGTAAGTAAGAATCTTATGTCTGATTTATTTGAATGCACCTTCAAAATACACACACTTAGGTCATTTTCCCTTTGGGCAAAAGTCAGGGTTCATGACCCTTACAACCTGTACAAATTTTATGCCGGTAATCAAATTATTTGTTTCCCATTCGCAATAAAACACAAAGATTGCCATTTTTGCATTTTTACACTGGGTTAAATTTAGTTAGTCGTGGACCTTTTTAAGGTGCGCACTTCCGCAATTTTTGTAGGTTGCTTGTTACATATTTATGAATTAATTTTGTAAATACTTATGCGAACACCTTAAGAATGTACATGATTTTAAAATTGCATAACAGCTCTTGATCGATCTGATTGAAATGGTTGTCATAATTAGGTACAATGCAACGGTTTTGGCATATGGACAAACAGGGTCTGGTAAAACTTATACGATGGGGTCCGGTTTTGATGTTGAATTGCCTCCAGAGCAAGTTGGCATTATCCCAAGAGCAATTGACCATCTTTTTTATGGTATCAGTTCACGTATTGAAGCTGCTCAGGCAACTGGTACCTTTGTACCTGAATTTAAAGTTATGGCACAGTTTATGGAGTTATATAACGAAGAAGTGATCGATCTTTTTAATCCAATTTATAATAAAGTAAGTTTCTTTTTTCTAGTTCAGTTTGGGAATCACTAACTGGAACTGCTCTCTGCATCTGCTTTCACACTCGTGCGTGATACGTTTTGGTTCATAAAGCTTTAACTAACCATAACTAATGAACTTTATGCTGAACAGGTTTCTTTCCACATTAATTTTTATATTAACTCAGAAAATTAACTGGGTTGGTGGATCTTCTATCCTCTAGAAAGCTTTCACTATCATTATCTTTTTCAGGACAAAGTTTACAAAATTCATGAAGATCTCTCTGGTGGAATCAATATAAAGGGTATTAGTTTAAAAACTGTAGGATCTGCGGAAGAAGCACTTCAATGCCTCAGAGTAGGTGCTTTATCACGTACAACTGCTAGTACGCAAATGAATACACAATCTAGTCGCTCTCATGCCATATTTACTCTACATATAAAACAACAACGTCTTGTACAAGATGACGATGGTGCTGGTAACGAAATTGAAACACTATCCGCCAAATTCCACTTTGTAGACTTGGCCGGATCGGAAAGGTTGAAGAGAACGGGTGCGACAGGCGAGCGGGCCAAAGAAGGAATATCGATAAACTGCGGCTTGTTGGCACTTGGAAATGTGATTTCAGCTTTAGGAGATAAAAGTAAAAAAGCGTTGCACGTCCCTTATAGGGATTCTAAGTTAACTAGATTACTACAAGATAGTTTAGGAGGTAATAGTAAAACTGTGATGATAGCATGTGTTAGTCCCAGTGATAGAGACTTCATGGAAACGTTAAATACATTAAAATACGCGAATCGTGCGAGGAATATTAAAAATAAAGTGTCTATTAATCAAGACAAAAGTTCTAGAACTATTGCACAATTACGACAACAAATTACACAGTTACAGTTAGAATTAACAGAGTACAAACAAGGCAAGCGTGTGATTGGCATTGATGGCAATGAAATTGTTAACGATATGTTTTATGAAAACACCATGCTTCAAAATGAATTAAATCATCTACGTACACGAGTTAAAGCAATGCAGGAAACAATAGATTCACTCACATCTAAAAATACGCAACTGTTAGCTGAGAAGGCGACAGGGAATTGGATTAGTTCAGGTGGTGATAACCATGTTGCCGATATGGTACAAACGTACTTGAAGGAAATTGAAGATTTGCAGGCGAAACTAATGGAATCGAATTACACCTGCGAAGGTTTGCGTAAACAACTTTCCAAAGGCCACCAGGAAACTACAGTCCGCGCACCATCAGTTATTATGGATATTTCCTTTGGTGAAATTCCTGCGGTTTTGGAGGAAGCTAAAAGGGATTTGCAAAGGGATAAACTGCTGTTGCAAAAAAATAAAACTAATTCGGAAATTGATCTGGACAGCAGCGATGGCAGCGACGGTGAGCTCGACAGTGACAGCGAAGAGAAAGATTTTGATTCCGCTTTAAACGACCAGCTTTTGACGCTAACGACCGACATTGACATGAAGCAAAAATTAATTGACGAACTAGAACTGTCACAAAGAAGAATGCAAACCATGAAACAACATTACGAAGATAAATTGATGCAACTGCAAACACGCATCCGTAACACCCAAGAAGAAAGGGACAAGGTGTTGCAGTCTTACTCTACCAGTTCTGTAAAGGACGATAAAGTTAAGAGGGTTAAAGATGAATATACACGAAAACTGTCGGACATGCAAAAAGAATTAAAAAGATTACAAACTGCTCAAAAGGAACACGCTCGATTACTTCGATCCCAAAATGATAAAGAAAATCAACTTCAATGTTTTAAGAACGAATTATCAGATATGAAGAAGGCCAAGGTGAAGTTGATTAACAAAATGAAGGAAGAATCTCAACGCCACAAAGAATCTGAGATGCGCAGGGTACGCGAAATCGCCCAGTTGAAGAAAGAGGGTAGGAAAAATGCCAATATGATCAAAACGATGGAGGCGGAACGTCGAATTAAGGATCAAGTCCTGAAGCGTAAGCAGGAGGAAGTTTCCTTGTTAAGAAAAAATCAAATGAATAGACTTAGTGTTAAAGCGTCGGGGAGAATTAAGTCGAATTCGTTTTCTGAGAAGAGTGCCAAGCAAAAGTGGTTGAAAGTTGAGAAGTGTATTAACAATATAGCCATTAGTAAAAGGGGAATTGTTGAGCAAGAAGTTCGTATGGAACATTTCTTGGAAAAACGAGAAGCGTTAGGTAAGCCTCTTTGAATTGTTAGTTAATTGGTAAGTACGAAGATTTGATTGCTATTATAATATGGCTTTTTGAGTTCCCGTCGCATTTTGAGATCTGAAACAGTTGCCGTTTTATCGCGGGAGGTTTATTAAAAAATAAATCAGAATTTCAAACGCTCTTCCCTAACCGTCCTCGTTTAGGAACTACAAATTTCTAAAATCGTCCTTCCCGTTCGTCATTTCTACTACGGACTCCGGGGGGATAGGGGGCGTCTTTCAATTCATCTTTTGTAGTGCATGGTCGCATCCACACCGTCTCGTTTTCACGCTGGACATTTTTCAAGACAGCAGTTTATTGTCGCGAAACGACGCATGTAAAATTTTTGCCTATCTCGCCACAGCCCGTCGTTTTGCTACCGTTCACGAGTCTTTGAGTACCCAAAATTGGGGGACCTTCGCCATGCTATCGAGAACATTGTTTGCAAGCTAAGACGCACTTGTACGAGATTTTGTTTATGTTTGTGTATGTTGTTCATGAAAATTTGAAGACTCAGCAGCCCACCCCATTCTTATTGAACCAAACGAATTCGAATAATATTTTGTTAGAGTTCACAAAGATTTGAAATAAGATATCCACAGACCACAACCCCATCGGTTACTGAAATTTTTAAGAGATTTGCTATTCCTCAGAGGAGAGAATCTTCAGAAAATTGATCTCGGGAGGCACAAATTTAATTTTACACAGTACAGTTAGGGAAAAGAGGCGGTTGCTTATCGTTACATACCAGATCTTTGTCTGCCACTTTCCTTTTCTATCTAGGAAAGGAGACATGATTAGCAGGAGGTCTGCTTCATATTCCAATGTCCAACCATGGTTGAATCAATACATTTTTTTTGACACCTATTCCAGAAAAACTGACATATTGCTAAGGACCTCCACAATCAACGAAAACTCAAAAACTATTTAATGGCAACTCTATGATAATAATAACAATTCAATTACGCATTTAAAGTAGGAATTCTGGTTTGAAAATTTTGACTTTAATGTAGTGTCTTTGTACTTACAACACAGGACTTTTTTTAGGAAAAGAACTAGAGTTATTACAAGCACGTAGAAAACAAGCCGTTGAAAAGCATCAAGACACTTTGCAATTAGATAGTCTGATAGAAGATATTAGAGAAAATATTAATTACGTTCAGGAAACAATTAGCGAAACACAACACAATGTAATGGAAATTGAAGAAACTCAGGATAATAACGAATCTAACGATATTCAGCAAATTGTCGATACCATGATGGAAGTAAATGAAGCAAAATATCTGATCAAAAAACTGTTCGGTATGATTTTCAATCAAAACCACATTGTTGCGCAGAGGGATGCCAAACTGAAGGAATGTGACGCCACCCTGGCCGAGGTATGTAAATAACAGCAATGTTAGTTGTGTATTAACCATGCTTTTTTTAGTTAAGGCAAGAAAATGCTGTAAAAGGCCAGTTGTTAGATCACGTTTTACATACAGAACATCCCGTTTTTGCCCGAGAGTTAATCACTAGCATTTCCAGTAATGCAAATGAGCCAACTAGCTCTAATTCCAGTAGATCAGGCTCACCAATCGAAATGTGGGTTGTAACGATTCCTTAAGTACCTATTTGAAATTATTTGTACTTGCAGGTTTAATATGGAGACCTCGCAAAGTAGCAAATCCAAAGTTCGTCAACGAACTGCCGCTCCATCGGAGTTATTGTTTGGACTAAAAGCTGATACTGATGACATATCCAAATCTCAAGATTCTAATCTGTTACATGAAAATTCCATTTATAGGATTCCAAGTATTTCCGGAACTCTTAAGTTAGTTCTATAGTTTCTAATTTTTCTTATTGGAAAATAAGTAGTCAATTTGCGAATGGGAGATTTTAACTTTTATAAATGAATCAAATTTTCTTCATCCATGGTAGCGAAATTTATCTTGAGTCTTGTACGTCATTTACCAGCTCATAACGTTAAAATCACTTGAAAGAAATAAGCTTGCGAGCAGGCTTCAAACATTTTTATTTTTTAATGTATAGGTAGATAATTATAATTTGAGTGGCAAAATATAAATTAATGAGAACTGTCACTAACATAAATAAGTTTTTGTAATATGTGTTTGTACTTTCATTTATAGTTTATTTTATTTACAGGCTAAATTCATAAAACTGAAAAATAGGAAGATGCATGCAGCTAATAATAATAATAACATGTGGATTGATGCGGACTTCTTCTTTTTGAGGTCTTTTGATCACATTATAAGTATTCACTTTGTTGTTATTTGTACAGAAATATTGTTAATTCTTTTAGTATTTTTGTTGATATTCCTGTTATTAATATTATGACTAACTATTTATTTCTAAATGTAGTAATCAATTTAAAGACTTAATACAATTAATATTGACTGCAGGTTTTTTTATTGACGTAGTGGTTTCAGAACTAACGCAATCAGTCGTTTTTATTCATTAGAATAAAATAAATAAATGTTGTTTGATTTTTCAATAGGTAGATAAATTCTACACTTTTTCCAAAAAAGGAGCAAGGTGTAAAAATATTAAATACTTTTCTTTGAGATTTAGGTCAAGAGGGACATATTTCAATATGGTTTTCTCATACCATGTGTTTGTACAAATTAAATAGTATTTTACTTATGGATTACATTTTATTGAACAGTGATTTAGCTTCGAAATCAAGTTTCTTTACACTATTGCATTCGTCATGAAGATGACAAAAAGACATTTTTTCATTAAATTGATTAAACAGATTGACAAATGGTGTGTCTTTTGACAGAGATATATGACGAAACCGCCACCCACATCCATGGAGCAGCTGAAATGTATACAACTGTCCAGGATCCTGGATTAAACTTGAGACATTGAAGTCCAACAAAATTGACACTGACTGACTCGCAAGAGTAATTTATAAGATGTGTTTTCCCAAAATTTTTTGGGTAGTCGGTTTTCGGTACCTATAAAGCAAGGCAAGGTTTTTTGCCAATAACTTGTGATTGAGATGTTTAAGCGAAAAATATGAATAAAAAACGAAGTGTAGGTAGGTATACACAGCTTTTTTTTGGGCCGGAAGAAAAAATTGTCTAAGATTGACCGGGAAAACACATTTTCTTATAGAATTTGGCCTATAGAATCCGTAATTTCAAACAGTTCCAAGATTGGGCTACTAGTTCAAAAGTTACAGCCCTTTGAATTTTTTTCTAGTCTATAACTTTTGATTGAGAAGTCTGATCGAAAAAGTACAAATTGATTTGGATTCTACGCACCCTAATTAATAAGAAAAAGTGTTTTCCCGAGAAATTTTGGTGCAGTCGATTTTCGGTAAAAAAGGAAGGTTATACACTGCCTTTTTTTGAGCCCCCCAAAAAAAATTGTCTCAGATCGACGCGGAAAAAAAATTTTCTTATAGAATGTGGCCTGTAGAATCCATAATTGCAAACAGTTCCAAGATTGGGCTACTAGTTCAAAAGTTACAGCCCTTTGAATTTTTTTTCGAAATTGGTTTCTAGTCTATAACTTTTGATTGAGAAGTCTGATCGAAAAAGTACGAATTGATTTGGATTCTACGCACCAAAATTAATAAGAAAAAGTGTTTTCCCGAGAAATTTTGGTGCAGTCGATTTTTGGTAAAAAAGGAAGGTTGTACACTGCCTTTTTTGAGGCCCGAAGAAAAAATTGTCTCAGATCGACCCGGAAAAAAATTTTCTTATAGAATGTGGCCTGTAGAATCCATAATTTCAAACAGTTCCAAGATTGGGCTACTAGTTCAAAAGTTACAGCCCTTTGAATTTTCTTTCGAAATTGGTTTCTAGTCTATAACTTTTGATTGAGGAGTCTGATCGAAAAAGTACGAATTGTTTTGGATTCTACGCACCAAAATTAATAAGAAAAAGTGTTTTCCCGAGAAATTTTGGTGTAGTCGATTTTTGGTAAAAAAGGAAGGTTAATCACTGCCTTTTTTTGAGCCCCGAAGAAAAAATTGACTCAGATCGACCCGGAAAAAAAATTTTCTTATAGAATGTGGCCTGTAGAATCCATAATTTCAAACAGTTCCAAGATTGGGCAACTAGTTCAAAAGTTACAGCCCTTTGAATTTTCTTTCGAAATTGGTTTCTAGTCTATAACTTTTGATTGAGAAGTCTGAATAAATGGCAGTTCAAAATGTACGGTGTCTTGCAAGATCTGTAGAGCAATTGTAGTTTAAAGGCCCGATTTTTGAATAAATTAAATACAATAATTACTAGTGCGCCATCTCCATGGCAATCGATACACTTTCTATCAATTATAGTTTTAGAAGTCTAGTTGAGATGTCGCCACGTACGCACCTTCTTTTAAAATTTTAGTTTAATTTATGCGATTAATAGCAACGTTGCACTTATTATTCCTTAAATGCAGTTCCGTTTTTAAGTTTTTCGGGGCCCTGGGCCATTCGTTCGTGGAGGCCCTCCTTACCCTCAATAAAAACGGCAGATTGAGGAGATTCAAGCAAATCCCTAATTTGAATATGGGCACTCGATATTTGTGTAGCCTGGTTTATAGGCAACACATCATGCTCAATGAACAGAAAACATTTATTTTTGCAATTCGCAACTTCTTATGCATAGGAGTTTATTTAAAGCCTTTGGAAGAACAATTTCAATAACAGGTACATTAAACTGAACCGTTTTACAATCACTGCCTTTTTTTGAGCCCCGAAGAAAAAATTGTCTCAGATCGACCCGGAAAAAAAGTTTCTTATAGAATGTGGCCTGTAGAATCCATAATTTCAAACAGTTCCAGTTTATAGTCTATAACTTTTGATTGAGAAGTCTGATCGAAAAAGTACGAATTGTTTTGGATTCTACGCACCAAAATTTATAAGAAAAAGTGTTTTTCCAATCACTTTCGTAGTCTTGCCTATGGGAAAAATTTGTCTGAAAACAACCGGAAATAAGCATATCTTATAGATTCTGGTGTGTAGAAACCAAAACTGCCAACAATTTAAAGATTGGGCCACTAGATCATACGTTACAGCCCATAGAATTTTTTTTACACATAACCAGCAAGCAGGTAGTGGCGTTAAGGTGTACTCACGGTAACGAATTGTACCGAATAAAACCTATCTCAAACAAATCGCTATTTTATTATCAATCAATTCATCACTCGATTTTAGATAGATTATTAATTGTTGGTAAGTGTGGCAAAAAACGATAACAAATAAAAATATGGCAATAGTGCCGTCCCATCCATTTATGTATAATTAAACCAATTGACCCTTTGAATTTCCCATTATTACAACAAATTAACAATAACAATATGACTATTATGAACATGTGTAAAAGTGTATGACTAATAGTGCTATTGGTACACACAAGTTAAATGCAAACATCAATGGCACTTTTTAAAACAGACATAACATTATCTATAGTGGAATCCTCTGTGGCAATATTCACATTCAGTTTCAGATATTCTTCAAAAGGTAGGAAATAAATATTTTTCTCAGTACACTGAAAATAATTATCAGGATAACACTATCGAGTGGACAATACTTACAAATGTGTGAATTTTTTTAATATCTTCACACCGTTTCTCACTTCTTTTGGTAGTAAAAAGTTTGACAGGCGACAATGGATCACTAATGACAATGTACCCTTCCAAATTTCTTAATTTTCTATCGATCATTATACATGTTTCGTGTAACTCTTGGAAGATACTCGGTTGTGTCTCAAACATTGTCAAAGCACACAAGGCCGCTTGCGTTAAAAATGGAGGCAAGGACGCCGAGAAACAATATCCTGAAAAAAACATTTATAAAAATTGAAATGTGCTATACACCTCCTGCAACCTAATCCGGAGAGACGTTGATGCTCGATGACTACAGATGCACCTACACAAAAACCTCCTATTGAACCAACCGCATATTCTAAACTTGCAATTATCATATCAACGTTCGACCTCTATGACCAAATAAATAAATAATTTCTTTATATACCATACCATACTTACATCAATATTAAAATGTTCGGTCACTCCCTTCCCATGTTCACCAAGAACCCCCCAAGACAAACTTTCGTCTATAAAAATTCTCAGCTTGTACTTCTCCCTCAACGACATTAACTCTGGTAATGGACATATTGTTCCGGAACTGGCGTATATACCTTCCACAATTAGGAATTTACGGAACAGTTTTCCCTACAAGCGGATAGTGAAAATCGCATCATCTGTAAGAGATGATATTTACCCTTTGCTTTTCTTTCTTTTCGTACGCTTTTAATTTTGACTCTAAATCGTTCATGTCGTTGTGCTTGAAGTATTCCACAGTGCTTTTGGCGGCCAAAAATCCCTGACGTGCCGCGAAAGAAATTTTCTCATCGCTGAAACAACATTAAGTGAGTAAACGAGTTCTCTGAAGCATCAAATCCAAATCAATAATAATAGTTAACAAATTGCACACTCAGCCCCACTAAAATATTGTTGTAATGTACCTATTGGCTCATTGACTAGTAAGCAGAACACTAGGCAAAACAAAAATAAAATGCAGCGATGTTATTCAATACTGATGCATAGGCAACACATCATACACATACACTTTCGTAATTTTATTTCGTTTACCAAAAAATGATATCCTTCTTTTTGCAATAAGCTCCAATAGCACTCGAAACAGTTGTAAATCCGTACGAATACAAAACGGTTTCCTCCATATCCATAAATTTGGCTATGCGCTCCTCTAAAGTTAAATGAATATCTGCAAAAATTTTGATAAAATAGCAAACAGTTTATTTACAAAATTTACCGATGGTTCCATAGAAACCGCGAGGTCCACAAGAACCGACCCCATACGTTCGAATACACAATTCGGCTTCTTTTCGAAAGTCTTGATTGTTAAGGAAATTGAAAAAGTTCACCTTCGCCAAATTGACGCAGCCGGGAATAGACTAAAATTATGAACATTCTCAAAATGGTAATGAAATCGTCTAAATACCTCATCCGGAGCAGGAATTTCAATTACACCACTGCCGATAGTACTGTGATCGATTAACGGTTCCGGCCTAAATAAATTGATGCGAGCATTAAGGAGCTGCAAGAAAGCCTATAATATGATACGTAAATTGAAGCGCTTACTTCTTCATCCATTTCTTTGGCATTTTTTTTGTATCTTTTAAAAAAGAATATTGTACCCAAAAGAATCACGAAAGCAGAGGCTACCATGTAAACAAGTCCACTCTAGAAGCATACTGGGAAATAGTGTATATAAAACAAGAATATTTTATTACCATATAACTGTACATTTTAAAGTATAATTCAACACTCCTAAATAAACCGATTACCTCGTGATGTAATTGTCAAGGAATTAAGATAATTAATTCCTGATCCTAATGGGACAAGGCTCGAACCTCGTGTCTCCGGTCTCGTAACGTAACCGAGCAACAACCAAAAACCACAAAGCAAGGTGATGGAACTACTGTTCAGTTGAACTAACAAAATTCAGAAATTCTATTGCTAGACTGCCCGCACATAAAAATTTAAATTTCAATTTATCTATTGTAAACCTCAGCCTGGGTACCCTTCGCAAAATCATAATCTGTTTTCATCCGTCTCCCTGAATAACCTGGTGTGCACTCGCTAGACTTATATAAGCCTAGAGCCCTCCAGGAGTAATGAAATACTAACTTAATAGTAGAGAAACAGAACAGAGGAAATATTAAATGACATATATATTTTGCACATAAGAATTAACATGCATTAACATTCAACATATTGTGTAAAAATAAACTTTATATATTATAAATTATTTTCAAGAATGGATGACAAATGCAAAGCTCAGGTGATCCGCTTTTCCAATTAACAATGAACACTAAATTATCGAACTCGCACTATAAATATGTTGTTGAAACTTATTTACAAAGAGAAATATTATGCGTCATTTTTTTGTTAAAGGTATTACAACAACACTATTCTTTGCCGACTTTATGACAGACCATCGTCCAAACCTATGTTCAGTTCCAATTGCAGCTAATAAGTGATCTCCATTTCTGCTAAAAACTAAGTCGTTAACAAAACCAGCTACTTCTAATTGGAACAGCAGAGTAAGCTGGCGCAATTTGTTTTCAAGATGCCACAATCGAATAGAGCCGTCGTGCGACCCTGAAAATATACTTTAGTTTTATTTAAACACAAATCCGTTAGTGAACCAACCTGATGCAATCAAATCTGTATTCACCAATGTAGCAATGGACACTATCCAAAAAGGTTGTAAATTACTAGGATCACATCCATGCGCTTCTTTAACTAGGCATATAGGTTTCTTCTTTCCAATTGACCATATACATAAATTACTACATAAGTTTGTTAATAGCCAAGTAGATAAACATACGAATTACATACCCATCGTCACCACCTGAAGCAAAATGTTCTTCATTTATTAACCGTACAACATCAATACTGCCCGAATGTCCATTATAAATTAGCTGAGATTCCTCCAAAATTTTCCACAAACGTATTGATGTATCTCTCCCGCCTGCCGTAATGGCACGTTCCTTCGTAAGACAATCTATTGAAGTTATTTTATCCTGATGCCCATACAACGTTTCCACATACGACATTTCATCTAACGACCACACTTTCACCGAACGATCATTGCTACAGGAATACAACGTGTGGGTATTTCCCCTAAACGTTACACCGGTCACAGAATCTCGATGTCCTTTTAGTGAACCGATGTGCCTTAAATCTGCAGGATTCCAAATTTGTATCACACTAGTGGCATCACCGACTGCCTAAAAAGACAGCTTCACCAACTGCCCAAACGCACACATTTCTACTACCAAAAATTTGTCATCGAATGAAATTGCTATACATAATATTTGCTTACTGTGACCGACTACTTCTTTCGAATCTACGTTTACTTTCTTGCGAAACGGAATGGAGAGTAGTTTTTTGTTTTCGGTAAGTGACCCTACAAGTGGAGTTACTCAACCAATTAGTGACTGGTGCATCATAGTGTAGAGTGAGATCTCATTATTTACACTATGGCCACATATACCTACATTTAACGATACTGCTATCCTTACTGCCGGAAAATGCATACTTATAATCCGACGATACACAAAGACAGGTGACGGCATGCCTGTGTTCTTTCGCTTTTAAAATGTTCACTTTACTAATTTCTCCTCCCACATATTCGCTTGCCACAGATAACTTTAATCGGCCAGCTTGTTTCAAATAATCGAGCTTGAGTCGTTTAGATATTACATCACTGTTTAACTCGTTATCCTGCTGAAGCCTTGCGGTTTCTAAAAAAACCGAATTAGTACAAACGACGCAAAAACCGAACCGAACCTTCTTTTTCAATTTCTTCCAAGAAAATTTTAGCTAAACGTAATTTTTTTTCTTGAGCAGTCTCGTTCTCATCATCAGACGATAGCGTGTCCGAATTGCCATTTACTTGTTTCTCTTCTTCGTCCTCGCTACTTGTAATAGTGTCATCATTGTTGTTTGCTGGTTTAGATTTTTTAGCCTTTGTGGTGTGCTCCTTTTTACTTGAAAACTAAAAGTAACATGTCAACAGGGCAAGCAGCAGTTTCTGTTTTTACCTTGCTTTTTACTCCTCGTTTTGGTTTACTTTTAATAAAAAAAGACATTCTTCATATAATAAAACACAAGAATAAGTAGACTGTAAGTATATATTTAAATGTAAATTTAAACAGCATGGGTTTTCAGGTTATGTATAACACACAGACAGCGCAAGTATGCAACCCGCATAATAATATCATTGGCGGCGCGTTAAGCGGGTTTAAAAAGGGTTTACTTTTTACCACAGCTTTTATGACCAATCCAATATACACATGTCGGATTACCTGGACATTAGGCCTTAGGTCACCGATTATATATATATGTACCCATGCCCGTTCCCCTTTCTGTTATAGACCTGTTCGTAAACCACACGGGTCCCTCAGGTTTAAGGAACGGGCAATCCGAGTTCAGCCATCTACTCCCTGTCCGGGAGAGTGACCTTATAACTCTTCGGTCTTAGTAAGACAGCCCGGATCACATCTCTTCTTTTGAAGAGGGGATCTGATCTGAAGGTTTCCTCCCAGATCCGCCCATGTCCAAGACTGCTTCGATCCCACAACTAAGTGTAAAGGCTTTAGTCACAGAAGTGCCTCCAAGACCAAAGTTGGAGTGCTTTACATGGCTCCAGTAACTCCTTGACAGGCGAATCTCTGAACTTTTCCTAGCTGCTTCCTGTAGGTTGCCCTGCGCACAGCAGGCCACCATACTTAGTGCATCGTACAGTATTATAGGCCTTATCACTACAGTGTAAAGCCAATACCTATACCAGTCGAGGGTTCAACCCCTATGTAATGTACTAGTACTACCAAAACTCCTTCTACATGCAGTGGCCTTTTTGCTTATTTGCTCAATGTGCCCTTTCCAGATGTGAGTCAGGAGTCTATGATGACTCCCAAGACGGGGTTAGAACTTTGCCCCGAATACAGCTTTGTGTTCTTCTACAAAGAATTTTTTGTGCAATCAAGAGTGTTAATTGCTCTTGGTGTATTTATATGGGGTTACGGGACCATCAAGAAATTCAAATTCCGAAGTTTGAGGGACAAACTTTCCAAGTTATTTGGATTGTTTTTGTCAAGATTTCCAATTTTCATCGCCAATCACTTTCACCAAAAATCCGATACCTATACACTCCTGATGCAGATGAAGATACAGAAGTTAAACCCTACCCAAAGCCAGTACGCGTATGCACTAGTACTTAAACTAAATAAAATGGACCTAAATAAAGCTAACGAAATGCATAAAACATTGAAAAACATCACGGTGGCTGAAAGATCTTCTGATTAAAGAAAATCATTGTTCGTTTCATCATGTGCTTTATTAAATTTTTTCGTTTCGGTTTGTCATACGAAGGGTAGTTGAATGCCCCCTCGATGTCCATGAGGCAGACTGTAAGATCGATTCTTTGTCCAGCATGCTTTTCTCAATCAAGGGTATGAATTAAGGGAGGTCTCCATAGAGCGACTCTTTTGGGTATGAATGTCGGTTGGTGGGAAGGGTTTTTTCTTATGTCGATAGATCAAATAGTTTTATTTTGACTCTTTTTGTACATGTCAAACAAATAGATTAATATCTAAATAAAAAACAAAACAATAGAAATAATGTATTTATAAAAAAAAGATCTATACTCTACGAATCACGGCACCTTAGTCCTGCATCACTATTCTGTAATGTATTGTGCAGTAAGAACACAGGACTCAAGGTTATTGGTTTGGTAGAGCACAACTAAAATATTACAATACTGCATCTAGAAAAATATAAAAGGCATATAAAATGGACGGACTCTTTTGCATTTGTTTTTTTTAAATTCTAAAAAACTTAATCTAATTTATCAACTTCTTAGGCATTGTTTAAAGCACATTACACAACACGTACAGGTACACTAAAAAATATTGTCGATCGTTTATTCGTAAATACCACTACCTTAATTGTGATTTGTCAAAAATATCACATTAAATAGAAAAAAATTATCAATTATACAATACCAACTTGAAAATACTAAATACTTAACGGTCGTTATGAATCAGTCAAATAAACATTGATAACCTTTAATCGTCAGGCTAAATGAGAATGTGATAATATGAGAATAAAACAATGCCCAAGTTCACAAACCTGATAGAAGTCATCTATATACGATCTATGAAGGCACATCAGCAGTATCATACTGCATTACTTTTACATAATACAAAACAATTTAATATAATAATACTTAAAACAAAGAAGACACTCAAATGATGGTTAACAGCGTCACTTCGATACGATGCAGGAGATCCTGAGCAACGAAAGAAATACATAATTAATAAAACACAATATGTAAGCAATGTTTTATAGACAAACGATTACAATAACATAAACAAGCGAGCAAACTAAAAAAATTAAAGCACATCAATTCTTAAACCTACCCATTTGAAACGTTAAAGGTGGCGAACTCATTCGGCCATCGCCGCCGTTTGAAAATGCAAGTACCCGCATATTGTAGGTTTTTCCAGGTGACAGATTATCAATGTACGCCTCCAATTTACCACCAACAGGCATGATTGTGTCATTCGCCTTGCTCATGTCTTGATCTACCTCCCAAACTCGTATCTAAAAAAAAGATATCAACAAAATGACCTCATCGCAGGTAAGTATTACTTTATATCCTTGAACTGGTTCTTCATCTAATGACGGCTGGATATAACGCCACACAACTCTTACGGTTGACGGATTAATCCCGAAGATATGCACAGAAGTAGGAGGCTTTTGTGGAGCCTTCCGATATGTGCGCTCTAGTAAATCAGATTAGATTAAGATCACTGTGTTAAACTGTCATTCGAGAACCAACCTAAGTAACGTTCACTTTCTGGTCCTTCACCTGCCGAATTGAAGGCCATTACCTTTACGAAATAGTAGGTGTCTGGCAGTAAACCGACAATTAGCGCCCATGGTGTTGTTGTTCGAGACAAGTAGTATACGCTTTCTTCCTCTCTGCTGTCCGTCTTCCAATATTTGATCTGGGAAATATATATTCGTCAATTTTTTTCAACTAACTTAGTTTTTAAGAGAAAGTCTTGTAATTTCCACAAACTAGCAATCTCAAAGCGCTCAAACTTACTAGTTAGAGATGGCACAATGACCATATGAGATAACTTTCTTCAACTGCCAGTGGGATTAATGTTTAGTCAACTGGGTTACCATTTTCTGAATCAGTGGGTCAATTGTACCAATGCCAAAGTTTGTATTAGATATTAAAAAAAAGGACAAGTAAGTCTCCTTTTCATGCGAATATTAACTAACAATTTTCTATTCATATTTGTCAAACCCCCACCATAAGTGGGAGGTGTAACAACAAACAGCACTTTAATCCCCTATAAAAATGCCAGTTGGAAATATTGTGCAGAGTTGGAGAAAAATGACTCCTAGCCTGGGGAGGGGGTTCGAAAAAATCACGAAATGTAACCAAGGTAAGGAGTACGTCAGTACAACCACCACAACAACACCAGCAGTTGCTACAGGGGCAACTGCAAGAAGCTCCGGAAGCATCACCCCCAAGGCATCCTGTGGTCAGTGCTTGCTCCAGCGCTACTCACCCGGGCCGATATCAAACTGGGATGAGTGCGCATATTGAAGCGATGCTGGAGTCTGATTCTAGCAACGCCGGATAAACGATAGACAGGTATTGTAAGTATGAAAGAGACTTTTATACAAATAAACCTTGCAACACTGCAGGGCAGCGGGTGTTACTTTCAAAGCAGGACTGCGCCCTTATTCAAAATCCTAGGTTGTTAAATCAAGGGTTTCTGGTCTTGGAGGCACAAAAGGAACCGTTTTCTCTGATGCATGGAAAGAAAAACCTATAACATGTATTTATGTTCGTAGCCACCTTAAAGCTCTTGTGTTGCCACGTTCGTAACTACCCAACGCCTGACTGTGATTGATCTCAGTCAGGGGTGGAATCATTCTCAGCATACAAATCACCAGATTGGACAGCTATATACCAGCCGTCTTGCAATGGGGACTGCAATGCCATACTTTATGTCATCAGAGTAGGTCACTGAATGGGATAAAAGAGTTCATGGTTATGGCCGCCTAGCGTCCATATCCACGATATAAAATGTACTGTTCTCACTTAAGGCCTTCTGCAAGGCACCTCTAAAAAGCATTATGCGGGTCACTCTGTAATTGGACACAAGCCGGTTGAAGGCCCAGAACAAGAGAGGGACAATAAATAAATAGACCGTAAATCTACCTATGTACTTTAAAATTAAAGCTATGTACTAAAAAAATACACGTAATTTTGGATACGGAAGGGAGGTTAGTCTCACCATGTTTAACCAGGGGGATTTAAAAAGTGCCTAAAAAACATCACGTGATTAATGGACCACCCGCAATACACATTAATTGCTTTAATGAATTTATTGCTTCTAGTAACTGAATTTGACTCTCAGTCACAGAGTCAAAGTGCGCAGAAATCAAAAATGAAAAATGTCCCAATGAAAACCACCCTCTGCCTGATGCAGAGAACATGCACTCAAACAACAGGAAAGACATGAGTAAAATGGATTATCAGGGTTTACTACCTAAAACAATACTTACTCTGTACCCAATTAGTTTTCCACCGATTTTCGGTCGAATCTCTTCAATAGGATTCCAGCTAACGTTTAGTGCAGTAGAATTATAGGACAGGGCGGATACCAATTGCGGCGCCACATGTGGCATTTCCTCCGCCGAATATATAACAACCTCTTCACTTTGAGGGCCCGCGCCGACATCATTAAATGCCTGTACCTTAACAATGTACTCAGTATAAAAATAATCTTTTGAAATATAAACGACGGCCTTTCCAGTGTTACCAAATTCCTTCAGTAGCAAAGTCTGAAATTCGGTTTCGAAATCCTTCCTTTTCCAAAATACTTTGTAGTGTATTCCAGGCCCATTTTGCTCTTGAGGCAAAAGGGGCGTCCACGTTATCGTGAGATCACCAGATTTGCCTCCTCCACCGCTAATGTCATCGGGAGCAACGAAAGGTCGATCTGAAGGAGTGGAGTGGCGCGGGCTCGGAGCGGACGCTACACCCATGCCAAGTTCGTTCCAAGCATTCACACGAAACTCATAGATAGACCAGGGCGTCAAAATATTTTCTATCACAGCTTCCTTCCTACCACTATTACGATCGATTTCGGTTGCGCGTACTCCATGTGTAATATTAACCCAAGTGTTATTCCAATTTGTTCGTCCGCTAATCGTGTAAGCGAAAATTGGACGCCCATGAGCATCACCATCGGTCCATTGTAATCTGAAGGATGTGCGTTCAATACTCACAACTTGTAAACCACCTGCAAGAACATTTAGAGATAATTTCCAGTATCTTAAGACTCCTTTGTAGTCAGTTCGTCTTATGTCAAAAAACAACCAAGTGAAAGGCTGCTCTTATTGTCTAACAAATTGTTGATACTGCTTCTTTGCAATGATGAGATACCGGTTATTAATTTCTAAATTGATCACAATAGGCGCTTTCCATTCAAAGTTGATTTACTCCCCAAGTGCTCTGCACCTGCTCTACTCTGTGACTACACCGTTTTTAGCAAATGGAATAATGTCAGTTGACGGGTGAATTAAACAAAAAAGTCCTAACCCCCATAAGTGTATTAAGCTCTACAACTGTGTGTGTCAGGGGTAGGGCTGGGCGATTACGGGTTTGAATAATCGATAATCGATTATGAAAAATAATCGATTACACTGATTAAATCGATTAATCAAATAATCGATTAATCACCTAATCGTTTAATCAAAAGTCGATTGTCACATACAAGGAGTGATAAATATCTGTTTGTATGCATCAATACGTTAATTATTTAATAATAAAAATAAAAAATAATTCCATTACTCTTTTCATCAAATCGTTCATTACTAGGCAGATCGATTAATCAATAATCAACAAAGTGTGCCTGGTTCGAATCCGGGTTCGGGCATGGATATTTGCAAATGCATAGTGGGTTGGTTGGTAGAACAGCCTTGGCTGAAACCCTGCCCATTTGAAAATGAAGGTCAAAAATAAAAATAAATAAATAAAAATAAATGATTAGGCAGCTTACTCTCCGATGAGGTGTGCTTTAGTTTTGATGATACAATCTTAATTCATTTTAGCTGCTTAAAGTGACGTTTTAACATCCGCTATAAAATAAAATAATACTTGTGAGCTGTGAGTGCTCCTTTTTGCGTAAACTGATGATCCAGCTAATAATAATCAATTAAAATTTACTTAATAATTGATTAATCAAACAATCGATTAATTAAATAACCGATTAATCAAATAATCGATTAATTTAATAGAATAATCAAACCCGATTATCGTTTGATTATAATCGATTAATCGATTTTTTGCCCAACGCTAGTCAGGGGAATGCAAAACGAGGTGTTGCAATTTGGTACAGCAGTTGGGTTGTGCTTCGGTAGTACTCTAATTGACCAATGGAAAGCGCCTAAGAATAGAAAAAACGTTTTTTTACAAATAATAGACAGACAGTATCTCTTTCATCTATTATGATTATTAAAAGAAGATTCAGAATTCAAGGTTAGACAGGTCAAATAACATTTTGACAAATGCAATGCTACTATGTATAATATTTCATAAAATACTGTACATATATTGTATTGAATTGGAAATTTACTACACAGGAAGCTTAGCCTTGCATACAAACCTGGCGGCCCAGGAGGTCCTTCGATGACAATTGTCGATTTTGAAGTAATTTCACCCACTGCCGACTTTACAACGCACTCATAGTCTCCCGCATCCGAAAATGTCGAATTTGTAATGTAAAGAGAGCCACCACTCAAATGCTGAAAAAGTTCATTGTGAATGGTACCTGATTAGCAAAATATTTACCACGCGACTCTCGATATTCTTAATGTCAGTGTCTCTTATACGCATTCCATTGTGATTCCAAGTGTAAGCGACATCTAACATTTCTTCGGTCTCTACCTGGCACTGGAGGTAGATGTCTTTATACACCGACGTTAAAATCCTAGGCCGGAGAGGCTCGACCAATCTTGGTGTGCCTACAAACATAATCAAGTTGGAATTCGCCAAAGTGCTCAGGTGGGTTAGCTAGATAATTTAGAAATATCCACTTTTAAATTTTAGTCAGTTCGTGCCTATATTAATTATTAAAATTAATTATCTCCTATCATATCTTTAATTTGCCTTGTTTTTGTGTTAATAAAGAAATGACAATCACTAAAATTTTAACTGAAGATCCTACAAGACAGAAGAACTAGAGTCCTAACAGAAGTTAGGGGGAGGTGAGTATGCCCCAAAGCGCATCACAATACTTACGTAATACTATCAGACGTCCATGTGACTCATCCATACCAAGCTCGTTGGTCGCGGTACAAGTGTATATCCCTTCGTCATCGCGTGACACAGGATTAATAACTAAATTTCCATTTTCCAAAATCCTTCTATGGCCACCAGATCCTAGAATAAACAAAATTATAATTAAAAAAACTATGGCAGAGCGATGCGCAAAGAACCAATTGCTAACTAGATGCCAATATAGTAAATGCGAATAAGTGCCAGCTCAAATTAGTCCAGTAAAATTAGACCTGAAAGGGGAGGGGACATTTAAGTCCTGCTTTTTAGCAGTCCTGGGGAGAAGAAAGCGCTGGATGAGGGACCCTTCGCTGGTTTGCCAGTGCAAAAAGAATGATGAGCAGGTCTGTATCTTCTTCCACAATTGCCACAGTAGGGTAGTCAGATATTGCCTGCCGATGAGTGTCCACGTTTTCAATGCTTGACGAACTGCTTGCCCTTTAACATGGATATTAGCCTTCTCGTTAGATAAAAACCTTTCTTTCGGCATTGTGGAAATCATGGTTTCCGTAAATAGACTTGGGACTTTTGGCTTCAGCTCCTTTAGAGTACCCATAAAAAATGACTGATGTTCTTTGAGGGTTGTAATGACCGTTCATGTATTTATTAAGGATGCTTGAGAACTTTCCCTTTGACTGACATGGTACCTTGTGTAATAGGAAGGCGGCGTCAATCACAAGGCACCCTGGTATTTTCATAGTCAATAATCTCGAATGAGCAACAGCGAAAATGTTGTCAATGTGTAAAATAATTTGTTGCAATTGAAATCAATGGAGCGAAGGAGTGCGAGAGAGAAAACATTACTTTCAAATTTTTTTATAAATAAAAAATAAAAAAAAATAAATAAATTGAGAAATGCAGGTATTATGCTCAATAGATTTGGAAATCCCTAGTAAATTTTATATTAATTTTCAATAAGATTATCTAGTTGTAATGTTTGTTTTAAATCTGGATTTACATGACTTTGCGTCCAGGAGACACTGAAAGTCGTCCGGCAAAGGCAAACTGCATCTTTCCTAAATTGCAAACTTTTTTATCTATAAAAGTACTGAAATTTGATACATAGGCACTTGGCCAGTTTCAAAATTTGGTTTTGCGCATGCGCAGTGCCAACTTTTTTATTTATGGAACCATTTAAATGAAATTTGATACATAGACGCTTGGAACAAAGGAAAATCTAAAGTTAGTTTCAAAATTAGTTCCAACTTTCTCATTTAGAAAAGCATTGAATTGAAATTCTTATAAACTGAAATTGAAGTAGCACGTCAAAAATGGATTGCACATGTGCAACGCTAACTTTCATATTTATGGCCAGATTTTTACGATTTTAACAGAAGTTGCATCTTACAAATGGGAAATAAATGCAAGTGCTTTTTGTAAATCGTTTAGGATTATTTTTTTTGCTCAACTCTTAAAGAGGTGGTTTTCGCTACATCTTTCTAGAATGTTGCGAAATACTTACCAATTATATTTAAATTTTTCTTCCACACAAAACGTGGTTTAGGCGCAGCTTCTGGGTTACACTTAATAGTAACGTTGCCATGCTCGGCGGCATAAACTTCAGACTCTAACGGTCTTTTCTTAAAGGAAGGTTTAAAAGCTAAAATCATCATCAGAATCATGGTATACTTGTACTCAGTCGTTTTACCTAACACTCTTAGCTGCGCGGATGAGTATTTACTTCTCAGAGTATTGGAAGCTCTACACTGATACATTCCCGGATCACGTTCGTCATCGACATGAGTGACCGTTAGCACATTATCCTGAATGCGAATTCTACCCCGATCCTCCGGATCCAGATATCCCATGACTGAAAATTGGCCATTAAAAGAGATGACTAATATAAAATCGTGAGTACCTAATTGTCGACCATTTCTCCACCAAGTGTAGTTAACGTCTGGAATACCAAACGCCTCACAAGTCCACACTAATTGCCCTCGACTGTCGATGTGCTTATCAGTTAGTGGGATTGTAAAATTAGGTTCAGCTGTAACCGGAATTTAATATAAAATAAATAAAAGATAACTGGCATGACTGGCCGTTATAAAAAACTGAAACACCAAAAAAGTGAACAACTACTGAAAGTTTACAGGTTTAATTGGACTAATAGCTCTCCTTCCATCATTAGGAAGCGTTTGTTTTAGGGGTTTTCTAAACTTTCATAATTCACCCTTACTATTTACTTGCTTAATTTCCATGTTGATTTCCAAAGGATTGAATTGATGTGAAAGTGACAAAGTGGTTAATCTCTGGACCACTTTCACACCAAAATTACCGAAAAATACGCTAAACAAATTATAGATATTCTAATCAAGTTTATTTTGGAACGGAAGAAATTCGCTTTAAAGAGCTCACATACAATGTAGTGTTGCCGCACATACAGTTGAATATAGCCGCAGAGTAAAAGGTAAATAGTTTTATTGTACTTTCTTAGCGTTTTGTTAATAGGGACGACTTACACAACTAGCTTACCTTGAATATTTAAAATGACACTATTTTCTATGGCAGATCGGTCATTGTACACTCTACAAACATATTCACCCTGATCCTCCACTTTTACTTGGGGTAGAATTAAAACGCGATTAAAGGCAGAGAGGCGTGCACTACGTGGAAGACTACCGCCCTTTCTAGTCCAATTGTAGGAAGGTATGGGACTAAAAAACGTTATTTTCAATGTGACTACATTCGACGCACCCCAAACTTACTATCCAAATGCCATGCATTCGAGCCTGACATCCTTACCCGCCGTCGGAGCATCCGGAAATGCTTTCGGAAAATTATTTGGAAATTTTAACTGTTGATAATTCGCTGAAAATAATTTCAATTATATCACTAAAATTGATAGGGAGTACTCACAGTGAGGATTTACTCGTAATGGGAAAAACGGGCCATTTCTACCGGTATCGGAAACTTCCGATTGTACACTACAACTGTAATTCCCTCTGTCTATGGTTTCCAAAGCGGAAAAGTACAACGTACCGTCGTACGATACGAATACTCGTTTATCTTCTTCGACGAAATTGGGGAAATAATCGCGAGACCAATAATATTTAACACCCGGAAAATATGTGGGCGGATCACAGTAAATGGCTTTACCCCAATTTTGATCGCCGGATTCTGGCGATCGTTTGAGAACGAATTCCATGATAAATCCGAAGTTTAGTTCTGCACTTTCCGAAATAATTGTACCATACTTATTGGAAGCTTTACAGTGGTACGTTGCCCGGTCTTCTTTCTACAAGAATTAAAATCATAAACGGTTCACATGCGAATTATAAACGGCGTGAAACTATCATCCAAAGTGCAACTCCGCTTCCTTTTTTATGCAGTGTTGCCGCTTATAGTAATCTCTCTTAGTAGATTTACCTGATAGTGTCAAGTGACAAATTTTAAAATGAAAGGTAAAGTATTACTGCTTTCCATTTGAGTGAAAGAGGAGCTCTAAGCTGTACCGTGCACGATGCCCTGTGTTCCTTTTAAGAAAGCTTCGAGCTCTGACGCGCCCGAAATTGGATTTCCCTTGTCCCCTCATGCACCACCTATTTGCTTGGGGCTTGAAACACGTTTGTGGTTATTTACGTACTGTGAATGTCAATTCAAATGTGTTAAAAATGAACAACTTGCAAAATGAGCTGCTCCGAACGAACTGCACCAAAGCTTCACGCACTCAAATGGAAAGCAGTCTATGTCCCTATGAATCAGACAATAAGAAATAACTAGGAAGAAAGGTAAAATTAAGCCCTTACATATTTTTTGAATTAATTACATTACACTGTCAGATAGATGTACTGAAAGGAATCAAATTAATAATTATAAGCGTAACTGGGCTAGGCGTCAACACAAACCTTTTTTTTAAATTTTATCCCTCTCTTGTTTTGGGCCCTCAACAGGCATGCACCCAATTACAGAGTGACCCGCATAATGCTATTTAGAGGTGCCTCTGCAGAAGGTCTTAAGTTGGTCTATACTACTCCGGTATTTACCTTACGAATTAGGAGAACTGCAGGAAAACCTAATTCGGAGTAGCCGGTAGAATACTCGGAACTGGTCTAAGGTAATTTCCATCTCCGCCACAGATGAAAAATTCATCTCAACCCAGGTTCGAACACCCGACCTCCGGATTTATAACCCAATGCTCTACCACTGAGCCATAAATCCGACTTTTTTTTTGACACATTTCTGACATTTACATTAGACCACCAAAATAGAGAAAGATAAAAAATGTAAATATAGCTGCTTCCCAATTGTACCAAGAACGCAAAGTAATTTGTTACTAAATTTACCTGCTCCGGATTATTTATCAGCAACGTCCCTCCACTAATTGTGTATCGAGCATCTTTCAATGGATCAATTTCTCGAGCTACAAGTCTGTCATTTTCGTAATCTTCCCTGAACCATTGATATATCGGAGTGGGATAACCACCAGCGAAACAACTAAAAAAATTTTTATAACTTCCGACATAGGTTATCGAAAAACAACCTTAAGGTGGCGTCATTATAAATTTGCCTTTTCGATAAGTCGAACGTGACGTCAGACGGCTGCCTTATGAAAAAAGGTCCTCGCGGTATTTGTTCTGGATTATCAATGTCTATACCATATTTATACGTTCGATCGTCCCCAATGAGACCTTGTATAAGTTGAACATTAGCCTCGCAGATGTATAGTAGCGATTCGTCGCCTTTAACAGGCTGGAAACCCCATCTCATTGAATATTTCGAATACGAATAGACTAAGAAATCTTTTCCATACGGCTCGTTGTCGGGAAAGAATGCGTTCTCCATATGCAAAAATGGGTTCCCGTCGAGGTTTTGCCAGTTATTAGGGCCCAACTGATGTACACCCACGTACCATTTTCTGTATTGCGGATCTTGCCACGTAAGTTGATAAATAAGAAAGCCGTGTTCGTCATGGGTGTCAATGGATACTAAGTCGGATCCTCCGACATCAGGTACAAAGGACTAAACAACAAGTTAAAATTTGTTCCAATCATTTCTTATACTACAGATGTACATACTACAGATAGCTCATGGCCAGAAAATTTAAATTTCTAACAAAAGATGGTGAGGGGCGAATGCATATTATCATTTATCTGTATCATACATCCAATATTCGTAGGACACAACATATTATGCAGAAGTTTCGGTATTAAAGGGTGTCTGTTTCAAATTCTGTTTAGGACGCCACCTAGAACATAGTCTCTGGAAACTATGGTCACAGATGTAAATAATGCTACAGATGCATCATGGGATAGGCGATTGAATAGGAAATTGAGGTTGTTACAGACAAACAAATTCAAAATATAATTTGGTTTTGTTATTTCTATGTCCTCCAAGATACAAAATTTCATTGAAAATGGGATTTTTTTGCACTTTCCTCTGAGTCGAAAAGAGTACACCCAAAATCCTCTGTAAAGCCAGTTATATTTTTCTGTGCTATGTTTTCAAGAAACGACAAACATTTCAGGAGGCGTAACTCCCAAATTTATGTGAAAACAATGTTTGTTTTAGCCCTCTATCACTCATTTTTTTATATATTTACCTGTTACAGCATATAGAAAAACATTTGAAATCAATAGAAGAAGAAAAAACACAGTACTCATTATCATTCCTTATATACAGTATAGTTAGCACCGACCAGCAATAAATATAAAATACTATTTAGGGATGTTTGGACACCAATTACTTATATCAAATATTTATTACATTGGTGTCAAAACCTCCACTTAAAAAAAACTGCGTTATTTAAGGGTTGATGGGTATAGATTTAATATCAATGACAATATTTGATATAATTAGCGTCTAAACACCCCTAAATAGGAGTTGTACATTTGTATGCATATTTTGGCATATTTATAGCTGTATCATTATTGCTAGCTTCACAAGAAGCACCCAAAATCTACTATTTATCTTGCGAACTTCGCACGAGTGTGATTTCTCCACTCCTCTGCAATAAAACTAAAAAACTCTACAGTAAAATTAATGCTTTTTTATTGTCGCAAAAATAATCAAAGAACCATATTGCATTATTTCATTGTAAATAATTAAAATGACTTGATATCCATTTATCTAAAGTATATGCTTTATTATTGTATACCTACTGGTTCCTAATAAAGTTTCTGTAAGTAGATATAGCATAAGCTTAAAACAATAAATCTGTTCTTGTATTTAACTGACCAGCCGCATAACAATTTATGACCCGGAACAAGTTATCTATAGTATGTTTACATCGATGTTTATACTGACCTGACATATTTTTCTAGCTTCGTTATATGGACGTAAAGGCGATTTAATGAATCTATAGCAAGACTGTTGGAATTGCACCCAATGCTCCGGGCACTTCAGTAAATCAAAGAATATGTCGTTGGCGTTGGCGTTATAGTCATACAGCTGCCCATTTAAGTATACAGGTAATAATAAAAAGATAATTGTCCACATTTTGAGTATTATTGTCCCAGCATTTTGAGTAACCTACAAAAGAAAAATTAGGAAAGTATGAAACTCCAAAGGAAAAGGAGGGAGTGGCAACAAACAATTTCAAACAAATTACCAAAGATAAATCTCCGATAATGAGGGATCCTCACTTAGTTCGAATGTTGATTTTCAGCGTGACTTTGGCTAAACAATATTTACAATTTCTGATAAGAATTTGATACGGATCTTTGACTTCGACCCGACCAACTGACTCATAGTTTGAATCACAGAATAAATTAAAAATATCCGTTAAGCTAGGTACGGATCAAACGCCATAGAACATCGTAACAAAATTGTACAGAGTGACACATTTGCAGAAACGTCCAGATAATTTTTAATTAAAATCTAACAGACAAATTTTAATACCTTGTTTTATTTCGTCTGAAAACTATCTCAAACAACGATTTTTTTACATTGTTTTTTGAGAATCTCAAAATTTGTTACCACCCCGTAGAACCGTTGCTCTGGATACCGGTATTCCGGATTTGACAGTTGACAGCAAACTAGGTGGGTAGACAACCGGTTTAAACGTGGCGTTATTTTCAATGTAGATCAGAAAAATAAATAATAATAAATATACAACGCAATGGGTAGGTACGTCAACTAAGGAATGAACCTGTCTAATAAACGTTCTAGCTGTATCCAGCGGCATCTCTTTACTACTTGCAAGTATAAGTGCCCTATTCCTGTTTTCGGGGGTTCAGATGTATTTACCCTGGTTCGTTGGGACCCATTTACGTACCATATTCGGAGGATACTTAGGATCGTTATTGTTTATATTTATATTAACTGCTGTTGGAAATCTCGAATCGTTTTTGTTTGGCAAATCCTTTCAAATGAAAGTGTTTCCGGAAGGTAATTGTAAGTGTAAAACTGCAGTATGTACTACATGTCTTATATTTTAGTTACGTTTTGTCTGCTAGTAGCAGTGTTTGCTTCCGCTCTGGTGCATAGGGTGTGTGCTACAACGTGGTAAGTTTGTAATGGGTACTTTCGTGTAAGATATCTACACACTTTTTTTCAGTTTTCTGTTTTCAATCATTCAATTGTATTACATAAATAAATATTCTCAAAAGGTGCATGCAGTACCGGTTCCCGTGCAAAATGTTCCTGCGGGGCGAAAGAAGAAGTAGATTATACCACGCAATGCTTTATTGTAGAAATTTTAATACTTTTTTGCTAAATAAAGTTTGTACTATTGTTTTTTTTAAATGTTATTTTTAAGTGGGCATTGTATAGCTAAGTGACAATGAAGTCCCATTGCTGTTTATCTGTGACTCAATTCTGTTTGCAAGTTGCATATGTTCTAAGATGTAAAAGAAGGTATCAGAATTCAGAGTAGCGAGTACAAAACACCAATTTTCTAGGAATTTTACAGACAAGCCTTTGCTGTATTTTATGGTAACTTGTCCACTAGTACCAACTACCTGGTAGCATTTTTCTCACTCCTGCTTCGGCTTAGGGTGTAGTCTTTCAAAAAAATTCATTCTTCATTGACCTGAGCCAAATTGAGTATGGAGTTTAAAGCAAAAAGCCTTATTTTTTAGTAGTTTTGCCAGTCAGTGACGTATTTACGGGGGGGATGAAGGGGATATCCTCCCCCCCCCCAGAAGAATTGAGTTATCATGATAGCTATTAGGTATTTTAGGTAATACTCCGCTATCCGCTCCGCCCACTTTAAAATAAAGGCAATAATATATAGGTATATATAGAGAGCAATTTTGGTTTTGGTTAAAGTCTAAAGTCACTAAAATCTAAATATTCTGTAGTATTCACTATTCAGTGAGTGATCAGTGTTGGCAGTCAACGATTTGGCTATTCGGCATCGATCGGCAATTCGCTACATTGATGCCCAAAATAACAAATAGGTATCAGGTACTTAGTACTGCTACTGAGATGAGGTACCTGCGTCCTGTCTTTCAGGAAATGACGAAAATAAGAATTTTAAATTTTAAAAACAGGAATTTTTTTGGCCATAACTTTTGATTGAGACGTCTAATCGAAAAAGTACGAATCGTTTTGGATTCTACGCACCCAAATTAATAAGAAAAAGTTTTTTCCCGAGAAATTTTGGTGCAGTCGATTTTTGATAAAAAAGGAAGGTAAAACACTGCCTTTTTTTGAGCCCCGAAAAAAAAATTGTCTCAGATCGACCGGAAAAAAACATTTACTTATAGAATGTGGCCTGTAGAATCCATAATTCCAAACAGTTCCAAGATCGGACTACTAGTTCAAAAGTTACAGCCCTTTGAATTTTTTGTCGAAATTGGTTTTTTGCCCATAAATATACCTATTATTCAAAGTTTTCGTTGACTAATTAAAGCAAAAGCAATAAAGGGGCCTGTCAGCAGTAAGAAATAAAATACCGTTCTAATCTAATCTTTTTGAATAAATAGATAAATGACTACCAGCATCAGCAACCCAATTTCTATTTCTTACTCCCCCTTCTAGTACGCACTGGGTGACTGTATGTGCCACGAACTTGTTTAATCCCCCCCCAGAATACATTTCTACGCCACTGTTGCCAGTGTACCAAAACATAATCAAAGTATCGTCATTTTTCTCACTTCAGCTATGCTATAATCTTAACGTATGGTCACTCAGGTTTGCTGAAAATATGTGGGAATTGAATGAAATATTGAAGCATGGAAGAAAAAGGATTGCAGATTTGAAGAACGGAACAGGCTGTGGGGTTGGGGAGCGGCAATGGACCGAGAGTTGTGGAGGAGGGATGTGACCCAAGAAAATTCAATCATGTTCGTGTCCTTGCATATTCAGTTTTTGGCTAAAGAAAATTATCATAAAAAATGCATTGTGAACAGGATTATGTTTCACGAGAGAAAAAACATTGCAGGTTTTAGCATTTATTGTAAATCAACTTAAAATGCCAAATTACAATGTAATGAAACAACAATTTCAATTTTGAGCCATCTTACTTTAAGAACATATTTTAAACACATATTTTAAAAAGAAATATCACTGAATAGAGTACAGTGGCCGAAATAGTAATCAAGGTACACACTATTGGTTCATAGGCGACTAGTATTTCTTTTGAATACAAACATAAAAAAACGAAAAGCAAAAAACAAATGTCCATTCTGGCCCAATATAAATGAAAACATAATACATGAGGAACTAAACCTTCTGATAAGGCGGCAGTCATATCTCAACATAAAGATATTTTACATACACCAAGAGAATATTGTACGTACTTCAATATAATGTAAACGAAAGTCTCTTGGACTAAAAAAATATGATCAATGCCCAAATGCGTCAGTATTGTACAACTTGAACTAAACAACCAATTTATGAAAACGTAAAAAAATACAATGAAATCCAGGCTTGCGTCATACTACAAAATATTAGCTTAGAACTAAAACTAGATAAGAATTAAGACAGGAACGCGTTATTGGACGCACAGGAATGGATATTGGAGTGTAGAAGGATTGAAGACTTCTGCACGCTAAGGAAAACTCATTCATACTATATAATGTTCATTTAGGTTTAAATGTATAAATAATATTCAACAAGAGAAATGATTAAGGAAATATACCAAACTGAGAACGTGGTTACATTCAAATATTTTAAAATCCCATTTTAAAACATTTAAAAGGAAACAACTTCCACGATTGTTTAAATCTACTATCCTTGAGAGAAAAAAAACAATAACAATGAAATATTTCTTAATAAGTCTTACAATATAAAAGTATCACAATTGATTTGAAAATAGCAATCACTCAATATTATCACATTATCTTAATATAAATTCAACATGCAACTACACATACACGCAGACATACACGTTTGGGATCAGTCAAATAACTAGGACTGGAAGGGACTGGGACTAGGAGCCAGAAGTCCTCTTAAGGAGCAGAGGTAAAAAGAGATCAAACACAATTTGTCAGTGTTTGTTCATTCCAAAAAGATATCGTCAATCTGAAAGTTTTAACTATACTTAATTCTGACAAGATCTCCTAATACTAAACGTGGGTAATACTTCGACTTCATTCTTTCAGATCAACAACCGATTTACTTTTTTCTCTATGCATGCATATCTTTTTGGATAATTTTTGCATAATGCTTATTCAAAACAATTTAAAACTTTCTAAATATTAAAAAAAAATGAAATTTAGAAAGTAAAAAGTATGTACATGAAGCTAAATAAACTGAACGTATAAGATTTACTACATGGCTTTCAGTTTGCACCTACCCTGAAACTTGCACACAAAAGTATTATTAATATTTTCACTAACAGAACAGCTACAGAAGATTGATTATATGATACTCAAAGCCATATAGTTTCTCGTTAGCTTCACGCTTTCAGCGTCATCTTTCTTAGAGGTACATCTCGCAGAGGCATTAAACAAAGAAATAGCACCAGCAGTATTAAAAACAATATTAAGTACAAATTTGAAAAGATTGCAGGTGATCTACCCGTACCGTTTACATTCAGATTATAGTAAAAGCCCTCACATGCATCGCCTCTGCAAGAGTACAATCAAGAAAAAAAAGAAATATTTAAAAAAAGGCCCCTTAAAAATATCAATATAAAAAAATTAGGTACCTATATGTGCATCATCTCTACATATACAAAACAGTATGGAACAAATCTTATTGTAAAATAAACTTGGTATTTTTACCCACCCTCCTAGATGTGTACTGGCAAGAATGACCAGTCACTCCCACCCTTAACATGGCGCAATCAGTTATATCTAAACTAGAACAAATTATTAAATTCTCCAACTAGATTAAAACAAGCACATACATTTTGTATGTTATAAGTTTAAACTCCGTACAGCGCCGATAACCTCTCGCTGAGCGGCGGCGGAAATTGGTCACTGAAACGTTTCCAGTTTTCTTCACCTACTTGCGTTTTGAAACTATGCAAAATCTGTGAATGAAAAGCAAATACATTACGAATAATTGACACTAGGGGGAATGATTGAAATATAAATCTATTTTGTAACGAGTTTCTGGTAGAGATTCCAACACTAAGAATTTCTTTTTAGCAATGAGTGTTATAAGGAACGCAATGCAACATACAGGGTGTGCCAAAATGTACAAACATACCTTCATGAAGATTTCTCTAAGATCTGCCTTGGGAGTAATCCACGAAGCTACGGCATCACAAAAGAATATGAAATCCGGAACAACACCCCCTGGATTAACGGTTATCATGTGACACATTCCCCTAAAAGCGCTGTCCTTCTCCTCGTTATCGCGAATATTCCGTAAGGATGTACACCTGTAACGTCGCTTATAAGCATTTTTACATTGAGAAATTTGAGAAAGCTTGTTTACACTTCTTTACAACATTATTTAAAATTTTTCCTAGAATCCTACTGAGTGGTATCGAGCATTTTCACAGAAAATCTCGTAGCTTTTAACAGATTTAGTGTAGTTATAGCTCAAATGGGAATATCTAGGGGAGGTTCGCTTATTTTAATTAGCTAAAAAGCAAAAGAAAATTTTGAAAAACAGTGTGGGTGTCTTACCTGCTTGTAGTTTTCTCTCTGACGGGGTCAATTATTGTTATGTAAATGGCTTAACAATGAATAAGTTAAAAGCTAAGAGAATGTTTTGTGAATGGCAAAAGTTCATTTAAATAATGTTGATATCTTCTTTTCTCCTACAGTATTTCTTTACACCGAATCATTTTAATTTGCCTACCTTTAACATGGTACTATGATTAAAAACATCAATTTCCGTACTCTACTTTTATACAAGTAGCCAACTTATCAATTGACCAATAATGAATAGTTCCCTAACTAGCTACTTATAGTATTTCGTATACAAGATTGGTGAATAAAAGCAATGCTTCGGGAAATGCTAATAAAAATTAAATGAAACTAGCTGGTAACTAAATTAAAACTTAATTCGTAATAAAAAAGTGTAAGATTAAAGAATAAAGAGGGGTACACACCACTGGCGAACAAACTGTTGTAACATGGGCGCGACATCGTGAGGGCAGACATAACCTAGGCGACCAATTGTTATGGCTACAGTGAACCACCGAGAACATAAAAAGAACAAAAAATCCAACTCAATTACAAAGAAATTATGGCAACATTATAAATAATTACAATCATAGAAAATATTAAAACTCTAAATGTAGTTAATAATTAATTAAATAAATGTCTATCAAAACATTTGTTGACAAAAAAGGAACCCAATATATCACCATGCGTCACTATAACATTAAGTAAAAATTAAACAAACCGACAGTAAATAAACGAAAAGTGTTTTTGAAAAAATAAAGCCTCCTAATGAATGGGAAAAAATGTTCCAATTTTATCAACATAAACCAGATGCGTATTACACAAAAAACCATACTTTAAAATGAGTGGATCGAAAAACCAATATATTAAACGTTTAAAACAAAATTATTATAATACGCAGCTGGACAAATAGTGTGTTACTTAGCCTTTAAATTCAGTAACTTTGAAAGAGGAAAATTAATTTCGTAATTAAAAAATAGACAGACGTGATCGTTTACTACAGAAACGGCTAAATAAATAATATGTCAAATTAAATTGAATCGAAATAAACATTTAAAAAAAGTCACAAAGGATTGCAGGTGTTACAAACACATTCTCTAGTAATCCTCAAACAAAGTTATTGACATGAAAAGTTAAAATTTTTTGTTTTTGTTGGCATTGTAAGCTAATTGATATTAGTTGCAAGATGTGTTACATTACCCATTTATCACCAGAAGGTATATTGATACATTGAGCCCTTCTATTCAATTTCTCTTTCTTCACGCATGAACAATTTGAAACAATTATTCTCTTTGTGAAGAGCCCCAAGTATACAGTGGACTAGAAATTGGTTATAGTGAAATATACAAAAAAATTTATCATGCGCAGAAGATTCGTCTAACTTAAATGTGAACAAATCCAAATTCTCCCTTACTTATTTGTGCGTGCTTGATTGCGCCCTGACCTACCTCACCTCGAATCGCATCAGATGTCAAGTTAGAGTCTACTTCAACTTAACTTGCTTCTAACTCCGGAACAAATTGTGGTGTGATCAACACTATACTCTTAAGAGCTGTGCAAAGGAATGGATCTAGGGTTGCCATCTCAAAACTCTGCCAACTAGGACAGGAAGCGTGAAAACCCCGGATTTAGGGATTATAAACCCGGACATATCAACTGAATTTGATAAAAAAAATATTGTCTAAAGAAATAGTCTTTGAAATTGTACTTTATTTTTATCACTGACTAGCTAGATCAGTGTTTCTCAACCTTTTTTTACTGGTGGTCTACTTGTGAATGTTATTTATCTCTGTGGCTCCCCCCTAGGGAGGGGGGGCATACCTCAGGAAATTTTTGAAATTTTAGTAGCTTTCTACGTGTTTTTAGACTCATTTACGTTTTTCTCAGACTGCACAAAAATGTATAGAATATAGGCCATTAAATGTGACATTTCAATATTTTAAACACTTTAGAATTAGATCAAAATTAATTTGAGTTATTTTTTAGTTATCAAGAAACCATTTTCAAGCTCATTTTGTTGTGACGCTGAAATTTTCTTTAAAAAGCTACAGAGAAATATTCCTGGTAGGCGGTAGAGGGGTGTTAGTCGTGTTAGAAAAAAATAATAAACATTTTCCGGTATCGCGTCTAGATCAATGGGATTGTGAGTTTGCCATTTATAAACATTTAAATTTAAAGTGATTCGCAGTTATTATTTTCTAAGAAAGGTACACTGAGATAGGGATGGGCGATAACTGTTTTCACCTATCGATAAGTATCAGGTACTTAGCTATCGATATATTTTACTTATATATATCGATACACCGATAAGTATCGAAAGATCGATAACTGTCGCTATATCGATAAGTATCGGTATATCGATAGTTCTCGTTATGGCGATAGTTTTTAATATATAGGTATCGATATAATATTACCGATAATTTTTTTGAAAGCGTGTCTAAAAACTGCATGAGTTTACTTTTATATTTTGGCGAAAGAGCCCGACAAGACAAGAGGGCTCTTTTAACAAAATATGAAAATAACCGAATGCAGTTCTTGCAACTTTAATGGAGTTACCATATTAACTGTGCAATTATCGCAGGGCTCTTTAGCTTTCTACAGTGCAATTACCGCTGTAATTAAGCGGTCATTGCACGCCTCATTTGAGAGAAATATTCGACATATCGATAGTTATCGACAGGGATAGTTATCTTATCGAGTTTTATTAATAAAATCCATTTTCCGGTTTATTCTCGTGTAAAGTGACTATTAATAGTTACTCGACGTTTCTTTGCTACCTTTATCAAGAGTTTTTTGTTAGATTTCGTAAATGTCAATCAATTGAAACTGTATATCTAAATTTGAAGTGTTCTTAGCTTTTTCTGTTTTTTTGTGACTGGTCCTCTGTAACCATCAATCAGATACCGATACATAGGCCATGATTACACCCTTTGATTGTCTTCTTTATTTTATCTAAAGAGTAGCCATTTTGAAGTGTTTCTTTTTTTGAGCAATCGTCAGTAAGACGAAAAGATCTATTTTCTAAAGATTTTATTACTGCGTTTATTTGGCATGGATGATGATGTGACGTAGCGCTTCTCTTGAGAAAGGGAGCAAAGTTAAGTTTCCGAAACGTCGAGCAACTAAAAATAGTAAATTTACTTACACGAGAGTAAACCCGAAACCCGATTTTATTAATAAAAATAGTAGGGCTCGTTGAAATCTCAACAATAACATAATTTTATCGTACCAATAGTTATCGACATATCGATATATCAATAGTTATCGACATATCGATATACCAATAGTTATCGACATATCGATATATCAATAGTTATCGACATATCGATAGGTATCGATATATCGAAAAAAATTCCCATGCCTACACTGAGATAACAAACAAGGATACAGGGTTATTGCGGTTTAATACTGACCATTTTTGGTAAATTTATTTAATTTTAATATTTCAGTACAATATTGCAGGAGTGAATTTTCGTGGCCCACTGAAAAGTTTCTGTGGCCTACCAATATTCTGTCTTTCGTTCGTGGCCCCCAAGAAATACGTCATGGAGGGGGCCATATGGCCTCCGTTGAGAAACACTGAGCTAGACTGTTTCAATATTCAATAAATTCCTTTCTTTGGTCCACTGTTATGCCACTAGTGAAAATATTCTTTCAACGTTGGCATTATGAGCAGGAATGCAAAAAAAGCACTAGGCAATTTTGTATAAATGAGGATTCAGTGTTTTAAAAAATTGTAACCAAAGCTGATTGGCGATTAAAAGTTTATCTTGTTAGGTTAAATTTTGACAGAATCTGCCTCAGTAGCCCAAAACCCGGACAACCAATGAAACCCCCCCCGGATGCTTCCCGGACGCCCTCTAAACTAGGACAAATCCGGGGAAACCCGGACGGATGGTAACCCTAAATGGATTGGTAAGGTTTTGAGAGTTTTGGAAAATGTGCTTATTATTTTTATTTATTAAATCAATTCCAAGAACAAGTAAACCAAAACCCCTACTACATGGATTGTTGGAGAGGGACAGACTACTTTTAAAGTCGATACAATACACATGTATAATTCCTTAGGCATTGATCAATTGACTTTCGCCAAGAAAATGGATCAATAAATAAGGATTTAGATCGATTTTGGGCAATAAAGTGATGGGCGCCAAATTGATTTTTGATAGTTAGAGCTTAAAACACATTTATAGTAGTGACCACACCACCCTCACCCTGCAACTTTCACTGTTATAGAATAAAGGAACGCTATAGTGCACACTCATTTTTTAGGGGCATTAGTAGACAAATGCTGTAGCGCAGAAGCAGTGTTGAGCATGCACACTTAAAGAAATGTGCACTACATCAATTCGTTTTCAAAAAATCGCTTTTTTGCTGATCACAAATCCACTACATCTTTCTTTCCAGAGCTCAAAATTTATTTGCCAGTACAGTATGATACCTTCTAGTGATAAGTTGATTAGAATCCTCACAGTCAATATAGATCATGCATGCAACACCACATAAGTCTTACCAGTATTTTCTAGTAAAGTTTTGGGAGTATTTGGTCTATTGATAATGTCAACAAGCTGCGATAATACTAGAGGTATGTAAGGTCGCGTTTCAGTTCCTGTAAATGTGAATATGTAGCGACATGGAATGGAAATTCGTTTAAAACTTACCTAATTTTATACTTATTTCTCCTATAGCCCACGTAGCATTATTGCACACTGAAATGTATTCGGGATTTAAATTCTGGCCCAAAATCGGTAGAAAGTCGGAAATGCATGGTCGTACATGTTGAAAACATGCCTTAGTCAGGTCTCCCAGTAAAGCGAACGATGACTGTCGTACCTCCGGCATTGGGTCTTGCATGCAGTGATGTAACAATTCCATTATATTGCTATTAACAACTAATTTTTCTATGTGACCATTTAATCCTTCTGCTAATCCAGACAGTAAATCTAAAGCAACTATCATGAAGTCCTTGTCCGGCGCCTCAAATTGATCCGGATTTTGAGTATTAGCCTATTTAGAACAAATTAGCACAACACAATGTCACGAGAAGTTCACTTACCATGTGTTGATATAAGGTCTGCTGTATTAGTGAGACACATCTACGGTATACTGGTTCACAATATGGTAGGAATCCAGATTGCAAAGCTGTCGCTACACTTGAAAGGCACTGCAAAAAATAAACATATGATCAATCCATTGTTACTGTTAATAATAACTAGAATGTTGAGGGACCACCGAAATGATTTTGAGCATAACATAATCAATAACAGATTAACATTTCCACAAGGAACAAAATTTTAAAAAGACAAAACTCCGCTTTACTGGGCGTTCAACATAGCTCATTATAGTAAACTTTTATTGGGTTCCCACCCTTATTTAGTTGCCAGTATCATAATGTACACCCTTTTTATGATACATACATACAGACGGAAAAATGTTACTTCTTTAAAAGTGGCTTAAGGCTGATCTCACAGTCGGACGAAGTTTCTCAGGGGAACGAGGAGTGCATAATATGGTTTATATGCGGGCTGTTCTTATGCACTCGTAAGCAACACGACACGCCGCGGTTCTGTTCCATCATGCATCTTGAGTTTAAATTTTCATGAGCAGAGACGGCTTCAGGACACGTATAAAGCGCACAATCCAATTCAACAAAATCCAGTATGTTTAACCGTTGAGATTTAATTACTCAATGGTTTAACTGTAGATGGGTGGAACATTGTGGGTTTGTTTATTAACGCACATATTTAAAATTCATTATCGGGGCATGTTGACAACCTAACAATATTTTCACTGAATTTGCAATTGTTATACGTTTGATTTATATCAAAAGTTGCATTTATTGAATTGAATCCGCTGTATATTATTACATATATCAATTCCTTGGTCAATTTTAATATTAGGTATACATTATATCTAAAATTAGTCGTTTGCCCGCAGTATTAGTAATCATGAAAGGTGCTAACGGTCAAATTACACCTTTTTTGTGTTAAAAATCACTTTTCCAAATTTGAATCACAAGCTAACTTGATTTTGTTAAATGGAACTACCAAGTTTTTATTCATTGCATCAAATGTAGGATTTGATTTGTCAGTTTGGTTCATTAGCATTGTTGATTGGTTACGTTTATTAGAAAAATGGAATTTGAAAAAAGTGATTTAAACGGTGCTTTTTACTTGTTTACTATAAATATTTAAGTACTTTTTGATGGTCTTCTAAATGTTTCTGTGCACATAATAGAGAAATGTGGTTTCACCACGATGGTGAATTTTGCCTAAACTTTAAAGAGTGACTAAATCAATAATATTCTGCGAGGTGGATACTTTGAGGGGGTTGAAGTGGTTTCTGAGTCTCTTTTGTTTTGTTTTGTTTGCAGGGAAATGTTTTATAATTTGAATTGGTGTTCATAATTTTTAACGGCCTACTAATTACTGAGAGCTTTTGAAAATAGAAAAACACTATGAATTATATTAGAAATTGTTGAATTACAAAAAATATGTAAAAGGTAGGTAAATACCGACATGCTTATATCGTTGAAAAGGTAATCAAATCCTACAAATGATGCAATAAAAAAATAGTAGTTCTATTAATAAAAATCAAGTTACCTTTGATTGAAATTTTGAACATTGACGCAGTGATTTCATTTAACACAAAAAAATTTAACATTGATCGTTTGGCGAATGGTAGTACATTTCATGCAGTTGCAGTCCCGGCCTTTTAATCGCATTGTTACTTCACTACTTCATCTAGTTTTTCAAAAAATCCCCAATTGCGGCTAAAAGACGTATTTTAGATATCATGCATAATTAATACAAATTGACCAAGGAATCAAAATCTGCAACAACTATTGTTCTTTCGAAGTATGAGCATTATCTTTCTTCTACAGCAAGTGAAGGTTACAATAAAAATGTGGGTCCGTTAACCACCCTCCCCTATTAGCCCAAAAATCAACCAATTTTTTTCTGTCTACTGTGGTCCAATTGTGCTCTATTGGGTATTTATGTCGCCTTTTTTGGGTTTAGAAATAATTCGAAAATTAATGAGGACGAGGTGAACGTCCCCAAAAATACTAAACTTTATTATACTCAAAACTCGTTCGGGTGCCTTTTATAACCCTACCAATATCTAGATGGAGGGAGATTAGATAAGACTAGATAAAGAGCCTTCGGGAGTACTGCATTAGCTTGGTACTATTGAGTTATTCCTGCATCACTTAGTTTGAAAACTAAAGGTCATGCCGAAGTTGATAATTCGTCAATTTTATTTAAACGCCGGCTTTTAGATATCTATCAAAAGTATTTGAATACTTTAAAAAGTGTTTCATTACTTTGACAAGTGCTCAAATATACTAATAAGTATTCAAATACTTCACTCAAATAATGGAAAAATTAAAAAGATTATCCATCATCATCATGATCACACATTTAGTAGCCTATTACGGTGTTTAAACAGTATGTATGCATTAGAATACTTTGCGAAATATGCGAATTGTTTGCAAACTATTTGACCACTAAAAAATATGTGTTAAAGTATTTTAGTTCAGAATACAAATACTGCTTCCATAAAAGTACCTATTTAATTTAATTACAAAGTATTTGAATATGTCCTCGAAAGTAATTGAATACTACACAGTATTTACAACGTAGAATACTGCCCAGCTCTGATTGTACGTTACAATTTCCATTATATATGACAAATGTTTTTTTATGTACCTACCTTTCAATTGGCGTCAGACCATTTTAGTTTTTATTTTTTATTTGCTACCGTATGTAGCTGCATTTATGAAGATGATTTGATAGACAAGAAACTCAACTAAAATTACTTTGAGTACTTTAGGCAATCGCTTGTAGGACTGGTTTATTACTTATGTTTATAATGACAGCTAAAAAATATTTTTGTTGCATAGCGTGGAATTTGAGAATTGCAGCCATTAAGAAAACTGCTTCATTGGAAGTTATAAAATGGGTAAAATAAACTAACTGCTAATTATTTTTATTTTTAATTCAATTTTATGGGCACTATCCAGACTATCCTGCCTGGAGTGAAGTGTTCCAATTTGCACTTAAATCATTAAATGAAGACATTTTGAATTAAAATTGTTAATCCTATTGCAAGTAGTCTCTGATTTAGAATTAACAAACGAAATAGTCCTTCCCAGAAAATGATCTTAATACGTCCAGTTTAGTTTTAAAACTCGAATTGGGTGGCGCTACACAACAGCAAGTAAAAATTCATACACTCCATACACGGTAGACGTTTCGTGGAAAGATTGTCACGGCCGTATTTCTTTACAGATCTTTTCCAATTTTTTTTTTGTTGAAAAGATGAAGGATAATTCCATGTTTCTATAGTAACACTTTTTCGATTATATATTTCCATAAAGCAAAATTCTACGTATGAAAAGTGACAAATTTTGGCTATATTTAACACGATATTTCACTTGATATTGCGATAAATTTGAAAAATGTGTTACTATAGAAACATCGCAAATTTTCTTGCGAAGAGATTGGTGTATCATTTAGCACTAAGTGATTGAAACTAAAGTCTGGGGAACTTTCCTATGAAACCTCTGCAAACGCTCATAAATGAACTGTGTGAGATCCCCCTTAAGATGAATTAAAACGGGAACTGAGACGTGAACATTTGATGGAGTTATAACATCTAAAAAATGGCGATACCTCTAGCTAGGAAGCTAAAAAGAGAGGTCATTAACAAGGAAAAACAACCTACTAGTATACTCGTACCTAACTTAACGCCTACCACATGGAATTATTAGAACTCCACTCCACAATTTGAAAAGCAGGTAAATTTGGTTCCCCTTGGAGCAATTTTTTGTTGATTTTCCGGAAACTGTTATAGGAGGTGCAAATTTTTGATTTAAACCGCGTTTTAAATCATCTTAGGGCGGGTTTATGCAACTTCTTTATGTTTAAAGCTTAATTCTTTATTTCTAATCCGTTATGCATAGACCTTATTACAGAGCTGTGCAAAGGAATTGGTACAAAAGGCTTGGAAAGCCTCAAGCCCTAAAAGAGCTTGCAATTCCAAGGCTTCAAGCCTTTTCTAAAAACAGGGCTTTGGAATTTACGTCTAAAGCCTTTTCGCGTGAGCTTGGGGTTTTGGATTTCAGACAAAGAGCTTAAATTCCTTTTAAAAGAATTGAAATCACTTTTTCATTGAAAACTCCATTTTAAGGATGCAATTCCCTTTAAACAGCTTCAATTCCTTTTTAATAGGCTTGAAATCCTCTTTAAAAAGGCTTCAATTCCTTATATGCCTCCCACTCCCACATCATTTTTTATTTCCAATTTTTGTGAGCTGGCCCTTTGCAGTACGTAGAACTGTTAGTGCGTGCGGTGTTGTTGTTCTCTAATGGGATAAAGTGTAAGTACCTACCTCTATCTAGAGCCTTAACTAAATTATAATACAATTATATGCAATTATTTACTAGCAAGCAAGCAAACCAAACCAGCACTTGTGGAAACTATTTATATTTATTACGTTACGGCTACTGGGTCCTGTATTCTCATTATATTTTATCCCTTCACTCAAAGATTTTATAAAAACGAAAAACACTTGTTAAATAATCATTCATATTTTATTAGACATTTCAATTCCTTTTGCAAAGGAATTCCATTCAATTCAATTTCAAAGGGCTTTGAGCTTAAGGCTTCGCAACTTTAAGCCTTTTTTAAAGGGCTTTGGAATTTTAAGCCCTTTTCGTGCTAAGAGGAATTTGAGCTTTCCATTCACCATTCCTCTTACAAGGGCTTTGGAATGAAGCCCATTGCAAAAGGGCTTTGCACAGCTCTGGATCTTAACTCTTAAGTAATTTCCCAACACAAGTTTATACAATTCCGTTTTTAACACCAATCAAATTGAGGGAATTGAAAGGCCAGCTGATATATTACGAACATCGCGCATGCGCCATGTACAGATTTCTCAATTGTTAATTCTTAATGCTTAAAAGTTGAACGTGTACTAAAAATTATGATACTAATTAGGAACTAAGAAATTGAGGAAACGCGATCATTAGACATTCTATATTTATCTTTTTATTTTATAAAAATTAGTAATTAAGATTTAACTATTAAGCATAAAGACGTTGCATAAACCCGCCCTTAAACCTGAAGTTTATTGCGCACCATAAGGGCGCTGTCATGGTGGATAAAGCCAGAAATAAAAAATATTCTGTTGTGCAAAGGAATTTCTAGGGCTAGTGCGACTTTTGTGACACTGTTACCTACCTCTAATAATGGAAATAAGTCTTTGTCCTCATCCTTTAAAACGTTCCACTTATGAATCAGTGGAGGCATAAGTAGGTTAATATACTCGGATTTATTCAAATGGTGACCAACCGAATCTGCCAGTGTTCCAATAGCGTCATACAATATAAGTAGATTTTTATGTTGGTATTTCGAAAAAGCGAACACAAGTGTTTCCAATATAAAACCTAAGTAAGGAACCAATTCCGTACAGGCCTCCTCCTCGAGCGTCGCGAACGCCGAACATGCTGCTTCTTGAACACGTTTATTGCCGTCTAAAATTCTTTTTAACAGTTCGGTCATCAATGGCTTTAAGTAAGCGTCGTGCGGTTGTGACACGACCCAATGAGAATACCGACTTAGTGTCCAACATGTAATGGCCCTTACAAGAGCTTTTCTGTCATTAAGACAGTTAATTAAGTATGGTATTAACTCGGGAAGATGATTTAACATTCCAGACATACAGCCTTCGGCAATCGCCCCTAAAAGACTTTTTATAGCTACGATTAGAAGTAGAACGTTGTTACCTAAAGCCAGTATTCCAGATTCTTTAATATCCCAATCAAGATGGAATAACGTCTCTTTAAGGATGGGAACTAAAATTGGTAACAACTCGTCGCTAAAAACAATCGCTAGCACATCCAACGCCGCCGCGCTACATTTCCGTAAATTCCAATCTGAGAGACTGCTATCATCATCCCCGTCGTCATAATCATCCTCTTCGTCCTCCCCCTGGTCACCACTTCCTTTTTCTGTCGCATTGCTGGTATTTCCGTTAGTAGATGTCGCCTTCATGGTGTGTGTTTTTGATTTGTGGAACCGTGGTTTTATGTCTTCTTCTTTGTCAGGCACCGTATCATCTTCCTCGACATCCCCCTACAAGCCTAATTAATACAGCAGCACTATGCAATAAATTTGCTAACCTTTAACAATATAATGTCAATTTCGGAGTATTTCATTCCACGAACCAACACGGGTATCAGTCTATTCAAGTGAGGACCGAGCACCTCCCGGCAGATATGCTGTTCGGCCAAGGAAAGCCAGAACTCACAAGCTTCGAGGGCAACATTTTCGTCACAATCTTGTGTGCGGAGCAGCATATATTCGATAATATTATGCATCTGTGGCATAAGTAGGTCTATACGAACTTCCAATAATAACACTAAAGCTCTGCACACATTTTTCCTGACTTCGGCGTCATCGTCGGCAGACACGACAAAAAGGTTCTAAAAAAAACATTAAAACTAACGTGTAACAATTGTGGGCATACGTACTGTCAAAAAGGAATCTATGTGATACATTAGGACTTGCGATCTTTGTATAATAAACTGATTAATGCAACCGATTGCGTACGAACGAATTTTTGAGCTGGAATGGCTGAAAAACTCTAAGAATTTCGGTATGAGCAAGTCTAACGGTCTATTAACGCTGTCCGCATCCAACGCGTCTGCAGAATCCTCGCATATTTTTTGTAGCGCACCGAACGCGCCCTCGCAGACATTGTAATTTTGTGAATCTAACATTCCGCATAGAGCCGGAAGTAATTCCGGCCACGTCGTTAATTCGCCTTTACTGGCTATTGTCGTTATTAATATTCCTACTGTCGCCCTGATTAATGGCGACGGATCGCCGACGGCTTGCAAGCATTCCTGTTTGATGAAATTTGTTACACTTGGCATTAACATACTATAATGTGTTTTGATGTTGTTTTTCAATATTAATCCGCTGAGTGAACGTGTCGGTTCATCTTCTGTCACCAGTTTGGTCAATACAAACATCAAATAATTGTTAAAGTCTGGATATTTGTTTAATTGTTCCAATTTCTAGTCATATTTAAGGAAAAGATCTTATTAAGTTTTGTTTATGGTCAAGTGCATAGGTATAGGCTCTGCTCATAGAACTCCTCGTGCTTATTTTAATTCATAACTGGCATCTCTACAAGGAATTCAGATAAGACTACAAATATGGTGCATTTAATTTTTAAATCTGGGGTTATAGTTGATCTTAACGAAACTAAAAAGCATTTCAGACTTACCTCAATGCAATTTCGTGTAACTTTGTCACTGTTGAAAAAATTATGGACCATCGCCACCAAACTATTTCTCGCAAATGACTAGAAAATCTTTTAGAATCCGTAATAAAAGTTTATTGTTTACTATTTTATTTTTAAAAGAGGAAATACAACAGGACAAAATGAACAATCTCCCATACTTTCATTTGAGTTCGTTTATAGTATTAGATAACAGGGTTCGCAACTGATTTTAGCAAAAAAATAGAGGTCTCTAATTACATATTTAAAAATAGAGACCATTAGAGACCTTTGAGAACCAATTTCCATACAAAATTAAGCAAAAAATAGTTATTTTGTAATAGATGAGATACATAAACGGCAATATATCTAAACATAAATTGTGCACAACTCTTGTGCGGATAAAACGCATTTTTTTTCACCCAAATATTTTTTTTTACATCACAAATGGATATATTTCTTGCAGACGTCCCAATCGCCCTTTGTGAGTACCCTCTTCCGACAATCCGTTCTCGAGGTATAAGGGAATATACCCGATCGCGATAAGAGGTCGAGGAGGAGGGCTATGGTTGGTAGAAATTAATTCCTTTCGTTGAGACCTTTCATTATAGTACCATGAAGGACAAAACTAATTCCACCCCTCCTGCCCCTCCACCCCGTAAGAGGACAGAAGAGGGGCAGTATAGTTGGTAGAACACGGTTCCTTTCGTTGAGACCAATTGGTTGTCGTATGTAAAAGTTATGCACATTTTACTTTCAAAAACAGTATCTCAGGAAATAATTCGTGGGGGGGGGGCCCCCTTTTAGACAGAGAATTTGGTGGCCGTCTGGCACACCTTCAAGGTATAGGCTACCTACTGCAAAGAATTCCAGGACGCTAGGACCATTCTCCTAGAAGTAGTTCGAGACGGCAGAAGTGGGTCCGGACGGGCAAAACGCATTTTTTTTAATTCTTAAAAAATGCGCTAAAAATGTACAGTAAAATTTCTGCGGTTTATCAGTTATGAATTATACTTTTTTAACATGCAAAATTTAGAGACTTTAGAGACCAAATATGAAAAATAGAGACTTTGAGAGACCAGCATTGAAAAAAGAGACCAATGTCTAAAAAAGAGACCATTTGTGAACCCTGAGATAACAATTCAAAACAGTTCAAAACTTGTATTCTTATTTTTGCCCATAGTAAAATGTAAAAGTGAACCACCACAACACAACCACAATATTGAGGCGCCTTTTTTTTCATATTGTTGAATTGTTTAATTCCGATCGAAAAAGTACTATTACCCACTTTCACCCGAAAAAACCCACTTGGGTCCAGTGGGTTGGGGTTTTTAAAAAAAAAAAAAACGGGTTTTTTCAAACCCTGGGTGCAGGAATTTATATACGTAAAACAAAAGAATTTTCACATCCAACAATACTAGCATATGCATTCAGCGATCATAAGCCACAAACAATTGGGCTACAGACTGAAAGCAATGGAACGTAAAACATTCTCTGAAGACAGCATCAACCAATTTTTCTTCTGCCAACATTTGCTAAACCTTTGAACAATAATTCAATCAACAATGTTTTCAATTTCATTGGCTACTACACAAAAGAACAATTCGGTTTTAGAGAGCGCCACCAATGCCATGCGATCACTAATGGAATATGTACCTACGTCTGTACAGCACATAACAAGCGACACAAGACAGACCTCAGGGAGAAATATATGAAATGAATGCAAGAAATGCATCTCGCAAATGTGCGACTTATCAAAGTCTGTCTCATTCTTAGAAAAAGCGGAAATGTATGGAATTGGAGGAGTACCTAAACGGAAACCTAATCGCAAGGATCTATTTTGGGGCCTATGACCAACCTCCCAAAACACTTACTTGCTTAAGTAGTCCTATATTTATGCTGATTGTAAGACACTGACAGTAAAGACCCAGACCACCGCGCATATGCACTCGGCTTTTCACAGAATTTTCCAGCACAATCGAATGCTTTTGCACCACACCGTTCTAGCCTCTTTTGTCTTCCAGAGCTTTCTAGCGCGTAAATCTTTTTTGTAAACTTTCAAAACCCAAAAATCAAAAAATTTCACCGTCTGCCTTTGCCGGAGTTATTAAATCTTTCGCACTCCCTCATACTAGGTGATCTACCCAAAAACTATTATCAGAAGTCGAGTTTTTAAGGACAGTGTATCACTAAACATTCATCAAATTCCTGCCTTGGACATGGAGATTATAGCACTTCTATACAACACAAACATTTTATGGTATAACGTAATTAGAGAAGCTAATCATCATTGCACATATCATTAACCATCCTTGAGATCATTTATAATTTTGTATTGCCATCTGTTAAACTTGGAATAGGGTACCATAAGGAAAATTCGCACCCCGTACGATAAGTTCACTTGCCCCAATCAATTACTCGACTCATAAGAATTCGCCTAGAGAAAACTCGGTCTTGCGAGTAGAGCTTACTTTTATTTTTGTGCTCAAGTAAATTCGTCCCCGTGGAAAAACTTCCTAACTTGTTTTTCGGAAGTCACATCCCTAAAGTTTACATTCGAAAAAACTCGTTTAAGTTTTTTTGTTAAAAATTCGGGGATTTTGGGATTGAAGGACCGATTTGAAAATGCAAAGGGGAGATTTTAGCTTTATGCAACTATGTCACAAGTGATTTCATGACTTCATTTTGCAATACCTATACAATTTGTATAATGCATGAAATTGTATCTACCTACTTCCTGTAGAATTGATAAATAAATAAGCATCCCAAGATTAAGATAAAAATTTCACTGAATCAGCAAAATGACAGGATATTTTAATGAGAGCTGGAGCCACACAGTCAGCAGTAATTCGAGACAAGATAGGTTGCTTATGGCAAACAATCAAAATTTGCTATGGGTTCAAGGTTAGGGAAACACTTTCCCTGCAACCAGAAACAACTTTTCCTGCGGTGTACTTCAGGGAAACGAAGTAATAATCTTAAACGACCTCTGAAACCATCGTGACAAAATAAAAGTTCGGTAGCGAGAAACGCACTTACTTACGATTTGAACCCTTCAGAAAATGTTAGGAGTACAACGGACAAAACCGAAGTAACCCCCTGTAAAGTCAACATGTGTTACTAACCTACAAGTCGTAAAACAAAAGCAACAATCGTTTGTTTAGGTAAAATACAGTTTTGTTATGCCATGTGATTTAAATAATCACCAAACATGCACCTTCTATACCAACTTACTGTTATTTTTATTATGTAAAAAGGATACTTGCTGAACAGCCCTTTGCGTTGCGGTATCTGGCGATTGGGACTCCTTTAGTAAAGTTAATATTTCACGTAAACCGTTTTCCTGGGGTGTCCACTCCATTTTCATGGTTAACTAAATAACACAAACATACATTAGGTAAATGGAAACTGGGCCGATTGATTAATAAATGAAAACATTAACCGCCAATTTTGACAACCCACCCCATAAAAACACTAGCGACCGAAAAATATTAAAGCAGCGTTGCGTTGTTAACGAAGGCGTTAGAGAAATGGACGAAGTTTAAAGGTAAATACAATTTTTATGGAAGCTCACGTTGAGCTGATTCGGCAATTATTTAAACACGTAGCGTCGGTCAGCTTGAACTGTTTATTGCTTCCCGCTTTTTTGTTATTACCAAATAATTAATGCAAAATTCACTTACATTTAAATTAGGAGAACTGAATGATTTTTTAAGAATTTCCGATTTTCGTACACTAACGGAATACCAAAAGTCACTAAATAATTACAGAATTCTTGACGCATAGGTGGCAGCAGCGTCGCTAACAATGGCTACATAAAGTAGCCTTTACACCAGCAGCCTCAAGTATGGTGTAAAATCATCAGACGGAATAGTCCAGACTCAACTCAAATACGGACAAATACTACATTATGAATTTTTTTTAGTATTCAGTTATATGCTCTATCTATTGTCTTTCTTTTCATATCCACGTATTCTTCCTCTTTTCCTTGTAGGTACCTTCCACGGACCACGGCCCCTTCGATCATTTCTTTCAGCACATGATCAAGCCACATTCTGTTCCTTCTATTCTTTCTAGTAGCTCTTCGTTCCTAATCCTTCCTTACGCCTTCTCTACTTCTTGCTCCCCTCACGTTTTCTATGCACAACGAAAAGCATAGACATATTCTTTGACTATCCTGCACTGAAAATGAAAGAGCCCATGTTGGGAAATCCTAAACAAGATTAGACCAGCCTTCCTTGCAGGCGTCCTCAACTGTTCTCCAAAGGGATGTTAGGGAGAGGCCTCTAATCACTGAAGTTCACCAAAATCAGACTCCTCGCTTGGTTTTAGATACGATAAAATTGCCAAACTCTGTTTAAGACAGAAATGCAATTTATACATTCGAAGCATAAGAAATGATACATTTGAAAAATTGTTTATGAAAATGTGGATATTGCAAATAAATAAACAGTCAAACTATTATTTTTCTATATTTTCTATTTCACATATTCGTACAAAAATCATCTTCAATTTTACTCGCACAAGCAGTCAGGGTTTAAACTGCCAAGATGATCGAACTGAGGGAGTGAATTGTTGCCAGGATCATGCTGAAAAACTAGCCACAGAAACACCTGTAAAAATCATTTAGAGGTGTTTTTTTTACTGTATTTTATTTGTACCTCAAACACCAGTTTAAAGATTTTAGTCGTGCAGTCGAGCGGCTGCACATACTGGTAGGTAGAGTGAACTCTCCCGTTCTTCAATTCGATGTAGGGAGAAGTACCGTATCCTTCTCGATGTAAAAGTTCCATTCCATCCTGATAACAGTGGATACAAAGGCACAGGAACGGGCATCTGCTCAAAAGAATTGAACTTCCAAATCACCCAAAGGAACTAGCAGGAATATGTTCAGTGCCTAGTAAAAAAGTTCTTAATGAAAATGTTGAGAACAAAGCAATAAGAATATCTAGTGCTAGCAAAGCTGATGCCTTTCAGGCACTCGGCCACTACAAAATCACCGGCCTTTAGGCTGGTGCTTGAATGTCACCATTTACTAGAGTAACCTAAGTGGGCCAGAGCCGGCTCTCCCACTTGCAGTATCCACAGTAACTTATAACTCAAGATACCCACGAGAGGTACCATCACAGGACCATCTCGCTGTTTAGTAAAAAAAACCTGCACTTGTTCGTAGGACTTTCTGGACACTCTAAATCGAACAAGTACACATATTTATTTATGTATTGCCCTTCTCTTGTTCTGGGCCCTTAACAGACTTTCACCCAATTACAGATAGTGACACGCATAATGCTTTTTAGAGGTGCCCCTCAGAAGGTCTTAAGTTGTTTTATACTACTGCGGTATTTACCTTACGCATTAGGAAAAATGCAGGAAAACCTAATTCGGAGTAGCCGGCAGAATGCTCGAAAGTGATGTAAGGAAATTCCCGTCTCTGCCACAGATGAAAAATTCTTATCTCAGCCCAGGATCGACACCCGACCATGTACCCAACACTCTACCACCGAGCTACACCAAAAGACGACTCAAGCACCCTTAGCTAGACAATACAGGCGAGTGGACGTAAATTCACCCTCCCCTGAAAATCCAGCCCCCCCCCCCCCCCGTGAACTTTGTGACCCATTGAAATTAAAGAGAAAATGGGTACGTGTAACTGTAACAACTACTCCAAGGCGAGTGTCTTCGAAACGCAAAAATTCAAAGCTAAAGCATCGTTTATTAGCTAGCAGCAAAGAGTAAGCCTAGTATGATTTTTGCTACTAGCATTATATGAATAAAGCAAGCTACTAGTACCTTCAATTAGTACCAATTTTCACCACTATAAGCGCAGCCTTAACCACAGTCAAAGCACAGAGTTGTATATAGTTAATAGAGATAGTGTTGTCGCGGATAATTGACCCCAATTGGATCTTGCGCAGGCCGTACGCAAGTTTGCGCACTCACCGGATGGAGATATAGTCGCGAATCGCCTTTCACGCACCACGCATGTGTTACAACGGCCCGGCCGCTGTATTTGGGGTTATTTTTCCACGCGCAGGTCCTATGTACTGTTTCTCTATTTACTATATGTAACTCTGTGAGTCAAAGACACAAGTGTGCCTTAGCCCTTAACCTACCAATTTTGGATTTTTTTTATCAAACATTTTTATGGGAATTTTTTTAATTTTTCTGCCGTATAAACAAGAGTAATATTTTATTGTAAAACGTGTTACAAAGTGCCTATATATATATCTGCCGATAATTATATAATGAGAAACAAGCAAAGTAAAGCGCAAATTCAAATGCAATTAAATATGTGCCATGATATATACAAGCAATACAGTTGGTTGTTAAACGCTTACGTTTCTGTAAGTCACCGTACACATTTCTGACTCTACACAGAAAATTTGCAGGATTACTATGTTAGCGAGTATTGGCAGCAACTACCTCAGTCGTGGAGGGAGTCGTTAAAAAACTTGAAACCCGAAGTTTTATCGAATATAATAGACTCCGAGAGTACACTCACCAAGTAAGTGTGTGTACTTACTTGTATTTGGCGTAAAATCATACAGCTTTCAGTTGTTACCTTTATCCTTGTTGGCACTGCGGCAAACTATTAGATACCTAAGTATACCACGTGCTCAGGAAAATCGCCTAGATCAATTAAAGCCAATACATGGTCTACTATTTAATGACAATGTGATGCGGAATGAACACTTTAAGAACTGCTTCTGGAAACGTATTAAACTAAAGAAGAGGCACGAAATTGAACTAATTGCAAAGGTTTGTATCTATTTGCTCTACTACTTAACCTGCTATACTTCATTTGTCTCAGAATATAAATTTCATTTGCTATTGACTCCGTACTCGGACCTTTTCTGTAGGTGGGAAATATTTTCAATTTTTTTAACATACTTAGCAGACTGGGCTCGCCGCAGTGAATGTGAAGAAAATATGACTTGCTTTCTGTATATATGAAAAACATTTAGGTTACATACATATGGCTCTCTTATTTGCCTGCATTTTTGGGGTCGACCATGGATGATCTACAAACCTAACCGACTTGCAAAAATGCCCAAACTTGGATTTGAACCAGTCCCATAGTTGCACACCAGTTTTAGGTTACCTCAAATGATGCTATTCTCAAGAGTTACATCGACTAAGGAGCACATTACGTTTAAGGATGTTTTTGATCCACCAGTCTTTGGGGGAAGTTAATTCAAATTTGATAAACTAAGTCAAACAGGCGGGTGACCCATATAACCATACCCAGTGGAGGACATTCAGTTATTCATATCCCACTGCGCTAGGCACATAATGATTATATCAGGAGTGTTACATGAGTAATGTTTTAGATGTGTTACAAGCTGGCAAATGAAACACAGTGCCATTACATTGTAGATGTTGGATCTGGTCTAGGCCATCTCAGTAGAATACTTTGTTACATGTATGGCCTTCGAGTGTGTGCATTGGAAGCGCAAAAATGTTTATGCACAGAAGCCAGGTATAATACAATTATAACTTTTGGGTAAACTGCAATACAACAAAATACTTTTCAACAATTATCCATCAGAATAAGAATGGCGTTTTTCTGTATTTCTACACAATTATAAAATCGTTTAGTATGCAATTCCAGTGGTGCGCTGTTCGATTATATTTCCATGTTGATTTTCCTGAAGTTTTAATAGAAGCAACTAAAACCCATTTGTCTTTAATGGTACTTTTGTTGTAATGCAGCGTTGGACATCACAAATTCTAATGGGGGCTTAATTTTCGTTATAGAAAACTTGACGATTTTATGGAAAACACTATGAAAAATTACTTTAACATCTCCATAAATCAAAATTTACGAGTGGCTCATCTAAATGTTAAAATTAAAACAGACCACAACGGTAGTGATATTTTAGAGGTAAGCATTAATTTTGTAATAAAGCTATTAGAACCAGCATTTTTAGGCTGTTAAAAAAGCGTTTGGTATTGACAATGATAATATTCAATTTGGAATTGTTGGCTTACATCCATGTGGCAATCTGGGTCCAACATTATTGCGCTTATTTAAGCAGTCCACCCAAGTGAAATTTTTAAATATTGTCGGTTGCTGCTATATGAAGTTAACAACATTGTAAGTATGGCTAAACCTGCAGACATAGAGGTGGGACGGTTGGTAGCTTAGCGTGATATAGATCAATGGGAGTGGTCTTCAGCCAATTTGTACAGTATAGCTATAAGAATATACGACTTAAGACGTGTACAAAGTTCCGATTAAGATGCTTTCTAATTGAATTAATGACATCGGTCTTGAGTCAGTTTGTATTAGTCAACACAAGGTTTCGTGATGCCAATTCAGAACTACTCAATACTCTTAATCTAGTTTTTGGGCACAGGTACTCATGGGTGGTCGACACGAAAAAGTCACATGGCACATTTTCGCAGCTCAAAGCATAGTATGATTTTTGTGGTGAAATTGGGCTCCAGAAATACGAAGTCAGGTTTGGAATTGACAGTTCATACCAGGGGCGGACTGGGTACTTACGGGCCAGGTGGAATTGCATAGGGTACGGGTAGCTCTGAGGTGCACCACAAAAACATTTTAAAGTACTCCTTTCTCGAAAATCAATTACCATACAGTTTTTTTTTAAATTGCAGCTGATAATTAAAAGTAACAAAATATACAATCCACACGAGGTGCGTCGCCTATCATTGTATTTCAGCACTTTCAAAATACTACGACAAAAAATGATAAATTCATTGTAAAACACTTCAATTAAAACAGAATTTTTTAACAACCTAACATCAACCCCAATTAGAGAAACGTGTTAATAATTTATTAATAGTGCAAGAAACTAAATACAGCACATACTTATAAATTTCCAACGAGCCATTATGATCTACAGGCCAGGTGGCAATCGCCCCCCCGGGTCAGTCCGCCCCTGGTTCATACAACACATGAAGGGGGGGGGGGAGTCTACACATGTGTTAGTTTTTAATGTTACAACGCTTCCACATCGTGTAATCAGATGCTCAATTCCGGTCTTCGATACCTTAGTATTAACTACTATTATACTTACTGAAATCACCAAGAAGGCCTACCAAGACTACGGTGAATAAGACTTTCAGGAGGCAGTTTTCTCTATTAATTTCACCTGCTGTACCTGAAGAAGATACCGACTCATTATGTAGTTACACCATACAGATCACTTTAAACTAGACTTTCACAAGCGTAGGCATTTTTGAGAAACGCAGCCTTGATTTGGAAGACGTTTTTAGAAGAGTCGCAAAAATTCCTCTTCCTTTGGATTCGCGACTGTACTGCTAGTTCATAACAAAATAGTTTCACTTCCAAAAGCAAGTAGGTACCCCTGTGGTGGGGTCAATTTTTCCCAGTACCACGATTTTATTTTTCTGGCTAAAGATAGGAGCCACTAGATTCTCATAGCCTTGCCAGTTTTTGTAATAAATCCTTTTATTCCTGGTTGCCTGCAAGGTAGAGCGTAGATCTAACGCCAACTGGCGCAGTAATTTTTAGGACTAGCGCCACTGCCCAATAATCTAAAGGATAATTTTATCGAGCAGTACCATTGCGCCCTATCTCCTTTAAAAGCAAGACTAAGTTTTGTACCCTGTTGACCTCAATACATTTTGGTATGGAGTCATTGGTGATGCACATTAATATAAGCCAAAGGTCAATGGGGTTTACCCAAAATCTATGTATATTTGTATTGTTGATCTCTTGTACCGGTATCTAAAAGTTCAGCCTATTCTAATGCTAATGTTATACCAGTGGATATCCGCTCAGCGCCTACAGTCAGAAAAATAATTACGAACTAGACTACTCAGCTCGAGAACTGGCCTGCCATGCTTTAGAGGCATATGTTGCAAAATTGAAGAACGGCGAATTTGATCAACTAAAAGTTCACGCCTACCGAGCTGCTTTGGAAAAACTGATAACAGACAGGCAGCCCAATATGTATCATTCACAAGTCAACAGTGTAAAATGCACCAACGGATTGGTATTTGCGGAGTAAGTGTCATCTTGGTTTCATATACTAAGACCTTGTGAAGATATTGCAGGAAGGCGACGTCAAACTTGGATATCAAACTGAGTATAAACGAAATAGAGTCACTGCAAATAAAAAATTATTTGGACAACTGGAAAGATGTCGTGGTTTTTTACTCTCTACGTTTGATGATAGCTCCACTTGTTGAAAATATCATCCTGCTTGATCGCCTTCTGTACATATTGGAATCTGGTAATAAAGCCGTTAAGATATTTTATTATATTAACTTACCTTTTCTAGATTATAATTGCGAAATCACTTCTTTATTCAATCCACAATTGTCGCCCAGAAACCAAGTCCTTATCGCTAAGAAGTAGATGACTTCGGTCCAGATTTGGTTTCAGTCCTGCCAGAAAAGCTGGGATACACGAGGCACCATCCATAGCAGAGCAGAGATAAATAATGGTCAAAGGATCTTTCAACAGACTGATGTATATAAGCTTCATTTATTTTCGTTTTTTATATAAAAGGAAATTATTTTATATACTCTATTGATAAATATTTTAATAAATATAAAGCTTTTATACCAATTTCTAATAAAAACAGTCTTCTGCTACTTCCTTTTATTTCACTATGTAGTCATGCTCCTCCAGTTGCCCTCCGATTTCGACATTCGTGTAAATGAGCAAAATCTTGTCACTGTCTTCTAAAAATTCAAAATGTCAACTGTTAATTGTTTTCGACAGAATTTCAGAAACAAAACTGGACGTAATTCGAAGCGCCCATTTTGGAATATTGTGGACCAGTTGTTTACTGAAATCTGGCTATATCTATGTGGATTTCATTAGTAGTACATTAGATATTGAGCCAAATGCCAGCAGTTTGGTTTACATTTATGTGCGCAGATTTAGGTTGAGTAATTTTTCGACTTCTTTCGACATATTGTCATATACAAAAAAACCAGTTCAAGAAGTATATTAGTCTGCATTATTTCAAATTTCACAACCTGTCAAAAGATGTCTCTCTAAACTAAACATTCCAGATAATTTTTCATCGATGCCCATAATATTTACGTTGTTTATTAACTATATTAACTAATTAACCCAAAATTTCCCTTTACTGCTATCTGTTTTTGGTCACTCCACCAATTTATGACACAATAACTCCATTAAACACACACACGCACACAGGACATTTCCACAGTGGTAACCTTGCAGAAACCCACATTTATCTTCTTGAACACGTTCAAACACTGCCAGGCCCTAGCGGAAACTTCCAAATGCACCACTCAGAATACCAGCGCTCTGAAGCACACCCTTACATCCTGCACCCAATTCGAAAATACCTGGTCTTGACAAAAACATCTTAACACCATATCAATATTAATCAGAGGTAATATATGTGAAGCTACAATATTTTGGGTCTTAGTTATGTAAAGCTCGCGCGTTGCTAAAATAAGTTAATGATTGACTTTCAGTGAATTTAACACACATTTTGATTATGTATTTTTTTAGTGCACGATGGTAACTTATGACTAATATATATATGAATAAATCGACACACTTGGCGCTGTGACTGAACAACTGCAATTTCAATGTACAAAGATTTTTTTTCAATTGTTACAGATGAATTTCTTTTAATTCGTGCCAGTCCGCAAAGCATTTTTGAAACTACCACAAAAACATTTTTCCAACTAAAAAATATGTTTAGGTCTGATTTTTCATTATTTCGCTCATCCAACTCTTTTATTATGGGATTACATCTTAGGAATCCCATTACATCAGAAATTGGAATAGGTGTATCTTGATGTTATTATCCCACTGCGTGTCTAGCATTTTCATTGCCATACGTGTTGTATAGCAAGACTAGAAGCAATTTCTACTCTTATTCATTGGAAAATGTGCCAAGTGGTTGCATGCTTTTAAAAGTCAGTTCTTCCTGTGCCTCTTGGATTTATCTGTGAAGGTAGATATGTTAGGTTGCCTTCTTCAGAATAGCAAATGTCTCATATTATGACCACTTCTTCATACCTTCATCAATTAAAAAAATTGTGCAATTACGGACAAAATTAGCTCATCCAAAAATGTCCAACATGTTGGATGCGCATTTAAGTGGGCCCAAAAGTTTAGGGGGTACCATTATTGTACACATACTTTTATTTAAAATAGTACAATACGTTCACAGGCGCTTTCTTATTTTGTTTGTGTCTCGTATTGTGTAAACTGTTTTCCATATTCTAATCTTAAGATGACACTCCTAAACAGACATGCAAACAAATGCTGTTCACTGCGAAATTTAGTACTTAGAGACATATGATCGTCAAAAAGGATCTTTGGCAATTGTAATCAAGCGTTCCACAAAAATTTCATATGATTCTGATGAACTATACACAGCCCCTTCTAAGAAGATTACAGTAATATTTCAAGTTATCTCCTACAACTATTTAATAAATTATAACATATGTGATAGGCCTACACCCAAACCATGCACGCACAATCAGTCTTAAAGAAGACTTACATAAATGCCAAGACAATTACAGAAAGTTTTGGGTCTCTTTTGAATATTTTTTGATTTGGTCTGCCCAATTTTTGCATACCAGGATGTAGCTAGAGACTTTTATTGTTTCCAGTAATAGTTTGGTACAGTGGATTAGATGATAACTTACGACCAAAAAGGTCTCTTGTTCGAATTCGGGTTCATGCTTGGAAATTTTGTTAAATGTATAGTGTCTGTATAGAACTATGAATAATGTGAACTAATGCTACAAATTGTGCTGATGTAACCGCAATCTTATGCAAATTCGAACAGTATTGACCACCTCATGAGCAAGTTACTGGTTGAAAAGAAAATCCACAAACTGCTTGCTATGGGCGTTTCGAGAATTTCGATTCCTACACTGGACCATTATTATTAAAATAATTGATTCGTGAAATAACTCTCCCAAAGTTGTAGCTGATGTGTTTTGTTTTAATATAGAGAATTTTAACAAGACACAATTTTGTCTTCCCTCATGAAGCCAGTTATGCCACGTTTAATTGAAATCGTTTATTGAATAGCAGTAGTCTTATTAAAGCGTGTTGTGCAATTATTGAATCGAACAGTTTACAACATATTTTACTGTTTCAAGATTTAGTATACTTCAATATACGATCGCTACCAGTCTTTTAAAATATCTTAAGCTTAATTTAAAAAATAAGATAATGTGGAAATAGGGGATAATTAAAAATACACAAACACAACGTACGTATATCACGAAAAAACATAATTAAAAAACTACTGCTGAATCGATAAAAAAATTAAAAGTATCCAACATCTTTGTTGATTTTTCTCGATAGAAGTGTTTATGATGCAATTGTAGATAGTGCCGCTTACAAAATATAATCAGCTACTTTGGAACTTATACGACTAATTAGTGAAATGAGGAACAATTGCAACATAAACATTTTGAAAGACATCAGCATTTAAATAAGTCTAAAATATCTCAGTTGTAAAAAACTACAAAACCTTCCTTCTCAGTATTTCACAACACAACTTACATATTTTACATGCAAAAAACCACAATTTCATTCATATTTATCATACAATTAATCGTTACAAGAACAGTCGTATCGACATAAAATAAAATCAAAAAAGAACGGTTTTGTCGTCTACCCTACCGAGCAGGATAAAAATAAATTATACTATACATGATGAAACAAGTCCAATCTCTCCCGAGTTTAGCAGTTGATTTAAATGTGATGTCACATAATTACACAACTTAACTATCATAAATTAAAAATAAGCGTTTGCATTTGAGAGCTAACTACTAACTTAATACCATAACGAAATCATACGTGGTTTCATAAGTCACTCTCTGCCGAACTCACGGGATGGAAAACGGTAACAGTCACGAAATCAAATTATTCTAATATTAGTGTGAAAGGAGAAGTATTGTCTTCACGAATGGTTACATTAAAAAATCAGTTGACCGTTTCCCATCCGTAATGAATGTTCACAGAGCATAAACTTGAGCATTTGCAGGTTTTATTATTTTATACTACTGTCGATACGTAGACATAGTTACGTTATTACCTGGGGTTACATAATCTCCTATCATTAAATTAGCGGTGACTGGATAGTTTGCCATTACCAACGGTTGCTGTAACAAAAATTAAGTTATTATTTATACGGTACAAGTAAACCTTACAGTTGTTGTATTTTGAGATGCATTCGCCCATGAAAACAAAGCACTCTATCATTCATCCCTCATTCTTGTTACCAAAGTCATGAGACCCGATGGATTTTTAAATGTATGGTTTAAGTGATTTCGTATTATTCAAATTCTGAAGTCGGAACAGGAACCAATTTTTGAATTGTTTCAGAAACGAAAACGAACATCTTGAAAATGTCCAAAATGAGTTAAGTGATACCAATCAAAAAAAGAGTGATCACAATGTGATTAAAAATGATATAGGGCCTAAACTAATTATGGTACCAGGATAATCTATTTTCAGCCTAGGGTGATACTGGGCCTGTTTGAGTGACTGGCAGCACTTGAGGAGGAGAGCTTGAGCGACCATCATTATGTGTATTGGCAGCTCACTAACGAAGGTGAAGGGAGGAAAACATTTACAGACAAAGAACCTGGGTTGGAATACCAACAAACTAAACAGGGGAAGGAAAGGGATATAGAAAACTTTCAGGTCAACTACATAACGTATGCTAAACAGCTAAAGTAAAGGAGAATAGGTAATGCAACCATGCCCGTAAGGAAGTTGAGAGTGGTAATGGTGTACTGGTAGAATAGTGAAATACAGGAGTGCAGAATCTGTGCTGTGACGAGGCGAATTGTTACCAAAGCGAGAACGGCCAGAAGGCCCCTTGAGGATGCAATTGATGCCCTCATGAAATCTAGACAACGTACCAAAGAAAGTAATCAACGACAGAAAAAAAGTGGGGGCAATGAAATTGAAAAGGATATTTGGAATAATTCCAAGAAAGAGGACCCATTAGGGTGCAATGATGAAGCTCTGCAAAGTACTATGTATGGGAGAGGGCTGAGCTGTTCGATGCAGATAGAGATCATGTGCAGGACAGGGGTTGGAAAATACTGCTAAGAAATCATAGGCACACGCGAGCGAGAAGAGCAAATGAATGGGCGAAAGTCGACTAGAGCAACACAACCAGAAGACTTGATGATGCCTGGTTTGTGTCAACGACAGAGAGAGGGAATTGTGAGAAGGGTTTTAGTGGGGGCAGTTCCCACACTCCCCCTGCATAGATCTCCAACAACTACAGGGGGGTGCATTTGGCATTTCCCAATTCCCATTGTGCGAAAAAAAAGGCAACTTTTAATGCGCATACGAAATACCCACTTATAAACCACCTCGCCCAATTATTTCCTATCAGGGCACATAATTCATTGCAACAGTGCGCAATTATGGGTAGTTTTATATTTACAAATGACTTAATACTATAAAAGATTTAAACTCCACCTGAGCAGCATTAGGTGATGAAAATAACGACGGCGATATGGCACCTCCGATTAGTTGTGCTGTATGAGTTGATGTCGGACTGGCTATAACACGTCCCCGTCCAGTGCTGGATATACACCCGGGATGGATATTTGGCTGACTTCCCTCTGCAAGATGGGCCGGTTCAACTTAAACATAAAAGATTAGACCATGATGCTACAACAATACTGCAATTTTACCTAACGCTATCAAATTATTCGCTATGAGGTTATTATTAATCACTGCCTGCGTTGTATCCATAGAAACTTCGCCTAATCCGTTAACCGACATTCCGTTTACCATATTCACGGCTATAAAAAAATTAAGTAATAATTACAGATTAATGACTATAGTTACCGTTCCTCGCACCCTGTGCATCTAACTGATTCCAATAGTTTTCGCTCGGAGATATATTGGACACTCCTGGTGGGGGTTGTACGGGCGCACCGGTGTATCGAAAGTACGGATTCTTAAGATCTAACGTATTTGACGAACATTGTGTCGTTCCTTCTATACATAATTCCATTGTTACGTCATAGCTTTGTCTGAAGGAATGACAAGTACACCTTTACAATGTGCATATGTTTAAATGATAGGAAAACACATAAAACAGAGTTTTGTATGGAAATTATGCAACCCAGTGCAGTGAAACACACATGTAATGATTTAATTTGTAATTTCACTGATAACACGCCTTTATGACTGCTTAAGAAAAAAATACCTGGTGATTTTTGGAAATGAAAGTACTTGATTTTGATACAGATAGGTGTACACAACCCCTATGATTTAATTATCTCACCCAAGGAAATAGTTCCTATACTTACGCAAGAAAAGACGTTTTAATCTGAAATGTGATAAATGATGTTATGATCTGACCATGTCACAAAATAATCAAGCAAGGTCTAAAAATGCTTTGGAAAACAAGTACATAAACACTTAAAAATATTTTTACTAAATCAGTGATTGCTTGCTTTTTAGCGATCGATTTCAGACATAAGTATATAGATGGCGCTTTTGTGTAAGATTTTTATGGAATTATGGTAGATATCTTATATTCCTTGTGTATTTATTTCAAATTTTATCTACTAGAAATTTAACCTGAGATGAAACTCACACTAAATACACCTATTTAAGACCGGATTTTTATGTTCGTCCATTGATTGCCATATGAGCAGTGGAAAAGTGCAAATTTGGGATGTTCTGGGTTCATAGTCCCTTCAATAGGGTATCTTGATGCACTAGCTAGATTATTGATATTTTAGTTCCAATATGTTTGTGAAATTAATTTTTTTAGATAGAAAAATTCATCCGGCTTGTTGATAAATAACGAGAGTGCTGTAAATAGCTAATTTATCAAAAGCATCAACGATGGGCTCGCAGTTCGCATGATAACTCAAAAACGCTTTAACATGCAATAAAGCTCAAATTTGGTACACAGATAGGCAATTACTTAAGGAAAAAGTGATTATATTTTGGGCTTAGGAAGTAAACCCCTCTTAAACACCTAAAGAAAGACTTCAATTGGGCACAACTGAAATACTAATTGTGTCTGCAAAAAATAAGACACATTTTTTGTGAGGAAAAGCGTTCATTTAGCCCTTATCCACAATTCAAAATAGCACAAATAACATAGGATGAAGCACAATTAAGTAATAGTGTAAATCGAGGTGTAAATAATACAATAGTGAGACAACCTCCATGTACATTTTGGAACATCACATTGAAGAGTTTTAGATGTCGCGCGCGTGTTGATATTACCATCCATTAAAGATTGTTAGTAAAAAAGTACAGATTCTTTTTTTCGAATTGATTGCGGTACTAAGCGCTAGTATGAATTCTGCAAAATGAATAATAAAATTAAACTACTGAACCAACCAACAAGGTATACCTACAGTACAATGAAGGTATTGTTCACGAGCGCCGGTATGCAGATGATGTCATCCTGTATAAGTGTTGTGTGCATATATTGAATGTGGCAACACAGCATTTCATCCAAGTGGTTGGCAGCAAGATAATGGCGGTCACGAGCTGCTGTACTTTAAGGGTAGAACGTTACCGATTAGGTTGTTGAATGCATACCGAGATTGTATTACAAGACACCTCTGGAATTAAAAACTAAAATACTAAGAACCGGACTTTTATTGTTTAAGGACACAACAATAAGATTACAATTCTGTACACACATTTGATTTACTTATTTTGACAGTTGTAGCATTGAATTTATAACTATCAGAAGCGCGGGTTAAATGGCAGGATATGTGACTGTTTTCAATAGTTTAAATTACAAGACGTAGATGTCTCTACCATCGAGAAAGATAAATAATAATGTCAGTTTTTTTCCTTTGTTAATTATTATACAGGAATCTGTAATGAACCCACTACACACTGCATACAGAATTCTATTATAGATACTCAAGAAACGTATTTATAAGGCATTTATGTGGCACACAGGATGTTGAATGACGCAAGATAAACATTCTTCCTTTCATGAATCCTGACCTACTTAACATTCCTTAAGGAAGATTGAATTACATTTGAACAGGAAAGCAAAAAATACGCAGGCATCCTTGATCACTGTAACTGAAATTAAATGTACCTACCTATCTATTCTTAATTTTTGTGTGTTGGTTAAACTACCTAGGACAGGGGTCGGCAAGCTATTGAAACGGAAGAGCCAAAAATTACAATTTACAAAATTTCCCAGTTCTTAGAGCCACAAACAATTTTTGATTCAATATTATACTTTTTGGCTATATACAGGGTCCTGCAACAGTGCGTCGGTTTTTCCTACATAGCTGATAGATACCTGGTAAAAATATTGGTGGTTGCGGATCTACAGAAATTATTCTTGCATGTACAGGGTGTTGCATTTTTACAATGTCAATTAATAACTGATCTTTTTAACACGTTGACTGCGTTGTGGGTTTCTTTCCGTGGTGACGAAGTGAACTTTTGCTAAACATTCGTTGTGTGCAAAAGCCATATCTTCCTTCATTTTTAACGTATATAAGTTTTACGTATAGCTTTTTTATGGTCGTGCTTTGCATAGTCAAGTCCACTGAATTTTTTGGTACATATCTTCGGGGACATGTAACGCACAGGACTAATACAAATTTAATTGTGTGCGGCACATGCCCCCGGAGGTATGTACAGTTTTGCAGCTACTTCTACGATTATTGCATCATACTGCATGACAGAATTGCACAAGTTGCATCATCTTTGTATTCTGTAAACATTTCGTTAGTTTTAACGAGTCTAGTTATTGTAATGATTGTCCAGGCCAACCTGGGTACTATCTTCCATGTTTCAATACTAATCACAAATAATAATATTAATATTAACATGGAATAAATAAATATCCCTCAATTTTGAGAAAATAGTGTTCGTTGTAATTTTTTTATTCGAGTTGATTGCATAATTTTAGGGTTATACAGTCTTCTTCACTTTCTTGCGGTACCAGTCGCCGGAGATATGTACGGTTCCAGAATTAAATAAATAATAGTGTTAGCTTACAGGTCCACACGCTGCGGAACTCAAAAAATTACGCACAAGTAAACTAGATGGGGCTTACTTTACCAGTTGTCTACATATCCCCGGCGGTATGTATAGCACTATGGTAAAGTTGCATTACAATACCCCGGCGATATGTAACGCATCAACAGCAAGTTCTTGTTTTAAGCTACCGCAGTCAACGTGTTAAATAGAACATCCTGAATATTTGGTTGTTTCAATGCCGTTTGTTCAAAGTGCTACAACTATTCTTTTTCAAATGGAACTACCACTATTATATTTTGCTATTCGATTGTCTTTTGTGTTCTCTTAAATGTTTATAAGAGGTGCCCTGTGCTTAAACTCCGCAGTGTTTAGGTTATTCAATATTTTTCACAAAAGTACCTACTCATTAATTAATTACGTGTTTATACATCGGAGTAGGCTGGCTATAATAAAAAAACAAAATAATACCAGAAAGTAAACAAGTGTCAAAAATTAGATAATTATTTGCTGCAAGTATACTTTTGATACAAAATAAGATTAATTAAAAAGGCGAATTTCGAACAAATGAACTAATTTCTTTAGGTAAATACGGAGAGCCGCAACTTTATAGGTATTAAAAGAGCCGCAGGTTGCCGATCCCTGATCTAGGATCACACGTCACATCTGGCAATTTTGATACAAAATAAAAAGGTCGTTAACTCGGTACCTCTTTTCTTTTAAATTCTGACGTTTGAAATTTGTTCTCAATGGTTAATCGATAACTTATCGATAATTATCGATTAATAGTCAGTCGACAAATTTTAAACAAATGGTCGACTAATGGATAACACCGATCAACAAAAAAAGAATTTTTTGCGCATGGGATTTACATAATATATTCTGACTATAATAAGCAAAAATAAATAAAAAGTGCGATTAAGACATCGAAAATATTTGCTTTTACAAAAGTTACAGCGATTTGATTGAAAGCTTTCGGGGGCGAAAATTAAAGCTGGAACCTTTGTTTTCCCTCAAAAAAAAAGAAAAATGGAGGATGATATTTTTCCGCGGTTACTTAGCAAAGAGGAAAAAAAATCCTGGAACAGCTTTAAGGCAATAGTCCATGGTTTCCCGTTCAGTGTTTCCTGGGAAACCATAGAGCTGAAAATTATGACGAGCTGACAGGATTTGGTTTTGTATCATGGGGTATAGAATGTCTCTAAAGAATAAAGATTACATTCTCATTTAGATCAATTTAAGGATAATATGGGAGCTTATTCGGAATAACAAGGACAACACTTTGTCAAGACAATGGAACTTAGGCACCTTCCCAAGGCCAGGAAGCTGGAAGCATGATGGAAGATCATATTTGGGGGGTTGATAAGAAAAACTTCAGTTGAACATGACAAAAACAGCAAAACTGTTCCATTTTTAAACATTTAGACTCTAAGATAAACAAATTATAAATGTAGAAACGTTACCATTTAATAAATCATGCCTTATGTAAGTAAGATTTTATAGGTATTTTTATTTTTTGGTTTTTTGCATTTTTTTCACACAAAAACAAATACATAACTATTTTTTGTTCTAATTCTTATTTGTGGCTATAGAAGCAATAAAAATAAGATATATATGTCCCATGCGCAAAAATGCTGTAGACCGGTGTAATTTATCGAAAATTTTAAAGGATTGGTCGATAAATCTATAATTACCGATAATCTATCGATTAATCTCACAACTAAACTATTAAGATAGATAATTATCGAGAGAATATTTAACGACATAAACTTTTCAATGTTTAGGTATACCAGTTTACTTCCAACAAAAGCGATGTAAGAGCATTGTGGAGTTGCCATATGATCACAATTCACAACCTACTGCTGTACTCATTTTTGAGGATTATCGTCCACTTGATCACCTTTGATTTCAGAAAACTTCAGCATCAAAAGATCCTGTTTTATTTAAATTATCTCTCGCAATACCAATACCAAAAAAACAAAAATGTTAGCGATGTACGCATGGATGATGTAATATATCGATTGAGTATATATATCGATGAGATTTATGAAAAAGTATCGATAGTTTTCTCTTGATAATTTCCGCTACTTATCTATTAATCGATAAATATCAGAGATAGACAATTTTCGACAAGTGGCAATAATAATCGATTATTATCAGCAGGTAACAATCATTATTCATTATTTTCAAAAGTTGTCGATAATTATAAAAAGTTATCGCTAATATCAAACATTATCGATCATTATCGAAAATGATTGTTACGATTTATCGATAATTGTCGATTATTATCGAAAGTTATCGATAATTGTTTAAAGTTATAGATAATTATCGATTAACGATTAATAGATAATTATCAGACTGAACAGACTTATCGATAAATCGATAACAATTTCATTTATCGCTCAGCTCTAGTAGGTAAACGAATTCACGTAAACTGGGACCGATTTATTTGTGCACAATGCTGCAAGGTTATAAAAAAAGCTGATTCGCGAAATTTAGTTATCAAATGTGAATGTGGAAATGATGAAGGTGCCAAATGCCAACAATTCCACTACTGGACTGTTCTGAGGTTCATTCGTTCATTTAAATTTGCATTACCGAAAACTCCATTTCCACATTAACTTTTCTTATACCCTGGCAGCATTGTGCACACAGCAAATAAAATTAACACATCGGTTCCAGTTCACGTGAATTCGTATTATATAGTCTGCCAACGCGGCGGCAAATGTGTTGGTACGTTTTTTTCTCTTCTCGCTGACCGTTGGTTTTCAAAATTCAAATGCTTACAACGGACAATATTTTGCCCTCAAATTTTTTTTATCGTTTTTGAATAACAAAATCTCCCGCTTTCAGTAAAAATAAAAAAATGTTGAACCTGCCTATTGTACTGCCTGTGAATAGAATGTATGAAATTGCATTCCTTCAAGGGCAAGGACTGCAAGCTTCGTTCGTCTAAATGTATTATTATTTACATTACACATTTATGCAACACTTCTTAAGGGATCTATTTTTAGAACATTCCAATCCTCCATTCCAATGATAGCACAAAAAACATCCCGAGTTCCTGACATCTAACGATTAAAAAGGAAAATATTCGAATGGTCAAAATGAATGGTTTGTAATGCTGCCATCTAATGTCAATGTAACGCTCCACTTTCGATCGGCCACGGACTTTCAAACTATCGAACTGCCCCTAGCGGCGGAAAGTTCGCATATGGTCACAAACTGTTATATGGGATCAGCGCTTCTGATAGTTATAAATTCAATGGTTGTAGTAGTGAATGAGCGATCATATCTATAGATTTATTAATGATGTTAATATAATACCTTTGTTTATTCATTTATATAAGTGCTGCCACATCGTGTTGAATTGTAGTACTATCTGATTATTCAATCGGTGAAACTGAAAAACAAGACCCTGTAAGTCTACTAGCCTACGATGAGGCAGGTTTTCTGGTATAGCGAGGAAAATGCATCAAACGGATGTCTGGTGAGAAAGTAACCCACACCGCTCTACGACCTGCCGATAAGCATAGACTTGGACATTTTAAAGCAATAGACAGAATGTGTAGCAAGCTATCGCAATCGATTTAGTGAAATTATTTATCTATTTGGATTATTGGCACCGCAGATTGAAACAATTAAAAGATATTGTAGCGAATATTCTAGAAATCTAGTGATAGTGTTTCCTGAATATTTCTCGTAGGAAAAGTAACAAAATTCGCACTCTGAACTCCAGAGTGTTGCCAATTTGGAATATTTCCCCAGCAACTGTCCTGAGCGTTCTGAATCCTAAACAGTTTGTAATAGAAGGTGTTACCAGAGAATCTGGGAATTATTTAAAGCAACACTTTATCCAACGTGAATAAACAATGATATTAGTTTGTCATACAAATATCAGTATAAGCGAAGTTGACCATAGCTCAGTTGCAAGCTCGATATCGCGAGTTCGAACCCCAGCGCAAACGTATATTTTTTCTATAATACATTGCAGCAAAAAGAATAAAGGAGTGTGAGGGAGTGCCACTTTCAAATTTTTTTCCAGAACAACTTTGAACTCTAATTTTATGGTATAGAATATTAAGTCCTTTGAAAATTTCATACTGTGTTGCTTAATTGACATCATCTGAATATGGCACGTTATATCTTAAATTTGCAGTTTTCCAAAAGTGTATGGAGATGTTTTCTATCTCACTATTTTATTATTTACGTACATTGCGGTATTATTTTTGGAGTACCTGGAGTTGGTGATTCCTGAATCATTCATCACCTTGCAAAATGATTGAAATGTGAAGAATCGAGAAGTTTTGCGATTTTAGGAAAAACAAAACCTTGAGAAAGTTCTTGAAGAGATTAATTTTTAAATTATGCTTCAATAAATGGTGTAAGAACGCACTTTCAGTTTCTTACACAGAATAAAGAAAAAGGGTGTAAAATTCTGGTAACAATAAAACAAAAACAAAAAAAATAGTTACATACCTTTTATTGGCAACTAGAACTACTCTGCCGGTAAGCAGTTGTCCTTGTTTCACTATTAGAGGCCTTTCAAGTAAGCAACGCACTTGGTACCAATGTGTCAATGGTTCAGTGGGACCCGTACTTAACCAAACTGTTTGTTGTGAGCCTGCAAATGCGACATCAAACCAAAATGCTAGGCCGTGGCAAGTGCCAGTTTCTAAAAGATGAAATTCTAATGGAATATCTAAAAAACGCGCTGTGTTGAATTTGGATCGACCTTTAGCAAACTTGTACAATACCAATTGTGTGTAAATCTGTTTCTGAAGCTTCTAAAAAGTCTACCACGTGCCTTATCGATTTGCTCATACAAATTCGAATATCAAACGTGTCTACTATTGGTTGCCTAAAATATTCTTTCAGAGCGCAACTTTGTAACGCTGACAGATTTACACCATGGAAGCAAGTTTGAAACCTACAATGTTGAAATTACATCGAGCACCAGCTTTCAATAAAATCCTTGCCAAAAGTTCGCTTTACTAAATTGTTCCATATATAAAGCATCATCTGTAAAAGGAGCTATGTGAAGATCGCCACGAGCTGGATACATTTTTCCACCAGGAAACAGCCATTTTTTTGCATGAAGGTAAGTTTCTAACATTCTTTCGTTGTATAACATATACCCCATTGGTTCCGATATTATGACATCCACTTTCTCTGGTAATTCTATTTCCTCTATTTTCCCTGGTATAACTTTTATATGATCTTGTAAATTGTTAGCTGTGACTAATTTCTACAATTATAGAATCAGCAAGAACAAGACATGTAGAAGTACATACTTGTGCATAATGAGCCATACTTGAAGCTTCAACTGCGTATATTCGTTTAGCCCCCGCTTGAGCAGCAAAGAATGACAATATTCCGGAACCAGCCCCTACATCCAATACGACTTTGTCCTAAAATGTACCTACCTATTAACAAAATTCGCCCGCAAATCTATACGTACCTTGAAGTCATTTAAATTGCTTAGTATTGCTCTTTGGTATGTGTAGGTCCTTACAAAATCCTGTAGCATATTTTGCTGTTGTGACAAATATCCGTAAAACTGAAAATACTGTGTGGCTGAGGAATCTTCTGTTCGCACCGAGAAGACGGACGCTCCTTTACCCGATTTAGCCTTTTTCACTGCCATTGTAAAATTGCAGGCATCTAAACCAAAGTTGTAATTTTAGACATTTGTCTCAATTTAAATGGACTTAATGATGACTTAACAAAAGTTAATTTTTTTCCCACATATACGAAGGGCTTAAATTTTTTGTTTAGGAATGACGCCCCCAGATAGGCCAAAATGAAGGTGATAGCTAGGAAGCGTCGGCTCGGGATCAAGCTGAACCTGTACCAAAGCCTAAGGCTGTATCTGGGCTGTTGGCTCAGGGAGGCAAGGAACCAACTGACTCAGATAGGAGGGCAGCCTGAGTAGAAGCCCAGAGGTTCTGGAGCACCTAAAGTTGCGGTTGAACCATTGAAATTGTGGGAATTTGGGTGTAATTTTTTCTCTCCTTCCCGCCATTGTATCTCTTGGTGCAAATTGTTTATGAATGTAAACTTGAATTGTTATTAGATGCATGAATGGCATTTTTGCATATTTGATTTCAACAGCATCATCTGACATAAGACACTTACCTTGATATTCTCGAAATTTTATAAATAATGTTTCATTTTCCGTATTATATACAAATGATTTGGAGGACACGTGACTGCAGTCTGTAGTGGGATGTACAGGTAATTCCATGCAAGCATTACCGTCACCTGAAACAATTTCGTGCAATTAGTTCAAGGTTTTCCAATTCGTAATTATAACAATTTTTTTTATTGCAGTTATTGCGTATTGGTCATATAATGAAAAATTGCGTTTCGATCCACGTTTTAAAATTCAAAATGGTATTAGGACGCCATGTGTAATTGTTATATAAATTGGTGCCTAGGTTGGGGCTAAAAATCCAGGGCTGCTAGGTCCTAATAATCCAAACTCAAACAAAAGTACTAATTTCGAAAACATACTCGTAAGTCATGTGGGGATGGGGGCAGATGACACATGAATGTGTGAAAGGTGCGTATTCATTTGCAACAAAATATATATTGCAAGGATTATCTCGCGTAGGTTTGTTGTTTTTTTAATGTCCAAATGAGAATTAAATAAAATTGGATAATTTTGATATCGATTTTTTTACTGTGCACGTCCAACGAGATGATATGATAAGAAATACAAATTAATCGAGTGTAGGTATTTTTTAATGAGTTGTAACAGGTGTTTATTAGGCATTGTTACATACTTATCAACAAGCATAAAAGCGAATTTAAACAGTATTTATTGCCCGTAAAATAACTTACATTTTATGGGAATGGATTTAAAGGTTCTGTAGCACGCTCGAAGGACAACAGGCGAACCTACGAATTTAAGACGAGTAAATTGGTTTAAAGTGACATGTAAATTTAGCAGATATTTTAAACAATTTGTAGGACGCATTAGACTTAGATGAAAGTACTTCCTTTTTTCCCAAATAAATCAAGGACACAAAAATATTTCGTTCGAAAGCATCTCATCTCACATAAAAATAACGAATTCAGTCAGTTTTTTAAAAATATGAATAAAAATTGCAACCTCAAATTCTTGATCCGAGAACAGAAAAAATGTAAAATTACAGATCATTATTTCGACTTCACTCTTAATTTGGGTAACTTCACTCCAAATTCAAGTAGGTTCTTACGTGGACGAAAAGAACCTATATATCAAGTTTCAAGGCCGTAAACATTCCGAAGATTTTTAGAACGGCCCGTTGGGTCATTCATAAACGGAAATATATAAATCAAATGATATATCAACGGATATAAGAAAGGTCGCTACTATTTTTCGTATAGTGTGGAATTTGGAAACATTTTTTTCAAAATTGGGGGTTTAGTTGCTATTTAAATTTAACTGCCGTAAACTTTTTACAACTACCTCAAACAGACACAAATTTCTCTGAAATTTAATATAATTTACGCTCGAATTTACGTTAGCTGCTCGCATATTTGGGCAGACTTAATGCCAATTACAAATAATTAACGTTAGATAGACGCATAATTTCGCACGGGTTAATTTTAATTTACCTATAATTAACGTTGGTCGGAAACATAATTTCGCAAAGGTGTGCGTAATTTAATTGGCGTTATTTAAGGGATTACCCCCAATTTCAAAAGAAAAATTCTTCCAATGGACACCACACTACTATACCCATAAATCGCGCTTCATTATGCGCTGTTACATATAAATCGAGATATAAATATATCAAAATGTAATGTTGGGACTGCTAAGTTAATGAACATTTTTATTGCAGTCATGTAACTTCCTAAAAGGGACAAGTTGCGTACGCATTTTGAAAGAAAATAATTTTAAAATTTTTATTTGTCGGTGCCGCTCCGCATTATCTCCGGATTTCACTATTCCGATCTATCTTGACAACTTGTTTGACATCGTAATCGTGCGAAAATGGTCAAAAAATGCTTTCCAGCTCCGTATGTCGTTAGCAAAAGAAAAATTATCAGATCGCATTCTCTACATTTTCGAACCAGGTTCAGATCAAATATCAGCAGCCCGATAAGCTGCAATCAATAACTTAAAAGTGCCAGTCAATGATGTAATTACATAAACATACAGAAGTGACATGCCATAAGTTATCTGCAAAATGATATTATTGTTCGCATTATCTTTTATCCCATTATGTAATTACAATCAACTACAATAATGCGGATATGCTTGCACTAATTATCCATCAATTATCTCGGTAAACAAATTCTGTAATGCTGAGATGAAAGCTATGATATAGTGAAGTCCCAGTCTTAACACGGAAGGAAAAGTGGCAAACATTTGGCATACTTTCGTCTTCAAACTTTGGAAAATGCTTTACATCCGCTTTTAAATATCAAAAAATCACTGTCAGTGTAGAATCCAAATCAATTCGTACTTTTTCGATCAGACTTCTCAATCAAAAGTTATAGACTAGAAACCAATTTCGAAAAAAAATTCAAAGGGCTGTAACTTTTGAACTAGTAGCCCAATCTTGGAACTGTTTGAAATTATGGATTCTACAGGCCCATTCTATAGAAAATTTTTTCCCGGGTCGATCTCAGACAATTTTTTCTTCGGGCCTCAACAAAAGGCAGTGTATAACCTTCCTTTTTTACCAAAAATCGACTGCACCAAAATTTCTCGCGAAAACACTTTTTCTTATTAATTTTGGTGCGTAGAATCCAAAACAATTCGTACTTTTTCGATCAGACTTCTCAATCAAAAGTTATAGACTAGAAACCAATTTCGAAAAAAAATTCAAAAGGGCTGTAACTTTTGAACTAGTAGCCCAATCTTGGAATTGTTTGAAATTATGGATTCTACAGGCCACATTCTATAAGAAAATTTTTTTTCCGGGTCGATCTGAAACAATTTTTTTTTCGGGGCTCAAAAAAAGGCAGTGTATAACCTTCCTTTTTTACCAAAAATCGACTACACCAAAATTTCTCGGGAAAACACTTTTTCTAATTAATTTGGGTGCGTAGAATCCAAATCAATTCGTACTTTTTCGATCAGACTTCTCAATCAAAAGTTATAGACTAGAAACCAATTTCGAAAAAAAAATTCAAAGGGCTGTAACTTTTGAACTAGTAGCCCAATCTTGGAACTGTTTGAAATTATGGATTCTACAGGCCATGGCCTAATAAGAGTCTTATTAGGCCATGCTACAGGCCACATTCTATAAGACACTAATACTTTAATGGCCCGTAACCTATGCAATTTCACCTGGCCCGCAGTTACCCAGTCCGCCCCTGCTAAGACTAGTCGTTATTTGATTTTGATCCACACTTGGCCTGAGTATCGACAGAATTCGAAGAAATGAGAATAATAATAGAAAATATCTAATGTAATATTTGAACCACTTGAATATTATTGTTATATAAATGTATTATAACTTTATAATTTTATATAAGTTATTGTATGTATGTATAAATTGTTTAAACAATTAAAATCTAACTTAGGTACAAATTAGTCTTCATTCTTAGTTTTTGATGCGTTGTATAGGTAGAAGAAGGATATTTAAAATCATAAGTGTATAGTACAAACCGAGGTATAAATCCATCTCAGATTCTGGACGAATAGTACAAGCACAGATTAGTATATTTAAATCTGTGGACAAGGAATACAAAAAGACGCTGCAGCAATTTCTCCCAAAATATTCATAACTGAAAACCATTTTATTGCTAATTTCGTTTTAAGGTTTAATAAGAAACGTATATGTTCATTTGTTGTATTGTTATTGTATAATTACTTGATTAAATAAAGAGTTTTTAATTTGTTTGAAAAATTTTCTTGTATGAGGGTACTAACGTCATCGAAAAGAGAAAACAAATCTCTGGTGATATCATGATATAAATAAAAATAAACGAATACAAGATACAAGGGACTATCGAAGGACCCAAAGTTCACGCTTGTATCCATTTGACCCTCAAGTTCAGCAGGACTAATGAAATACCAAGTCTCAAGACTCCAAGAGCAAGACCTTCCGTTCGAAAGTTATCGTGGGCACAGACGGACGGACACACACACAACAACACGATTTCGTAAAGGACCTGCTGTGTTCTTACCTCGGTTCTTACTAAAGCAACAAATTTACCTTTCAAAGTGTACAAAGCAAATACCGAGGCAAATACGCAGTATGCAAAATAGCAGACGTTTTTTTCATCGCACTATTTCTGTTCAATTAATCGATACTAGGAATGGTCAACAAATTCGAGTCGAAATACCCCCTGCCGTTAATTATAATACAAGTCATTTTCAAAACATCATACGCAGTTAATGTTCGATTTTCGATTTTCACTGTCAGTGATTATACTTAATTGCATCTGCACACGTCGCTCCAAAGTGGGGTTGTTTGTGTTTCTTGATTGAATATTCTTGGAAGAACATTATCTATCATTACCGAGATCATTACGCAAAAAAATGTAATTGAATGCTATGTTTTTAACAATAATAACAATTCCCAGACTAAACTAACACAAATGTACATACAATTCTAGAACAACATTACAAAATAAAAATGTACTTACTTAAGTAAACATAAAACCCTACCATGTAGATAAAGATATGAGAAAAAATAAGATTGCCAAATAAGAGACTGAATTTTGGTTATATGAACATTGAACACTCGAAAAAAGGTTGTAGATACAAACTTCCTGGTGGGCGTAAATTCATTTGCCTCCTTCTTTGATTGTTAATAACGAGCTTAATAATATGCAAAAAATTCTTAATCAATAGAGATTTGGGCACTAAATATATCATGTCTACAATTGACATCAGATCTATACAAATCAACCCCCAAATAGCGTCAATAAGATTCGAGATCAGATAAGTGTGCCTGTCAGTATTGGTCGAGTAACACATGCTCTATTAAGTAGTGTTTATTTATTGGCGTAGATCACATATAGGTACATGAAAATGGATTTGCGCCATTATTCTTTGGGAGGAAACTGGTACACTTTTCATTCTTATAAAATATAATAATACACCTACTATTCCTAGGTACAAATGTCTAGAATCTATTCATGTCAGTATATATTTCTAGACACACTTAAATCATAATAAAATACACGTTTTGAGGACATTAACTTTTTATTTATGATATCGAAACGTTTACAAACAAAAATGAAATGACTTTCGAGAGGTTGTTTGACATCCCTGACTTCTGTCGATCTGCCTGTGCCATGTTCGTCCATATCGCTGCGGCGTTTACGTATTAATTAATTCTACATTGTTCAGACCATATCAATTGAAAGTCTCAACTCTTAACAGGCATGAAGGGGTTGCGTCTTTATACGTAGTAAACCCTATTAAAGGTGGCAGAATACGAAAAGCTACCCCTTGAGCAATTCTAAAAAACAACAAACCGTTGATACTCATCACTTCTTTTTAATTGCATATTAAGGCGATTTTGGTACCGGCGTCGCCGACTAAAAGGCACGCGAAATGTTTTATTTTCGTATTTGTTGAAGAGGTAGACGTGCCGAACCCTTATAATTAAAAAAATTTCCCAATTAAGCGCAGGTGGTGAGTATAACAATAGGCAGGGACACGCAAATGTTTTGGTTTCTGGTGAAACATAACCAAATTTTTTTCATGTGATCCATCACATGGCAAATACATATCATACCCAGTTTCGGTTTTTCAATTAGCAGATTGTTTTATTCATCGCAAACATACTGGTAGTTTATCCCCAATGTTTGCAAAAACAAAGAAATTGATTAACGGATGAATAATAAAAAACACCGGTAAGTTGAATATTGCACAGTTGAACCCTCGACCACCAAAACAAACCCTTCTAATAGAATAAAACACTGTACTTACCATTGATTATTTTAATATTAAGTCCCTCAGGGTCGTAATCCAATCTTAATTGAACACATTTTGGAAGTTTTGGCGATAAGCAACCGTCACTATTTATAACAAAAACATCTACCTCATAGCAGTTCTGCGCCATTGTAGAAACGTTGAGCACTGTCTACAATGCAATAAATACATGCAAAGGGACTAACATCCCAAAATCGCGAACGCGACGTTAGCTACGAAAACCAGAACACAATAGCTTTGTCTCCGTTCGTTACCTTATGCGAACCATCACCGTTCCTTTATTACCAATCGAGATGGCGTAGATGAATCGAAGCTACAATCCCGCCTTAATGCACGCGAAACTATAACAAGGCATTTTTTGAACGCAGCTTGCATTCACGCAAGCACCATGCGATTACGGTGCCATAACCGATGCAAACGATTTAAATGTAACGAAAGAACGGGGTAAATACAAAGCGAAAACGGTTTTTTTAAACGCCGTTGAGTTTCCGCCATTTTTTAAATAGAGCGCCATCCTGTAATCGCCAACATTATTACACCGGTCTGCAGTCTGTAATTTTAAACTTCCGATAATAATATCTGCGGAATATGTTAGGCAACCAAGCATGCTTATACGGTCCTCTTCTTTCCACTGTTTTTTCGAATCTTTCATACCAGCAATACCACTTTCTTTCCCCTTTCTTTTTACTAGGAGGTCATTTATTACTTATCATTCTCATTAAATGCCCCAATCATCGCAGGTTTGTCCCATGTAATTCGATTCAAAATTGTTTCTGGTCATTCGACAATTATAAATCGGTCCATAGGTATAAAAATCATTCTTACTGATTTTTCAGCAGGTCTTCATGGCCCTTTGGCTAGCGTCTGACCAGAGATATTCTTTCAGTATATATCATGCCATTGTTTTAAAATGGTTTTCATTTCTTTTTCCACCGTTACATGTAGGATTCCACAAGTCGGTTGAGCTTTGTTCAACTGCCGACCTTCCTTTAGTTAGTCAGTCCGCAATTTCGTGCCCGGGTACTTATATCAGCTTGATGTTATTTGTCTACAGTTGGCTGAGGTTTCGAATGCATTCCACAACAAGAATTCAACTCTTGAGCCCCCAGCACCTTTTATTGCTGCCTGACTGTCAGTGCAAACACCCCTGCCTGGAAGATTGTTGCATCCTGTCAGGGTTTTTGCATCCCCTTATCAGATTTTATCTTTTATCTGTAAGCCCCTCCGCCCTCTTCACAAGGTGTAGCGACGGTATAGGTTTAGAAGAGTCTCCAGACCTGTAGGCGCATTTTATACCTAAACAGTTTAGTTTAGTCTGACCCACTGACACGAGTCTCAGTCCGTCTCACCACACTAAGGTCGCATTATCATGCGTATATCCAGTAGATAATTTTTTAGCGTAGACTCCCCTTCTTTCCATTGCTCTATAAATCCATAAAGCCCTGATCATCTTGTTACTTTGTCCCATTTTTAATAACGAGCGTTGACCTCCCTCAGGAGGCTCACAAAACGTTCCTCGAGGGGCGCCTTGCCTCATAACTACTGTAGTAGTCAGTTAGTATGTCAGAGCTGATTTCGCCGTTGCTATTGGTCCATTTTTAATCCACTCTCACACTCAAAAAAAAAATTGCACTCTTGATGTCTGTCTGTCTGTCCGGCTGCGGAACTACACCACTTACAGACTGGGTATTAGTGTCATTCGATCATAAATTAAAAATTATTTCACGTTTTTATTCTTGTTAAGGCATGAAATGTCCTATTAAAATCAAATTTGAAAGTGCACTCTTCGTCTCTTGCTATCTCTCACCATTTCCCGAGAAAAGGATTGTTTTCCATTACATTCATCTTGCCGCATCTCTATGATTTCGGACGGGCGGTCTCCTCTCGGATCTGTACAAGGAATCTTATCGGCGGGGTACTGGCTACCACGAAGATGTCTGATTGAAGATTGTTGCGAACCACTTCGGTTGTTCATGTGCCACAGTCACTGTCACGATGAATTCGGGTGGGAGCTCGTCCTGTTCTTTTGGCCGCATTAAAAAGTCTCCGAGTCCCTGCCCGCATCGAAGTTAAGCCCATGGTGGCACTTACTGACACTTACTGTTCCTTTGCTGCTTCGAACGCATCTATTTTCGGCCATTCGGAGATTATTCTTCAAACTCTACAGTACTGTTGTTTTTGAAGGGTAATCCCCAAGTTTTTCTTTTAGGAGTTTCTTATACAGGGTGTTTTTTTGGGAGCTTTAGTTAAAAGTTTCTGGGAAAGTAAAATAGGTAGGTTTTTGAAAATTTGTACTTAGGGGTTACTCTGAAGGCCGAATCGATGTAAAATATTTTCAAAATGGCCGCATTTCCGGAAACACCGGAAGTAGATAGTAACTTCGTTATTTTAAATGGCAACCCCTATTTTTTATTGCTTTTTTGGATTCTACGTGAAATTTCACTTCTTTTGATACCCATATGTCGATATCTACCATTTATGGTTTTTTAAGTTATTTTGACTTTAAGAAAAAAAATGGCGGATGCAGATGGTACCTTGATAATTGATTACTTGCAAACGGTTGTAGTCATGGCAACCTATTTTTATAAGTGCATAGAGAATGAATAGGGCTTTCTTTTAGTGTACTTACAAAAAAGTTAAGTTGCGTACAACCGCACCTATGGAGATCCAAATTTAAGAAACTTTAAAGTCTAAAAACTCAGTTTTTAAATGGAATGACCATGTTCTTACTATTGCATGAGATAGAGAATCGAAATTGGCATATTTTGATATTACATGTTCCTATAGCTATCTTTAACAGTTTCTGATTTATTCCCATTTTATTGAATTNAAGCAATTAATGCGGCCATTATTCATAACTGTTAAATGTGAATAATTGAAGGAAAATTTGTAATATTTATGAAAATTCGCTCATAATTACGTAGCAGTAATCGATTGAAGGGGTTGTAAATTTTGTGGTAAGTCTAATAGATATATTTCCTTAATGAATTAAATTAAAAAGAACTACAAGCAACCCCTCATTTGCCAAGTATAAGTAAAATCTCGTCCCGTATTAGAAGTTCGTAATTTTTATGAAAATTCGCTCCTACCTAAGTTGCAGTATTCGATTAAAGGGGTTGTTAATATTATGGTATGTCAAATAGTTATATTTCCTTAATGAATTAAATTAAAAAGATTTACACGCAACCCTTCAGTTGCCAAGTATAAGTAAAATCTCGTCCCGTATTAGAAATTTGTAAGTTTTAAGAAAATTCGGTCCTACCTAAGTTGCAGTATTCGATTGAAGGGGTTGTAAATTTTGTGGTCGGTCAAATATTTATATTTCCTTAATGAATTAAATTAAAAAGATCTACAAGTAACCCTTCAGTTGCCAAGTATAAGTAAAATCACGTCCCCTATTAGAAATTCGTAAGTTTTATGAAATTTCGTTCCTACCTAAGTTGCAGTATTCGATTGAAGGGGTTGTAAATTATGTGGTGAGTCAAATAGTTATATTTCCTTAATGAATTAAATTAAAAAGAACTACAAGCAACCCCTCAGTTGCCAAGTATAAGTAAAATCTCGTCCCGTATTAGAAATTCGTAAGTTTTAAGAAAATTCGGTCCTACCTAAGTTGCAGTATTCGATTGAAGGGGTTGTTAATATTTTGGTATTTCAAATAGTTATATTTCCTTAATGAATTAAATTAAAAAGAACTACAAGCAACCCCTCAGTTGCCAAGTATAAGTAAAATCTCGTCCCGTATTAGAACTTCGTAAGTTTTAAGAAAATTCGGTCCTACCTAAGTTGCAGTATTCGATTGAAGGGGTTGTTAATATTTTGGTATTTCAAATAGTTATATTTCCTTAATGAATTAAATTAAAATGAACTACAAGCAACCCCTCATTTGCCAAGTATAAGTAAAATCTCGTCCCCTAGAAATTCGTAAGTATTTGTGAAAAAACGCTCCTACCTAAGTAGCAGTATTCGATTGAAGGGGTTGTAAATTTTGTGGTCGGTCAAATATTTATATTTCCTTAATGAATTAAATTATAAAGAACTACAAGCAACCCCTCATTTGCCAAGTATAAGTAAAATCTCGTCCCGTATTAGAAATTCGTAAGTTTAATGAAAATTCGCTCCTACATAAGTTGCAGTATTCGATTGAAGGGGTTGTAAATTTTGTGGTAAGTCAAATACTTATATTTCCTTAACGAATTAAATTAAAATGAACTACAAGCAACCCCTCAGTTGCCAAGTATAAGTAAAATCTCGTCCCGTATTAGAAATTCGTAAGTTTTATGAAAATTCGCTCCTACCTAAGTTGCAGTATTCGATTGAAGGGGTTGTAAATTATGTGGTGATTCAAATATTTATATTTCCTTAATGAATTAAATTAAAAAGACCTACAAGCAACCCCTCATTTGCCAAGTATAAGTAAAATCTCGTCCCCTATTAGAAATTCGTAAGTTTTATAAAAATTCGCTCCTACCTAAGTTGCAGTATTCGATTGAAGGGGTTGTAAATTTTGTGGTAAGTCAAATAGTTACATTTCCTTAATGAATTAAATTAAAAAGAACTACAAGCAACCCCTCATTTGCCAAGTATAAGTAAAATCTCGTCCCCTATTAGAAATTCGTAAGTTTTATGAAAAAACGCTCCTACCTAAGTAGCAGTATTCGATTGAAGGGGTTGTAAATTTTGTGGTCGGTCAAATATTTATATTTCCTTAATGAATTAAATTAAAAAGATCTACAAGCAACCCTTCAGTTGCCAAGTATAAGTAAAATCTCGTCCCGTATTAGAAATTCGTAAGTTTTATGAAAATTCGCTCCTACCTAAGTTGCAGTATTCGATTGAAGGGGTTGTAAATTATGTGGTGATTCAAATATTTATATTTCCTTAATGAATTAAATTAAAAAGACCTACAAGC